GACTGGGACATCCAGTTTTGTAATTTTGGAGAGGCCAGTCATACCCACATTATATCCCAGGGGTCAGGAGAAACGGATGATTTGTTCTAGCTTACACTCTCTCATCAAGCTTTATAATTTGCCATGGACTCAGGTCAGAAATGCCTTGGCTGATGTGAGAGGCAAAGAGCTGAATATATTGGTTAGAAAAGGAGGGAAAGTCCCATGGCATTAGCAGGACACCTTGCACTGGCTTCCACCATAGCTGTCAACTTACAAATTTGAAAATAAGGGACCAGCAGCCTTGAAAATAAGGGACCAGCAGCCAAAATAAGGGACCTGCAGCCTCACCTGTTCCAGGCACTCCAGTCTTCCTGCCCTGCAGTCTGGTCAAACTCATGCTGGTAGCTTCACGAACACTGTCCAACTAACTTTGTAACCAGAGGTTCAACTGACTAGAATCTGAATCACATGCACCACAAGGCCTATGCAGCCTCAACTTAAGATGGCTCCCCAGCCTGGCTTTGCACTTCAAAGTTTGCAGCAGCACGTGCAACAAAATGGCGTCCAGCATTCAAAAACTCCCTCAGCTTGCATTAACTAGCCACACACAAGGCATGCAAGCTCCACCCCCCAGTCGTTCTTAGACTTCTTATTGGGTGAGCAACACAGCCGAGCAACACAGTTGGAACCTCCCTCCTCCCTGGCCAGCAGGGAGAGGAGCTGCTTCCTTTGAAATTTAAGGGACATCATTTAAGGGACATTTAAGGGACATCCATCAATAAGGGACAGCAGCGGGACATGGCACTGGAATAAGGGACTGTCCCTTCAAATAAGGGACACTTGACAGCTATGGCTTCCACTATTGCCACAATTTAGCTGAATCTGGCCCATTATCTTAAATTTGTTGTGGAACCAGGTGCAGACAAAAATATATTTATATTTCGGAACAAGGCGCAGCTTCAGGAATTGCTTCAAGTATGTAAGACAGGCATGGGGAACTTCCAGACTTGGGATCTAATCTGACCACAAGGCTTTTTGATCTGACTCTCAGCTCTCTCCCTAAGCCCTCACCCCTTTCCCCCAGGTCATGCCTCTCCTCCAACTGTCTCATTATGTTGTGAGCTGCCTATGCAGAAAGAGACCTCTTCTAGCATGGCCAGCTTGCTGTTTATTTTCTGTGTGCTGAGAAACAAGCCCTCTCACTTTGTGTAGAACAGAAGAGCCCTTTCTCAATGTGCGTAAGCCGACGTCAGAAGAGGGTGTGTGGGTGTCTACATGATGCGAGTGTGTGTGAGGGAGAATAGGAGACATGTTTGTTTTGGCCCTGCCCTCTTTTGACATGTGCCCCCAGACCATTTCCCCCCGAGGGAATTTAGCTCTGGTGGGGTGTGTGGGAGAGTTCTCCACCCCTGATTTCAGAGCACAGGGTTGTCTGATCACATATTTTCGACCCTCACAATGCTTTAAAGACTATTTTAAAATTGCAGCATTTTTTGACAACTAAAGCTGAAGATTTAGAGCCAGCCTTTTATATTTCCACAAGCATACCATGCAAGCCTTTTTAGAAAAAATTAGACACACCCCTCTTGGCGAGACACAGCCCTCCTTGCACAGCTATGGTATGCAGCTTTTCTGAAAATGGCTAAATATAAGAAGAGAATGAAAGAAATTCAGCTAGCAAGATTTCAATGCAAATAGCCACTTGCTTTTTCCCTAAATGTGAACAGGCACATTTAAAAATTAGCCAGTGACCTTCAGCAAAAGACATTTCATCCATCTCGTGGACTGCATTATATATAGATGCTTTGGTTTTAGTAGCACTGACAAATGCTCAGACTTAACTTTGTCTGCATCCAAGACCCAAAAGATTGTGGAATCAATCGGCTCTGGAGAGTGTTACTTGGTGAAGGAAACTGAATTAAATACAAAAACAAAACAAAAAAAGCAATAGTTCACTAGTTCCTTTGGAAAATGTTACAATAGCAACTCTGACTGACAGCCGGGAAAAAGCAGACAACAGCTGATCTGATCATGTGAGAGAATTCTGCTGGGACTGCCACTTATTTATTTCGTTTATGAATCACTTCTCATAAAACATCGCAAAGTGATTAATAATAAAACATAAACAATAAAAACATACATAAAAACCATGTCAAGTCAAATACAGACACAAACTGGGATAACCATTTTTAATTAAATGGCTTGCTGAAAAAGGAAGGTGTTCAATAGGTGCTGAAAATACAAGCTGGCAATAGACATATATAGACCACAAGGGAGTTCCAAAGGTACCAAGCTATAATGGGATTTGTATACTAGTATCAGCACCTTGAACTTAGCCCAGTAGCTAATTGGCAGCCAGTGCAATTGTTTTTAGCTGCCAGGGCTACCCAGCCATGATGATCCTGAACCCATTTATGCAATCCTATAAAGAGTCCCTGACCAAACTGTGGGAGGCAGTAGAAGACAGGAGTGCCTGGCGTGCTCTGGTCCATGGGGTCACGAAGAGTCGGACACGACTAAACGATTAAACAACAACAACAACATAAAGAGTCCCAGATAGGTGAAGTTAAGATTGCAGTCTTAGTTATTTAAGGCTGGATTCAACTACATAGATGTGCTAGCAGGATGCAAAACATACATCCAAGACACATACAAAAACATTTTGTTGAGGGCCCCATCTTATTTTAACTAACAGGCAATAATAGATTTATCTCCTGTGAATCTGTCTATTCCTCTTTTGAATCCATCGAGGTAAGAAGTGATTACCACCTCTTGAGGCAAAGAATTCCATAAATTAGGCTGCAATCCTAGCCACACTTTCCTGGGAATAATCCCCATTGTATTCAGCTGACTCAAAGGGGACTGGGGTTAGTATTCTGCTGTTGCTTCTGTTCTCAATTCCAGCTTCTCCACCCCCTGCAAAATTGTTTGAACCTCCATCCTGTTCCTCACACTTAGCTGCCCTAAAAAGCAAAAGAAAACATCCAAACTCTGTAGCCTTTCCTCCATAAAGTACTGCAGACCCTTGAAAATTTCCATTGCCCTTTTCCAGCTTGGCAATATCCTTTTCGAGATATACCCAATATTCTGGGTATATGCCGTACGTAGGATCATCGGAGGCATAAAGGTGGCAGTCATAAAGTAGCCTCTTGAGCTCTGCAAACATTTGTGTAAAAAAAGCAAAACCCAACAACCACAACAACTTGCAATTCAGACTCCAGCTCGATTAGAGTGCCTCTTATGATATTAGGAACTATTAAGAGCTGCCTACAAACAACGGAAAAAGTTGTTGCTTCCATGTCCAGTAAGGGAAAGCTTGCTGGATTTGTGTCAGTCTGCCATCTAGTGGAGCCGATCTAGTACAAAGCCTGAAGGATAATCTTAAAAAAACAAACCTGTGGAGAGCCAAGAATTCACTTATGTTGAGTCTCTTAAAAGTCCCCCAAACTTGTCACTTTATGCTTTTTGATAGGGATAAGTGCTTTCCAAAGATGTGCGTGTATTAAGCAAAACGGCATCAGAAATGTTTGTATATGTCCTGTCATGTACATAATAAAAAAATTATGTTTGTATAAGCAGATATTGGCACTCAATTGCTAATGAATTTTAATTTTTTAAAAAACAAGAACAAATAATAAATGATATGGAATTGTGGGGAACTGAGTTTAAGACTGTAAAAATGAGACTCTGTGAGAAACCTTACACTTCAGCTAAAGCCTGGGTGAATAATCAAGCTTCTGCCTCATACCAAAAGCTCAGTGTTGGTGCCAATCACATTTCAGATAGTTTAAATGTACCACACACCTATCCCGGCACAGATTGAGAACTTCATAGAAGCAGAAGGGTGAAAGATGTACAGTACTGTATTCAGAAAAGCATGCAGTGCCAGCAGTTACTTTTCAGGTAATCCTAAGTATTACTCAAGCATTATAAGTCTTACAACAACAAGGAATACTGAATGCAGACTTCCAGTCCTCTGTATTTGTCCTTTAGGATTCTCCCCAAGGTATCCCCTTCTCTCACCAGGTCATGACCCTCATAGGGCCTGCTCAGCATCCCTCTTGAATGCTTTTGCCTTCCTGGAACGTGTCCTTGAACCGAGCTCCATTCTATAAATTGGCAGCACACGTGCACACACACACCTGTCACCATCACGTACACATCTATTCTGGGATGGAGTTTCAATACCCTGAAACTAGCTGTGTCTGCTCACGTGGCGTGTGGGGAATTCCTAGTCTACTCATTGTAAAACACTGGAATTCCCGGCGTCCAGGTCTACCCATTAAGCAAGCGAGCGGGGTGGGAAGAAGAGAGATGCTTGGCAAGGGAGCAAGGCTCCCAATTGGTTGAGATTGTGAGAACGGACTGAAGTGGCGACTGAGAGAACGGACTGTAAGCTCTGTTCCATTCAGTCAAAGCAAACTCCTGCGCTCAGCGTGCTTTTAACTAAGTCCATGCCTCTTGTACCAGGCTCCGGCTTGGGGGGGTCTCTTTAAAAAAAGGAGCAACATGGATGTAGCTACCCCCCATCAATAAAAACACATATCAAACTGAGGTTCTGCACCCCCCCAAGAATCCTGGCTACGCCCATGCGGAGGAAGAAGGGCGCAGACCACGCCAGCCTACCACCTCTCGCAGGTACTACATGGCAGGTGTGGAAAACCTTTGGCTGGATGCTGATGAACTACACCTTCCATCAACGCGGGCCGTTGGCCACGCTTCCCGGGGCTGATGGGAGTTGTAGTTCCACAACATCCGGCTCCCCTCCGCCTACGGTACGCCGAGGCGTCAAATAGCGCAAGCGGCTTCCTTCCCCCATGATTAACCATCCTTTCAACTTGTGGGCGTTTTCCTTGCTGCCCCTTTTTTTCCCCGCCTTCGTTCCCAGCATCCTCTTCGCTCGCTCTTCGCTCAAGTTCTGGTCTGTTTGTTGGCTTAACCCTTCGCGCGCCGCTGTCCCCCGCCCCCTTTATCGTACTGTGCCGCGAATTCCTTCCTTCCTTCCTTTTCCCAGCAGCCCTTGCGCCATCGCGCTTTCCCGATTGGCCCCGCCTCCACCCTTTACTGAGGAAGACAAGAGTTGTGGGGCGGTTGGGCCGCCATTTTGTTCCTCGGAACTAGGCAGGAGCGGCACGCAGGGGGCAATTTGGTGGGCTGCCTGGTCGGCCGGCTAGCTTGCTAGGTGTGCGGGGGTTTGGGGAGGGGGAGGAGGAAAGAGGCGTGGGTCAAGTGCATACATTAAATACCCGAGGCCGCTTCTTCCCACCCCCTTCGGGGGCCTGTTTCAGCCTGCCATGTCTGGAGAAGCTCCCGCCGGCGACCAGGTGAGCGACCAGGGCCCTCCCGAGCTGAGCCAGTCTCACTTGGCGGGGGACTTGTTTCGAGGGCGGGGGGAATAGGGTTGGGCCTGGTAGGACGACCGAGGCCTGGAAGAGGTGAAAATGGCGATTTTCAGGGTGGTTCGGGGTCGAGCCTGTGTAACGTGCGCGCCTTTGTGCTGCGGCCTCTTCTCAGTTTTCAGCCCCGCTCCCCCAGTTCGTAGAGCCTGTTGAGTTTCAGAATTTAATATTTCCCCATCTTCCAACTCGCCCCAGTTATTTCTCCCCATTCAACTCAGTAGCTGGCTGGAACCATGACCGAAAATGCTTGTTTAGAACCCAGCCCTTTCGAGGTCCCTGTGCCCGGTAAGGGTATTTAAGATTGATATTTATCCTAGTATTAAGGCCTTAATTTAAAGCTGATCCAGTGTGCACTTAGTCGGGAGCAAGCTCCGCTTTGTTCAGCGGCCCTTTCGAGAATGTGTATAGCGTTGAGGCCTTAATGTATTTTCCCTCGTGGACTTAATTGCTCGGTCGCTGAGGGGGCGTCTTTCCATTCAGATTTCCATGTGTGAGATAATAGGCGAATGCTTACAACTTTATATTACTAGAACGCAGGAAAGCGTTATTTAACGCACTGCGGTTTCATGAAGATGGGTTTAAAAGTTTGTACAGGTTTTGTTTTAGGAATAAACTGTTGAGTTCTATGTACCCGATTTTGTGTATTCAAAGTAAAGTGAGTGTGGATGTGCTCAAAAGTTGAATGAAAGTGCTTTAAAATTTATTTTTAATAAAAGAGTTCAATATTACAGAAATATTATATTATGGTGTGCTTTGTGAAAGAGAGGGTGTGGGGGGGTACCTTTAAGGTTAGAATTGTATCCAATGTAGACGTATACTGAAGGCACTAGCCAGAATCCAAACATCACATGCACTGAAGTTGTGAGGCCAGTTTGTGTTTCTTAAAACAGAAGCTGCCTCCCAACTGTGTGGCAAATTAGTGTTGAGGTTAGAAACATAATATACGATATAAAACATATAGGACACAGCTTTTCAAGTGAAGGAGGTTCCACAAGCCCTTTAGCTTATTTTTATTTATTAATTTGCAGATCACAAAACAAACATAACTCTGCTTTTAAAGTTAGGATTGCAGTTAATAATTCCTTCAATACATTTTAAATAACATATGCCACTGGTTTCTGTGGAACCAAGTGGATGCCAAGGATTGCTTCCTGTTGGATTTATTTCTGGGTGCTGAGTAGAGTTTAAATCTCAGGTGATCAGATATAAAAGTTTTGTATGTGCATATGGATAGTCCTTCCTGAATGCTTCCTTTTTTTGTCAGCTGGGGAAAAACTAAATCTTCCTCCACCAACTATTCTGCCTGTGAAATTTTGCTTATGTTCCTTCTTGTTAGTAGTGCTCTTTGGTTGGGTTTGGGTACATCAAGGTAATATTGGACATGGCAGGCTAAATTTCACTAACCAGTCTAGTCTCCTATAGGAGGAAGTAAATTATTTTGGCAGAGTGCATGAAACCAGGATGGTAGATGGTACTATAGTTTGCTTTGCTTCTGCGAAGGTGACAGAGTTTCTGGAGAGGCATACCTGCTCTTATATAATACAAACATAAGAAGATCCCTCCTTCTGTTACTTGAAAGTCCATTGCATTTCCCACATAACATACTGCCTCCAAACTGGAAGGATCCCTGGTTTTCACTTACTGTTGCAACAAATAAAAACAAATCCAAGTATCTTTGGATGCAGTAGTCTGGATGAAGGATTGTTAGGGGGGGGGATTATCTTTTAAGCCCTCCGAACCTCATTTTATCAAACCTGCTGTCTCAGTAGTACAAGCTGAGAACTGAAGCTGGAGACATGGCTTAGACTCCTGTATATCCACTGCTGCAGCCTGGATAACAGAAGGAGCTATGTTGGGATGTCTTCCTGTTGTGCAGTTATTTATTCCAGCCACAGTTTTTTTTATTCATTTCACTAGCATGGGAGGGGTAGGCCTCGTGATTAAGCAGGGGCAGGAGTGAAGTTGAGTATAACTTGAACATTCTCAAAACCATTCAAGGAATAAATGTGTGCATACACCAAATATTGGAGCACACTGTTGCTTTTGCTTTAAGAGACAGAAGTTGCCAACAAAAGTGTTGGAAGACAATTTCAAATCTTGTTGAAGTTCTTTTCTGTAGAGCAGAGCTTTCCAAACTTTGCACATTGGTGACACACTTTTTAAACATGCATCATTTCGCGACACAGTAATTCAATTTTACTAGCAAACCAGAGGTTAAACTAATCCCTTATAAGAGTGTTCGCATAACACACCTACACACTGCAGCCGACACACGTAATTTTTCGTGACAGTTTGGAAAGCTCTGCTGTAAAAATACAGACAACTGTTTAAAATCCATGGCCATAGTATCACAGGCTTGGGAAACTGAAGTGAAACGGTAGTTGCTAGCAATACCTTTACATGGAAAAGGATTCCAAATGTCTTGGTTGTATTTCAGTTTAGGAAGAACAAAGTTAAGAATAATTATATGAAGATGCATGTCCTACTGAGTCCAGTGGAACTTCCTTGCTAATAAATGTGCAAATGATTTTAGTTTCTGCAGAATTTATAATAAAAATGAGAACTTATCAGGCTATCTGTCTCAGAACTTGCATGAGTGTGGAATCTACTTAATATAAACATAAACACTACAGTTTTGTCTAATCCAAAGCAATGTTCACCGGCCAAAAACTGTTCGTGTATGTTGGATAGCATGTTTGCTACATAGGCCTTAGGCTCATAATCTCCATGGTAGGTCTGCCATAAATCAGTGCAATAAGGCAAACATGCACTGGTGTTCCAGCATTGGTATTCTTAGCACTATATGTGGTTTCACATATCACTCTGGGTTGAACGGTCCATTGAAATGAAAGTTCTCTATCTAGGCTAGAATTTGAACAGGTGTCCTTCCCCACCATCTATGGGCTCACATCAAGGGGCATGGCTCCTGACTTCAGACTCAATTCAGCCAGAGTGTATCACTCATGGGAATGCATGGGAGTTTGGGATGCATTCTAGAGTACAGTTCATGTAAGGCAGTGGCAATAGCCCACAGACCTCAATGTTAATTGAGTTTGCATCTTTGACTATTGCCTGAATCCTCTGCAATGTGCATAGGTTCCTTGACAGACAATAAATGAGGAAAGACTTAGGTGAAGATTGCCACTCTGTAACCGAGTGGTTTTCAAACTTTTTAATATGGTCCCACAGGCAAATGGAAGGAGTATTAGTATACATCACACTTTATCAGTGCTCTGCTCTCCTCCTCCCTCCTTATGACCAGTTCAACAGTACAATATCAGAGGAAAGAAGGAAGGCGGTAAATGGCTCATTCACTGGTTTTCACTGCCATCAAATAAATGTTATTAATTGATCTTACAGCAAAGCACAGTCATTTTTTACCTCATTCATTCCCACATAAATTTTAAGAATGGTAACACTCAATATAATTTTTGTCACCTGGCTGGGTTTAACATTTTGCATTTTCATCAGCTGTAATACATTTATGACTTGTTTAAAACTCAATTCTTGAGCCTGTGTTTGAATACTATCCGTTCTCTCAACCCAGCAGCAACAGTTAACCAGTCAAGGAAGGTTTCATAATGTGCTTAGTTAAGGTAGATTAATGTAAGAACATGCTATGTGTACCATTTCCTTATTGTGTTGTTCCAGACAGCTAATTTCATTAGTCCCAGTATGTGCTGCTCCCATTTCTAAGGAAATGGAGAATTGCATAAAATATCTGAAGCTCAGAAATTACACAAGAAGTTTTATGACTGCATCTTTTTGTTAATTGTATAACTGTCCCTTCTCTACTATATATTGAATCAGTTGGTTCATTGAAGCTTCATATTTCAAACACACCCACTTCTACTTCTCACATATTCCCCAGTTTGGAAAATGTCTGTGCGTGCATCATTGGTTGCTTAACCTTGTTCTATTTTACTACAGTGTTCATTAACCAGGACAGTAGACAGAGAGCTGTCTTTCTTGACTGAGAAGAAAGACCAATAGTGAATGTCCAAGTAGTTTTGCTGTCCTGTAGAATGAATACAAAGGCAGTCCTCCAGCCACACATGTATTGCAATGGGAGGCAGCAATGTGCAGCTGAGATTGAGAACTCATATCTGTTGATCGTTTTCTTAGGCTTGGAAGGGCAGATAGAGATTTGTTCTTTCATAATAAGTACTGCACCTCTTTCATTGAGATTCTTTTGCTTCATGCTATTCACACTTAAATTATCATAGGGTTGATTGATTTAAATTGTAAAAAAGACCAATTTAAATCATAGATGTAAATTGTTTCTCATTTTTGGTATTAATATATTTCCTGTGCAATCATGCATGTTTACTGAATGCTGTAACCATTAAAATGCATTGATTTGTTCTTAGCTTTCTAGGTGCCAGTTAAAGATGGTAGTTCCTAGGGAAAGGTGATAGAAAGTAAATGTTCATGTTCGATAAAGAATAAATATTCATAACTAAAGAACTGAAAAAAATGCAAACTGAAATAGTGGGAGGCATAATAGAGATACAATAGCATGTAGTGGATGATTAAGTTGGGATTCATTATGACAACTCTTGAATTCTAGTACACATAATAACTTGCTATACTAGGAAATCCACAGTTATAAATATACAGTACTTTTAATATAATACAACACTATTACTCTGTTATTATTATAATCTGTCCTCAGTGGACCCCTCCCAGTGCTTTATCTTTTATTCATTTTTAAGGACCTTGAATTTTGTTTTTGATAGTTGGTCATGATTCAGTTTTCAGAGTAAGTGTAGACATATGGGTGTTCAATGAAATTTCTTTTTAGGCAGGTTATTATTTTTTTAAGCCGCATGTTACAAATAACGTTTAATTAGAATTATTTTAACCACCCTGCACTGTTCAGCTGCACATATCACATGCCTCTCCCCATGAAGTTTGTCATGCCTGCCATCTTTTTTTCTTTCTTACTACAAATCTGAAAATGAAATGCAGGTTCCCTAGTCAGAGAGTGCTGTAATAAGGATTGCATGTTAGATCATGCATTTTCATTTGTAGCCCATAGGCATGTGAATATAGGAGAGGCCCTGCTTGTAGTCCCACCCTTGACATTACTACCACTTTCTATAACAGCTGTATGGTGTCTGTTTGTAGAGGAATTTCAGTATGAAAGTACCTGATTTTGTGGCTCTGCACAATTGGGATACCCACACAATTATCAGATTAGTGTAACGTACTCTAGGTTGGACTGAAAATGGTTTGAAAGCTGCAACTGGTTCAGACCATTGCTGCCACAGTTTTGACTAGTTCAGCCAAGTAGAACAATGTAACGCCAGTCTGCACTGGCTGCCTATATGCCACCAAGCCCTATTCAAAGTGGTTGTGTTATTTGTTCTGGATGGCAGCTAGTGTTGTGCAAATAGACCTCTGCTCAGACAACAGGACTTCACTTTCCATTGCTGTTCTGTTCAGCCACAGACAGCATTGGGTAACAAACCTTTCCCTTCAACTTGAAGGTTCCCAAGGCAGCTGCAACATTTCATCCTACCTGGGCTGCAAGATCTACTGGAGATGCCCTTGCTATTCCATGTAGAGTCCTATGGGAGAGGGCCTTTAGAATGAATGCCCTGCCACAAAATTGCAATTGACACCAACTCTGCTTTGTTTTAGATGCTAATTAATACTTTTTCATCCAGGGCTTTGTTAGTGAAGGTGAGTTTAGTGGTGTATTGTGGCAGGAACAGATAAAGTATTACATGCTGTAAATTTAAATTTATTGTTATTTTGTTTAACTTAATGGTTGTCACTGCATGTGTTAGGGATATAATAATAGTTAACAATATAATAAATCTAATTAATAAATGAATACTGTTAGAAATATTAGCCATAGGACTGTTTGAGCTTATGTGAATGAGTCCATATTGATTTTTTGTAGCTGAGTCTCATAAGCTCAGTTCATTGTGACATTGGGATTCTGTTTTATGCCAAAGTTGCATTTACCTTCATTACCTCTACTGAAGTCAAGTCAGACTGGTTGTTGTAGTAGTTACTATTTTGCAAAGATACCTTTATGTAGAATGAGAGAAACCATGCAAAAGAATAGATACACTGTACATTAACCACTGTACATTGTACACTGTACATTAACCTGGCGTGCGCTGGTCCATGGGGTCACAAAGAGTCGGACACGACTAAACAACAACAACATTAAACACTCATGAATTGCATGAGTAAACAACGTAGACCCCATATTTTTGCAGAAATCAATAAATTTAATAAACTGATTATTTCAAGTTTAAGGGTGGTGGTGTTAATTTTTTTTTTTTTAGTAAAGTATTAAGTCCCGTTCATGGATTTCTCTACCTGTTCGAATGCTCTACCTGTTCGAACATCCTGGTATAATGTTCTGCTGAATAAAAGCTAAAAGCCAGAGGACTAAGTCATGACACAGTCCTGCAAACCAACTATGCTCATACTTACATTATTTTTCTTAGTAGTTTTGCTCATTTGAACCCTTTTGCTTTGAATGGAATGGGATGTGAAAAAGTGGGAGTTGGGAGAAGGCAAGAAGAGCCTGCTAGATTAAGCCAATGGCAGCCCATGATTCTTTTGCTCTCATCTTTTGAGAAAAGGTACTGCCATGTTTTGTAATCCTGGAGACACAGCCTTGTGTTGATTTTATTGCTTTTGAGCAGCTCTTTGTATTTTAGGTAAATAATAATGATGATGGGAAACTGTCAACTACCTCATAGATACTGGCCTGCAAGACTGCAGTCCTCTAATACACAATGTAAGATAAATAGGCTCAACTAGAATGTTAGTTTTTCCTTCTTGTTGTGTAGCTCAGCCTTAAGGTTATACTGCAATCACAGTTGCTAGCATTCTTGAGTGTTGCCAAATCTTAGTGCTACTTGATGTATCAGTATACTGCACCCTTTCCAAAGTTAGATTCAACTCAGTCTTTAACTGTCGCTATCAGTTTTTCAAAATTCCATATATAGCTAGACAACTATAAATATGCAAAGGTTTGGAGTCTTCCCAAATGACTGAACCCAGCACTTACGCACTGTAAAACAGCTAGTGTAGTCAAACTCTTCTACTTGCTTCATATTTTAGATTATAAAATAAAATTCTAATTTCAAAAAAATATCTAGGCATACAAAAAAGGAAGCTTTCTTATTGGTTTAATATGGGTTGCTTGTGTGTAGTGTCTGAAGTGCTGCATTTAAAAAAAAAATTTTAGTTACACAGTAATGGGCTGCATTCTTTAAAAGAACGGGGAGTTATTACTACAACTAATAAGTCCCGTGTCTTCAAACTTAACTTTCTGTCATAGGTTATTCAGAAGATCCTAGATTCATGGGATTGGGAGGAAGTCCAGTCCAGTCACCTTACTCTTTGAAATCAGAATTTATTTATTTATTTGATGATAATTTGTTACTTTATTTATAAGAAGAGCACTCTTAAATCTTTGGAATCCAGTGTCAGGGTGAAAATCTATTGTTATCCTAAATTATTTTGAGGCTATAGAAGGAATTACTGTACCATTAAGAGAGTACTGCCAGGCAGCAAGATGGGCAACAGCTTTATGTAAAGCAGAAAATAATAAAATAGTGTAGAATTGCAGATATTTCATTTAAATTGTATTTTTATTTGTCTTCTTCCTCCTTTCCTCCTCAGTTTGCATTGTAGACCAACAGTTTAAAAAGTTTCCCTCAAAGACTAGAAACTTGTTAAAATAATTTTTAACCAGTGATACTCTGTTTTTGTTGTTGTTCGGGAGAAGGGAAGGAGCTATTCATATGTTTTGTATTCCAAGACTGAATCAAACATGCATGTATTATTCTTGGTACTAATGCAGAAGACTGGTGATGCTTATTACAATAACCTTCAATTTACTCTGTTAGTTTAATCCTAACATTTTGAGCCATTTTTTACATTGCAATGGAGAGCTTTTCTGTGGACTTGATGTGTGATTCTTGTGCATACGCATCAAAGTACTACTGTGGAAAAACTTGTAGGCTGGCATATATTAATCTAATGATTGCTATGGATATGTGAACATTGATGATACAGCTAGCAGATGGCATTGATTTTATTAACATATTTATATACCCTTTTAACCAACTACTTTGTGTTTTCTAGGCTGCTGAATATGTCCCAGAAAAAGTAAAGAAAGCTGAAAAGAAACTAGAAGAGAATCCATATGACCTTGACGCTTGGAGCATTCTCATTCGAGAGGCACAGGTTTAGTGACATAGGATTACATTTCCTTATCAATGCGTCCACTCACAGTGATTGGTTCTGAAGTAAATGTCAATACATTTTTACATTATAAATATTGTAAATATTTATTGGTTTTCAATTTTTAGAATCAACCTATAGACAAAGCACGGAAGACCTATGAACGCCTTGTTGCCCAGTTCCCAAGTTCTGGCAGATTCTGGAAACTGTACATTGAAGCTGAGGTTAATATTTTCATTTTCTTTCTTAAACATATAATAGGAATTTAAGTTGGCACTGAAACATAATTTGTTAGGCACATACACAAACTCAGGTAAAGGAGGGATTGAGCATTTCTTAATTCTGTACAACAGGTGAAAGGGGGTAATTAAAATTATTTCTAAATATTTGGGTCTCTCTATGATCTGATGATTGTTGCATTATGGACTTGCAACAACATTAAAACCGTTTCAATGGTATTGGAGTGCTTTAGCCTTTTATTTACTTGTCGTGTCAATTTATTGCCTCCTGTGTCATTTATTTAGAGCTCCTTTTTCCCCATAAAAATTAACAAATGGCTTTGTGATTTGTTGGGCTCTAACATTTTTATTATTATTCCTAGGCTGTTTCAGTTTTTGAAATGTTTGCTAGAGGGGGGTTGGAAATGCATATTTTTATTTGAAAATCACTGAATGCGGTAAAACATAAATGTGAATTATGCAAGTCACATTTTCAAGTACCTGTCTAACAAAATATTTCATAACCAAAATGAATAAGCTTTTTATCCTGTTCTGTTAAAAGTGCAAAGGATGAGCTGAAATTATGGATAGCATTCATTCTCAGAAAAACATCTTCATAATAATACTTTATATAAATATGACTTTCCCTGGCATGTGGAGATGCATGTCGTAGGTTTTTAACATTATAATAACTATAGTATTTATTTTAAATTAGAGTAAACTTAAATCTTTATCTAAAATGGTAAGTAAAATAAGTTGTTAGGTGTTGTATGCGGCATATAAGATTAGTAAGAGAGTCTCAAGTATATAACTATTGTAAGACTGCACAGAATATATGCAGTTGAATGTTAAGTGTGTTAAATGTTAAGAGATTAGTCTCTCAGACCTTAAGCACCCTCTCTGCTAATGCAGGTTCTCAAATGTAAGGCAGCCTTTTTAGAGATGTATTCTCTACACCCTGCCAGCAGCATGTGCTGATCCATACCAGAGGCAGTGGGAATATTGATCAGCCATACTGATGATTAGCTTCTTTTTTTATCTGTGCTGATTTATCCACAGGTAGTCTCTGACATGTTTGTTCCACAGATGAAAGATCTGTCCCATGGATGCTACTCTTGTTTTTTCTGTTAACAGAGCAAAAAAGTTGAATGCCATGCTATTTTTCTTGTTTTTATGTGATGTGCTTGGTCATAGCTTTAGGCTGTGGACTTTCCCAGTTCTTCTACTTGTCTTCAGAAGGCTTGAAGAGCTGTTGGTTTGAGAACCCTTGAACCCTGGATTTAAAACTTCATTATAATAGCACACTTGCCTATGTGAATCCAGTAGGCAATATTGGCCTTTCTTAGTGGCCAGTACTCACACATTGTAAACTGTTAGACTTAACCGTGAAGGGCAAAAGTAGATTGGGATTCTATGCATTGTCAAAGCCTTAATCTTCAGTAATACTATTATAATTTCTTCTGGAATCTTGGAACATCCCTGCCCTCTCATCTCCCTGCACACTCCCTGCTCATTTTGTAAATTTGGTTTGACGTGTTGGGGGACAACCCTTCCCATCCACCCACCCTGGAACATTATTAGGAGTAGGCAAGGAGAGGACAAGGGAAGTTTTACTGTGCAGCTAAAAGTCCTTGCACTGGCAGAACTATTTAGTTTGATACTGCCCAACATTGGCAACCCTAGTTGTAGATAATAGTTTATGGTAGAATAAGCTGGAACATTCACCTTTAGTATTTGGACAATATCCAGGATCCTATGGCCTGATTGAACTACCAGGGCCTGTTAGCGGAAATCTGCATAGGGACTTCTGCTAGCAACTCAAGACTTTAACCCTCTCCTCCCCCAACGTGCTACACAACCCCCTTCAAATTGGCTTGGGTGTGTGTGAAAGATGCCCCGCCTCTGAATAGCAGATGGGAGGAGAAAAGAGATTGTTTCCTTGGGGAAGAAAAATGCTTCTACTGATAGAATGTTTTAAAATGCACAGCATTGAATTCCTCCCAGTGTGCCATCACTGTCTTCATATGCATTTCAGCTCTCTCCTTCCAACCCCCTGTGACCCCTCCAAAATCTCCCTTCAGTGGGCTGAATGCCTTTTAAAAGCAACACCCATGAGCAATGAGATGGGTAATTTATATCAGAAAATTTTTAGTTTCCCTAGAGAGCATACTTGTTTTACTTATATTTAGTAAATAAAGCTAAAACCTTTGAAACTCCCATGTTTCCTTAATATTATATTTGTAATTGGTACATTTTTACTAACGAACCCACAAAACAAAAAATTCTGTCCCATATCACTTCCCATGAGACTTGGGAGACTGGCAGTGGAAAAGAAGACAGGACATTTTTTCATTCTTGGGCCCCTTTGGATGCTCGACCCATGGATACATGTCAGACCAAAGGTACACCCAATAATAATAAAATGTATATTCTGTCTTTTCTTCAGAGGGGAACTGGCTAGAAAGTACTCACTATGTTTGTACTTGAAAATAGGATTTATAAGCTATTGGTTTACGTAGTGGATTTTGACTTTACAAGTATTTTGTATGTCCCCAGTTTTCTTGAGCCATTAGTGCCGGCCTCCATATGAATTAAGGTTGTGGAAATCTTTTTTTGACTCCCATGCCTATGACTACAGAAGCATTGTCCAAGCCACTAAAGCATTGTCTTGTCCACTCACTCATAAGCATATAATTACAGAGCAAAATGATAGTTAAGTCTGACAAACTTCTTATCCACAAATGTTACCTTGCCCTGGTCCTTTTACTGCCTTAGAATTATCATGGGTTACATGTTAATGAATTAGCATTTTAAAAGAAGTAATGGAATTTGTCATCTTTAGTTCATATGCAGATGTAAATATCTTTAAATTTTAAGAATATTAAGAAATATTGTGTGTCTTATTCTGCTGATTTCGCGCATCTAACTCCTATACTGTTACTATCTTCCTGTTTATAGTCTTAAACACATTGTGTGACAGTACGCCTTATCGCTTTTAATTAATCTTTTAAAAATGTCCTTAATCAGTTTTAATTTGAAAAACCCATAGGATATTTTTATTTCAGTACTTTCCAGGCAAAAATCAGCAGATTTCTTGAGATACCTTTTGGCCCAATTACTTCGCCAGTCACATTAAAAATGGTGATACCCAACATTATGCAATTGACTTCATGCAGTAGGATATATCCTTCCTCTCCTCCACCTCAGGAGTGCTCCCCACCCCCGGTTGACCTCCAGATCTACTCCAGAGGGTTAGTAGTCCCATTGCATAAGTGGAAGTTGATTCCACTGGCGAATGGTTCTTGCTGGATGTCACCATGTAAAGGACTGGAATTTGGGCACATTGTTTTCTGCTGTGCCAGTGACACTAGAAGGATTATGTTAAAAATTATGCGATGTATCAATTCCGAAATGAAAAATACACTCTGGGTCGATTAAGCCCTACCTGTGTCACTCAGTGGTTATAAGTAGTATTAGGATGTAGGTAGGAAACAGGCACTGGTTTCGTCCCCTAAAGCTTTATATTACTACTTGTAGTATCATTTACTGTTGGAAAAATTGCTTTTAATATTCTGATTTTCTAACATTATGAAAAGAAATAATTAATTTCTTGTAAGTCAACTCCAAAACCCTGCACACAAACAAAATTTTTGTTTGTCATTCTGCATTTGTCTTGTCAGGAAATAGGTACATGGCATTCCCTTTTCTGTCACTACTGCTTGATAGAGTTCTTCCTATGTGTATTTAACAGCTTTTGGATCTATGAAAAGTTGTGTGTGTGAGTTGAGGAGTGATGATGTATTTGATTGGGAAGGAACATGAATATTGGGCTGTGCCAATCTCCGTCCAATTAAAAATTGGTTGTTTGACACCAAGGTAGTTAAAATGTGTTCCTGCATAACCAGGGATAGTTTGTGCCAGCTTGAAGGTAGATAGAGACTATAACTTTCAAGGCTACTACTATGGGACAAACGAGATGGGAACATCTAGCCCCATCTATGTCTATTGTTGTCCAGGAAGCAGCATCAGCTAGGTATAGAGAGAATCCAGGACAGAACTAGGCCATGGAAGATTCTTCTTCTTCCATCTTACCCTGTTTTGCCTGGATTGTGTCCCAGCAATGCTTACCTCGGTGCATAGTTCTGTTGCCTGGCAATCCTTTGCTTCTAAAATGTAGTAAGGTGTTTGTATTGCTCCTATACTCATTCAAACGTAAGAGTCTTTACTTCCACCTCTTCATCCAGAAAATACCCTTCCATACAGTCTTTTTGTTGCCATATTTTATTCTCTTGCCACATCTTCTTGCACATCATAGTGCAAGGTACAGATACATTTTTATTGGAGCCTTATTTATCTTCATCCCATGTTCATCCTTCTTTGTGGTTTCTTAACATTCACTCACCTGGATTCTGCATCTCGACAGAGCGAGGCATAATACTGTATTGGTTAGCTCAGGGGTCTGCAACCTTTAAGACAAAAAGAGCCACTTGGACCCATTTCCGAAGAAAAAAAACCTGGGAGCCGCAAAACTCATCATTATAAAAATAACTTTTTTGTCACTTTTTATTATTATTTCTTTGTTTGACCCCTCAGAATTACTCCTCCTCATAGAAATAAATGTTAAATTAACAAGTTACCTTTTTGTGTGTGTGTGTTCTTCACTCCCCTTCAAAACAGTGACCAGCGTACATGCCCCCTTTCAATGCAGTGACCAGCATACATGCCCCTTACAATGTAGCGGGCGGGCGGGAAGGTGACGTCGGGACGGTGCGTGACTAACGCACGCACCGCCCCCATGCGACGTCACAGCCAGTACAGCGCCCGCCACAGTGGGGAGTGTCAGGGCTCACAATGTGCCTCCTCCCCTCGCTAGTTTCCGCCCCGGAGCCGTGGCAAAGGTGTAAAAGAGCCACATGCGGCTCCGGAGCCGCTGGTTGCAGACCCCTGGGTTAGCTGATCAGTTTTCAGGTTACTGTGTCAGGGAATAGATTGGAGGAAATAGAACAGGAGACCAGATTATTCATTTGGTCTTTCTCAGCAGTAATGAGCATGTGGATGGTGCTGGGCTAGAAGACAGAATAAGTTTTGAATGCTAGCGAATCTGAAAATTTGAGCATCAGCTCTTATGACAGCGCCATGCATATGGATACAATTATACAGTAACATGCTTTTATAACGTACAAAGTTGTACAGAGGCTTAGCTATGGAAAAAGTTATGGCACAAGAATGGTGATACAATTTAACGTGAGAATATCTAACATGAACAGCTAAGTGAACATGATAAAAATTAATGATTGCTGCCAAATTCTACAAATAGTACTATGCCACAGCTAAAGAAACACAGAATCTTGGTGAATCCTTATGGCACATACCGATGACTAGATCTGAGCTTTCTCTTCTTACCTCTTCTGATATCCTGGGCCATTTTTGGTAAGTTTAATTAAACAGCTTCCCATCCAATAGCTATACTGTTACCTACCTCACAGGGTTGTTGTGAGGCTTAATTAAATGTTTTAGGTCCAATAATAGTGTGGAAATGTTACAAAGTACTATTCTGGGAATGTACTACACAAGGGACAACAACAACATAAATTGACAAAATATATCCCTTTGATTTAATTTTCCGGAATGAGCAGTTAAGTGGCAAAGGCTACAATTCAAAACACACCTACTAGATAAATTTGTTTTCTGCTATGTGAATGAACTGTAGTAAGCCTTCTAAAGCCATAAGGAAGAGATTTGCCCTGAAATTTGGCTGCTTCTTAGTCTAAACAAAGGATAGCAACCCTGCGGGCCTACAGATGTTATGCTAAATTTGCATCATCCCTGAAGGTTGGCTATGTTGGCTGTGGCTGATGAGGATGCTGCAACACCTGGAGGGCCACAAATTCCCCACCCCTAGTCTAAGCAAACCGCATTGTGCTAGATTTTGATCTTGTGGAGAACTGTAGCTAAAAGTGGAAGTTTCAGGTTTCCTTGCAGCCATGAAGGAAAGAGAGCAGGGAGTTCCTTGATCTGTTAATAATAATAATAATAATAATAATAATAATTCATTATTTGTACCCCGCCCATCTGGCTGGGTTTCTCCAGCCACTCTGGGCAGCTTCCATAGAAACCAAAAATACACTAAAATATCTCACATTAAAAACTTCCCTAAACAGGGCTGTTAACATAGTGGGGAACCATGGCTTCTGTTAACTGGGCCTGAGAGACTTCCTTCCAAATAAACAGAATTCAGTCGTGTGTTAAAGTTTAAAAATTTTGATACTTAGAACTTCATGTTATCAAACACCATAAATAAAACAATAGAAAATAGGGAATTTATATTTTCGTTCTCGAATAATGTCCCACACCACTGCAGTTTGTATTTTTTAAAAAATTAGCTTCATAATAATATGCTTGAGTGTTCCAGTATAGTACAGTTGTAGATAACTAAGAAGGAAGTTTTACTTAGGCATTTTAATCCTATTGCTGTAGCTGTATACAGGTCCCAGAATGAGTTACAAATTATCAAATAATAAGGAACTTAGAATAAAAACAAAAAAGGAGCTAAGACCAAAACCCTAAACCAATTTTTAAAAATGTCTAAAAACATTCCTCAAGTCAAAACACATAGTTTTTTATGTGTACTTTATTATTTTTAAAATAATATTACATTTCACAAAAGATTAACACAACATTCATTAAAAACAACTTTAATACATTATTATACATTCAAAGAAGGGAATGGGGAAGGAAAGTGGAAACACGGGCTTCAACATTGACCCACTGGGCTTTGTAATTCATGCAGACAATTCCATATACGAGTCCAAAATTTTGACAGTCGCCTGTTGAAGGTCTCTTTTTCACACACTGAAAGAATTGAGAAAACAGACTATTTATAGTTAAAATTCAATGATCTCTCCACCACTGCCCAGCCCCCCCCCCACAAAAAAACCAACCAACCGGGATAAAGAGGTCTCCACCCTTTCCCTAAAAAGATGTCAGGAAAGCTGCTCAGTGTTATGAAGCAGACTGTAGACTACGAAGGCACATGAGGGAACAAATTCTCAGGGTCTTGTTTTCACATTGAAGTGGGATCATTGAGCTGCTTTTCATTAAACTAATGCTAAACAAGCATTAGGTGACAATGCAGTGTGTAATCCCCCCTCCAATTTGTCAATGATTCATAAAGCTCTTAGGCTCCAAAAACTTAATATAAAATTTGATATGAAAATCGGCTTTTTTCTTTTTAAAAACTAGTATTGGAAATTTGAATTTCCATTATATTTGAGAGTGTAACTCTAACTAACGGGTTGGCTTTGTTGCATTTTAGCATGGACTAAGAAGGATTTTTTCAAAAGGTATAGAGGCCACAGAAAATGTAGGATTTCAGGATTATACATCTTTTTCTTATAGGATTTTTAAATCTATTTTGATACAAACATTCTGAGAAAGACATACTTAGAAATATATGGTTGAAAATATAATTGTTTGAAAATGTGCTTGGAGTTCTTTAATGTGAAATACCTAAATATTGCTAAAATTTCCTTTGAAATTAATCTGATGCTATTGCTACCATTATGTAATACCCTACTATGGTATTTTTTTACTAAGTTGCATGTGGTTTTCTGTAAAGCAATTGTTTATACTAGACTTTGAAACACCCCATGAATCTCGTACCTTTTTAAAAAATGTACTTGTATACTGCTCCTTACCTGTTAATAAATATTAATTTCTATATGCTTGTTGTAGCTTTGCATCAGAAATCAGATGCAATTGTGTCTGTGATTTTTGGCCCATCATTTATTGTAGTACGAGTGTAACAGTCAATGGAATTACCAGCAACTTAAACACAGAAGATATTACTGTCTTGCCTTTGAAACACACTACAAAGCTGGGATTTCCCACGTATGTCATGAGTTTATATAATAAGCAATTCCAATAACCTGGTATACAAGGCAAAAAGAAGAAGTTAGGATTTGAAATATGAGCTTTCTAGTATAGTGGCTGTACATGGTTTAAAAAATCATCATTCTTCCTCTTGTGTGTGCTCACATACACTTGTATTTCTCCCCTAAATATTATATTTTTGTAAATAATGCAAGAGACTTATTCCTAAAGTCATTCGGGAACATTGGACTTAAACAAGGCAAAACAATTATTTTCAATTATTTTTGGAGTACAGAATCATATTGAGTGACATCCAACCCCAGCTTGGGTCAGGAAGGCGCTCTTCATCTCTCCTCCCTGCAGTCCTTAGTGTGCTTACAAAATCTGCTCTGGGAGTTTGGGAGACCCTCTGGAGCAGATGTTTTTGGGAGTAATGGGCAGTTGCAGGGAGGTGGAAAGGGAAACAAACAGGCTGACCCAATAAGATGTCACATATATAATTCTGGGTATCACCCATGGTAGAATTATTTTCCCCAAGTACAGTGGTGCCTCGCAAGACGAAATTAATTCGTTCCGCGAGTTTTGTCGTCTTGCGATTTTTTTCGTCTTGCAAAGCACGGTGTCGGGAAAGTTTTGGAAAAGCTTCAAAAATCACCAAAGTCTTTAAAAACCTCAAAAAAAGGCTACCACACCGCGTGCTATGAGTTGCTCCTCGAAGTCAAGTCGCAACTGTATTAACGGTGTTAAGAAAAAGGAAACAAACTTGCAAGACGTTTCTGTCTTGCGAAGCAAACCCATAGGGAAAATCGTCTTGAGAAGCAGCTCAAAAAACCAAAAACCCTTTCGTCTAGCGAGTTTTTTGTCTTGCGAGGCATTCGTCTTGCGAGGTACCACTGTACAAGAATGGCATGGTTTCCTTTTTGTTTATCATGGCTTATCGTTTTGTTTCTTTTATTTTGTCGGCTGTTGAATAACAAAGAGTTTTCAGATGTCAAAGAAAAAGCAAATTAAAAACTTACGATACAATAAAATAAAATTAGAAGCTTCTCCCCGGCCCCCTTCTCTAGGTATTTAAATACTTTCAGAGGGGTCATATGATTTGCTAAAGGAGGCTTCTAATCACTTTCTTCTTCCTGAGCTATTTCAGAAGCCTAAGGCTGTTATTGAAGAACTTAGCTGCTAAATGTAATGTAAGCATGCTTGTGTGTGTCTCCATACAGTCTGCAAAGCACACTAAGGCTTATTTTCACAATTTATGGTATTAAGTACACAATCCTAGTTCAGGAGACTGCATTCTGTGTCATGTGTTAAATAACCAGAAAATATTTGAGAGGGGGTCAAGTTCTTTGGCTGCAGGAATGCAAAAAGTTATGTTTGCTATACTTAGGATTGTGTACTTTATACCCTGCATGTAATACAGTGGTGCCCCGCAAGACGAATGCCTCGCAAGACGGAAAAACCGCTAGACGAAAGGGTTTTCCGTTTTGAAGTTGCTTCGCAGGACGAATTCCCCTATGGGCTTGCTTCGCAAGACGAAAATGTCTTGCGAGTCTTGAGATTTTTTTTTCGCTTTTCCCCCCCTTTATCTAATCTGCTAAGCCTTTAATAGCCTTTAATAGCCTTTTAGCAGCTAATCCCTTAAGCCTTTAAGCCTTTAATAGCCGCTAAACAGCTGATAGCGCTAATAGCGCTAATCCGTCAATGGGCTTGCTTCGCAAGACGAAAAAACCGCTAGACGAAGACTCTTGCGGAACGGATTAATTTCGTCTTGCGAGGCACCACTGTAGTCAGATTCTGTCGAGGTAACAAGTTTTACTACATATACAAACTGAAATTACACACATTCACATTTTGCATAATTATTCAAGCTAGTCATGGGGAGGCAAAGGGTCTGTGGAGTACAACACATTGTTCACTGGAAATCATACTTTGCCCTGGTCCAGCTTCTGAGATGTCACTAAGCATGTTCACATATTTTCAGTATGCAGGGGTTAGAATCTTTAGAAGTGGTGGTGGTAGGAATGGAGGTATAGAAAAAATGATCAAAATGCTAAATTTGGGACTTGCACACAGCTATGGAATGGACACAGTCCAGAAATACTTTTACTGGGGAGTATAATTGCATTTCATTTTCATGTTCTAAGCTTTAGGTTTTGCCTTAGTTCTCAAGTGCTGTTCATGGGGTTATACCCCTTAAGTAGTGGACTCAATTTAACCATGCTGCTGCATCCAGTTCTGCTATCTCTGGCCTAGATCATGTTTCTCAGCTTTGCTTGATTGCAGCTTCAGCCCTTACGTAAACTAGAGGTCTGGCGGTCCTTTTCACGAGTTGCTAACCTCTAAACTTGGTTACTGTAGTGTGGTGTAACTCTTGAAAAGCAGCTTGGAAACTCAGCTGGTTCAGAATATGCTAACTTTGCTTTAATATGGAACTGACTATAACCCAGGTACTTCCCTGTCTGAGTTATAGGGTTGCCAGTCTGTTGCCATTATCAGTTCAATGTGCTGGCCCTTAAATAGGCATATGAAGATAGTTAGGGGAGTGTCTTCTTCCATTGATTCCATTTGCAGTGAATTTAGAATTAAGATCAAGTGAAAAAGCATGATGGCAAAGCTATCCTCCAAATGTTTTCTTTAAAGAGAGAGTTGCATTATAAAAGGATGACTTAAACAAGCTTAAAAGGGCAACAGAGGAGAGTTAAGATCTGCAAAATAAATGGGTGGACATAGAAAAAGTTTTCCTAATGCTGTATCATTGACATACGATAGAGATGGGATGAATTCATATGTAACTAGCAGGTTCCTGCATATTTAGAATAAGTGAGATATGTTCCTTCCAGGTTAAAGGAAAATATACCTTGGAAACAATGAGACCATTGTTGTGAGCTCCTGTTTGGCCAAAGATGAAGCAAAATGCATAACTAATTAAAATCTTTAAACCCAAGTAATTAACTACCTTCTCCTGAGATCTTGCAGCATGTTCCCTTGCAAGAAAAAATATGATAGGTGCTGCTGCAAGTAAGTAGTTGTAATTTTAAAAGATTGCCACAGTATTACTGTTGCTATTCCTCCTATGCTAAGGGCCAGGACAGACTGTTAAAATTGTACCCCCAGCTTGAGGGAAATAGTTTACAGTATATGAGATTGGACAATTGTGTTTCGTGCTGTTATTTAACATTCTTGCAGATGATTATACCCATCACAACAAATTACCTTTATTGAGGTAATACAAGTTCACTCTGTGCAAATCTTTCAGCTTAGAATATGTGTGTGAGATAGTTTTGTAGCAATAGATCATTTTGCCATAGTGTAGGAGATTCTGGGATGGACTGTTGTCCCATTATTATTATATCCTGTGTGTTTCCCAGAAACATCTAGCTGGCCAATATTCAAAACAAAATAGTTGAGTCCTTGGTCTGATCCAGCAAGGTAATTATTGCATTGCAATTCATTTTTGGAAAATAATGGTTATGCTATGAGGCAATTGGTAATGTGTTCTAATATTGGGCAGCCAAATGTTACAGCCAGCCCTTTTATCCTTCCCCTTTCCAGGGTGTTCTAACATTAAAGTATTTCCTAGCCTTCTCTAGGATTTCCTAAAAGTATTGGAAAATGTATGGATCTGGCAACTGGGTTGAATCCCAGCATTGCATGAACCAAGTTCTGCTTGTGCAAGTGCACTTCCCCTCCATTCCTCCCCATCTTCAAATCTGCTCTGGAGGCTCGCAACCTTCCAGAGCACATATTGGAGATATACATGAGTAAGGAATGGAAGTTCTAACGTACCATTTATTGATAAACCTTTGAAATACTTAATGCTTGTGTGTTTGTTTGTTTGTTTTACTGTTTCAGTGTCCTTTTACATTCGCAAAATGCATGTCATGTCGTGAAATACCAGTTAGAGCATAATTAAATTTCTTCCTTTCCTCCATATGTATATTTGATTGTGTATGCCTTATTTAGCTGTACGAAGTATACTTACTGTTGTGAATACGACTGAACTCTCCTTTCACAAAAATACAGAATAAAGAGGCATTTTTAAAAGAACAATTATTATTTTCTGTATCCACTCTTTTCACAGTAGTTCTTCATTGGCTTGAAATGAATCTGTCTTCCAATCAAACCCCTCCCCTAATCCAAAAAAATCTTCCCTTCATTAATACATATTTGCTCCATATGCCAGCTATTCTATAGACCCACACAATTCACTTTTTATGCGACAAGTGGAAATAGTCCACAACACGAAAGGGATGCTGTTAGCCCAAACAATGAACCAAGCCATAGAAAACAACCACACATGTCTAATTATTCCCTTAGGGAAATTTATGTGAGAAGATAACCCCCCACCCAACCCAATATTTCTGAAAACAAATGCCCTGTCATTGGACTCCAATATAATATATCTTTGCAATAAACTTTGCCACTAAAGATAGAGAGCTAAAAGCTAATAGCTAATAATATTCAGTATTGGAGACCAACTCTTCTGAGCTAAGCATATCTGGCATAATACCAAGTTAAAGGATGGGGCTGAAATTATAACTCATTTTTAATTTCCCCTTTTGCACTGCTACTTCTTACATGTATGATACCTAAACACTTAAATGAGAAGTGGCCTATTGGCTTTTCATTTAAACTTGCAGAGCTTTAAAAGCAATGTGAAAAATGAAAATTGAAAAGCTCTTCAGTTGTACGTGGGGAAGGGAAACGAAACTTTCTTTTTCATACACTTCATTCTTAAGTGGCCTTTCATTTGGGCTCCAGCTTGCTCCATTTTATCCAGTGCCTTCAGATTGTCTGTGTCCCTTGAACACTCCTTACCAAAATAGTAGAATTGTTCTGAGTCCAAAGTGCCCCCCCCCATTTTTTTGTCTTTACCCTGTTTTCAGCTGCTGGTCATGTGATTCTATCCAGGGAGCAAATGAAGTTTCTCATCTTCCCATGCCACACAATTCATTTAGGGGCTTATAGCTGCACTGCTCCCTATGAGTTGCTTGTTATGGTGCAGAGTAGAAGTCTCCAGAAATAGTAGGATATTGTTATTTTTTTCTAAGTATAGATACAGTCATACCTCGGGTTATGAACGCTGCGGATTGCGCATTTCTGGGTTGTGGACCGCGCTGAACCCGGAAGTACCGGAACGGGTTACTTGCAGGTTTCGGCACATGCGCGGATGCAGCACTTCAGGCTGCGAGCGCTGTGGGTTGCGAACGTGCCTCCAGCACGGATCAAATTCGCAACGAGGTATGACTGTAGTGGCTTGTGAGTTTTGTTTACATAAACTATTTGTAAATAATTTGTCGTTCGTAATTTTTTTCTCTCCTGCCTCATCAGCTTAGACTTTGCTCCAAGAACTTTGCCTTGGGCTGCTAGACCTGAACCTTAGCATAAGCAAGGAGGGTTTTTTCTGGGGGGAAAGGAGTTCTGGAGAGAAGAAATGGGAAATGGTGTCATTTTTTTCCTATTCTTCCTTTAATCTCTTAGCATATATTCCATCAATCCTCCTTTTCTTCTAGGATACTGAATATTAGCTGTATGGGTTCAAGGAGATTCATTTCTTCTTCCCTCCAATTTCCTTTCCTCCTCCCCCCCCCTTTCAGTTGATGAGTAAACCATATACTGGCTCCATTAAATCATTTTGTTTTTATTTGTAGGCTTGGCTGCTATCAACATCTGTCATAGAACCTCAGAGGTGCTAGTCAGACCATTGTGTGTGTGTGTGTGTGTGTGTGTGTGCGCGCGCGCATACTTTTATCTCTCTCTGTGTGTATGCACATGTAGCACCTTGTCCAGAGTATTTTCAAAATCTGAAAATAGGCTCCAAATAAATTACTGCAGATAAAGGTTGATGAGTGTGTGTGTGCATATATTTTCAGAAAAAGCTCTTGTCTGGAATGACTTTAATACCAAAGTAGTTTTTTGTTCAAATCCTTATTTTTTCTTTGTCAACCACCATTGCAATTATTAGTGTTCTAAACTTCATATTATATGTAATCAAAAGAATTGAATCCTTTTAACCACTTTCTAAAACAAGTTTCTTGTGTGGCATGGCTGGAAAGAGACTTCAAATATATTCATTTTTACATTAATTATTAATTATAATAAGAAATTAGTTGGTCCAGAATTAGAAACAGTGGTCTGTGTTGGAGACAACAACCTTGTTTGGCCTGTGGGCACATTTGTATTTTTGAGCAAACGCCATAGGCACCCCTCTCTCCGGTTACTTCACACTCCTCTCCCTAGATCAGTTGTCCCCCCACCCCCAAAAGTCAGTGAAAGTGGCAATTTGAACGCACACTTTGCTTTTCCAGGGGATCTTTGTAAAAGTCCAGTGGAATTAATTTGAGCTTTGAAAAGCTCTTCTCATTATTTGAACTTACAACTTGCTTTTTTAAAAGAAGGTAACTCTAAGAGACTTGCAAAAAATAAAACAGCATGAAAACAGTATAAAATTCAAACAGTAAAAGCCGAATATTATATTTACAGTGGTACCTTGAGTTACAAATGCCTCAAGTTACAAACTCCAGTAACCTGGAAGAGTTACCTCAAGTTGAGAACTTTGCCCCAGGATGAGAACGGAAATTGTGTACCGGCGGCGCAGCAGCAGCAATAGGCCCCATTAGTGAAAGTATGCCTCTAGTTACGAACAGTTTCAGGTTAAGAACAGACCTCTGGAATGAATTATGTTCGTAACCAGAGGTAACACTGTATAAGAGAGTTGGACTAACATATCTCACATAGAAAAGGCCACATATAATCGAAACCAAAGGCCTGACAAGAAATAATCCCCTCCTCCGGCACCTAAAGATACATAATGATGGCACCAGGCATAGCTCCTTGGGGAAAGCAGCCCATAAGTGGAGAACCATCACTGGAAAGGCCTGCTCTTGTTTTTACACCTCCTGCACCTTCCTTGGAGTGGGTATATGAAGAAGGACCAAGGGTATGGGTTGGTTTATGTTGCAAAAGAGTCAGTCCATGGAGTATTGGGATCCTGAGACACAAAAAGTCTTTCTAGGTCAAAGCCAGCACCTTGAATTTAGCCTGGAAATTAATTGGAAGTCAGTGTAGTTTGCCAGAATTGGAGCTGAAAGAGAAATGGGAGAGAAAGCAACCCTTCTAATGTCTTGTCAGTCTGTTTCTAATCAATTCTTTAGTTTCTCTCCCTGCTTCCTCAATATTACATTAAAAACTATTGTGTCCATAGAGTATTCTGTTTTTACTCTTTGCTACAAAAATTCTCCCTGTATACTTTTCTGCATTCCACATGAGCATAATCTTGGTTTTGGCCACATCTTCTCCCAACACAAACATTTCCATTTCATATAAATACATATTATACATTTTCTAAATTGCTTATCTATCTCTTGTCTCACTTCTTGTAGAAAAAAGTGCCTGCTAAATCTTTTTCCTGATTTCCTTTGGAATTTCAACTCTTCCAGTTTTTTAAAGCTCTGAGCCAGTCAGGTTTCTTTCTTTTTCTAGTCGCCTTCCCATCAATTTCTGCTTGTATATTTGAATTTACAACATTTTCTCTAACATGAAAAAAAATCTTACCATGTCAGTTGTCTTTATTTAATCCATAATGTTTATCAGTCTCCCCATCCATTCAATGATAATATTAAAAAAATTCCCTGAGGAAGGTTTGTGTGTTGCCTTTAAAATCTCTGGTTAATCTGCAGTAAATCTATCAAATATTAAAACCATCTGGGATTCTTGACTCCACATTGTCCATAGACTTTTAGAAGAGCATTCAAGGGTGGACCAAGATTGGCCCATGAGCTTGGAGGTTTCCCCTACCCCTGTTCTGTACATTTGGTCATTTTAATGCTTTCCATCAGTTTGCCCCGGAGTGACCAACATTAAGCTAAGTAGCCTATAATTCTTCCTTGTCCTTGCTTTTTCTTTTTTTTTAAAAAAGATTTTTATTGTTAGTATTGCTAATAATTGGTCTCCGTATTTGAGGACTAGAAACTGCTCAATCTTGGCAGCAATTTATTTTTGTTAGATGATCAGCAATTCCACATTTGGATTCTTTTAAGAATTCTTGGGTTGATAATTTTTTGTTTTTTTTAAGTAGGGCATAGAACTTCATTTCTTGCCATCACGTTGCTCAGTTCTTTAGACAAACAGCTATCTGCCTAACATGTTCTGTAGCGAAAGTAGATGCAAATAATTCATTCAGTTTCTCTGCAGTCGTCTTTTCCTCCTTTAGTACATGCTCGGCCCACATTTCTTCAGCCCTATTATCACAGCTGGTAAAACTAGATTAGCAGGCTTTTGAAACAATACAAAATCTGCTTAATGGAGTGAAAATGGGATATGTATTTGTTACTCTATAAACTTAACTTCAGTAAATTTTACCTCGGTGGTTTACAAGACTGTAAAAACAAATCAATGATAAAAGCAAAATAATAAGAAGAACAATATTAATTATTAATAAAGTAATAATAAAATGGCATAAGCAGCAAATTCATCTTTTACACTGCATTCACATGGGGGGAGGAAAGTTGTTGTTTTTCTCTCCTCTCTTAATGTTTTGAACTTGAAGCAGGTTGCAGTAAGAAGTGTGGACAGAAGAGAGGGCAACAGAGTTATAAAGAGGAGATTTTACAGACTTGGGACAGTGGTATAGCATAAGGCACAGGAATTGTAATGGCAGGGGAGAGATCTGATATTTGATGAAAACTACAGCAGAAAAGTAATGTGCATGAGGAAGAATCCACAACAGGTGTAGCCTAGTTCAGAAGGGTGGATAAAGTTAAACATAAGAACAAGAAACTTGGAATTTGTGCGGAGCATGTACCCAGAAGAGAAGGAAAATGATTTGGGAAGGCCAGATATGGGAGAAGGGAAGGCTAGCTCGGAAAGGGATCTAGCCATCAAAATAATAGCAGTATTTTCAGAAGCCAGGTGGTTTAACTTGTTTTGCATAATGCCCAAATGTGAAGTTGCTTTAGTTCAGGAGTACAGCTGTACTTTGAAATGGGGAGAGAAATTCAGCATAGTGCTATGGCAGTCCTGTCAGCCGAAGATTTTCAGCTTGCCAGATGGAATACCCACCCTCCCCCTTTCCCCCTGTATGCTGTTCTGGAGATTCGCCCAATTCTTCCCCTCCTCCCCTGCAAATTTCAGGGCACACAGGAAGAGGAGAAAGAGAAAAAAGCCCGTTGTGCTGGTGGAAATCTTTGCACAGAATTTTGCTGAAGGGACTAGTTAGTTGAATCCCAGCCACATTGATAAAAGGACATTACATTTAGAACACTTGCAGGAAATGGGGACTGCAATTTTGCAAAGTTCTATATTGTATGTCCAACTGAAAATCAGTGGGACATAACCACCTGTGCATATGTGTAATATTTCAGGGAAGGAGCAGGACCCAAAGAACTGCTTACAGGTGAGTGCAAGGGTTTGCACACACTGGTGGATTTTTTTTTTAACAGTACTCCCACTCCCCCAAGTGGCAAATTACAAATTGCTTTGGGAAGGCCCCTTGGTACTTAAAACTCATTCACCATGGAGCATGCAGGCTGCTGTTTTCAGAAAGCATATGCACAAAGCACATTAGCTACAGAGAATTAGTTGCATGGTTTGTTAGTCTGGCCAAACTCTTATTGCAAGGGTCAGCAACCATTTTCAGCCGTTGCCGGACTATATTTTGAAAAAATAAATGAACAAATTCCTATGCCCCATAAATAACCCAGAGATGCATTTTAAATAAAAGCACACATTCTACTCGTGTAAAAACACCAGGCAGACCCCACATATAACCCAGAGATGCATTTTAAATAAAAGGACACATTCTACTCATGTAAAAACACGCTGATTCCCGGACCATCTGCAGGCCGGATTGAGAAGGTGATTGGGCCTCATCCAGCCCCTGGGCCTTAGGTTGCCTACCCCTTCTGTTTTGCTTTTCTGAATAGCCAAGGCGATAGAGGCAAATATTTATTTGTGCAAAAGCAGAAATGTGATTTTTAAAAGAGAAGGTTTTTAGAAGTCAATGAAATTTCAACAGCATAACTTTTTAAGTGCAAACACAAAATAGCTTTTTAACCCATTTTGTTTTTATAGTATTAAGTAATTATTCCTCAAATTGGGGGGGAGGGTCTTGCTATAGGACTTAGAAACTAAGAAGACACAAGGGAAGGGGATTGCAGGGACAAGGTACAGGAGGAAAAGCACTTCTTCAAGGCCAATACAAAGTGGTGAGCAGCAAGCATTTATATCCATTGTTTTTATTTGGCTATAGTAAAAGCTCAGAGTGGTTTCCAAAAATAATACATTTCATAGTTCTGTAAAAGCCCTACACCCATAGCAGCTTGAGGATGATGATGATGATGATGATAATGATAATTACACTCCACCCATCAGACTGGAGTGCTCCAGACTGGGTGGCTTCCAACATAATATAAAAACAGTGAGACATCAAACATTAACAATTCCTGTTACATGGCTCCCTTCAGATGTCTTCAGAAAATTGTGTAATCGTTTATCAGTTTGACATCTGATGGGACGATGCTCTATGGAGTGGACGCAACTACCAAGAAGGCCCTCTTCCTGGTTCCCTGTAACTTCTCGCAGTGAGGGAGCTGCTAGAAGGCCCTCGGAACTGGACCTTGGTATCTGAGCTGAACGATGGGGGTGGAGAGACTCCAGGTATAAAAGTTTGATAGAAGACTGGGGAGTGGGAGCAGTGAATTTCTGATAAAAATCCAGAATCCTTAATATACAAATGAAAGTTGGGTGGGGTTTAGTCCCGATGTCGCATGACTTTTTTTGGAAAAGGTAGAAACATAGTTCTATTGCTGCTTTCAAATGGAGAAAGGATCATTTTTGGTATACAGAAAGGCATCCAAAAGGGGAAAGGATTGGGGAGGGTGTATGGGGGAAATGTGATACAGACCCCTAAAGTGTAAATTGATCATTACATCTTCTGACCCAGTAATAAAATAGGCTGTATATGTGAAGCTGTTTACCAAGCTTCATTGCTGTGCTTAAAGCTGCTTAATTTCCAAGCATGTTGAAGCTTCTGTTTCCTTTGGTTTAATATCCACTTGTATTCCTAAGATTTTCCTGATTGAATACCCCCTTCGTGTACCTCTAAATTCTAGGGTATGTCTTCACCTGGGAGAGAGGTATTCTATACCAATAGCAAACTCTAAATACACACACTGAGAGCCACAATAGACTTACGTTTCTACCGAACTTGTTCTCTCCCTGACTCCCAACGTCTCACTTCTCTATCTGCTTTTGGTCCTTCTCTCAAAAGCGTTTTGAATCTTCTTTGATCTCTTTGTGAAAGGTATAGAGCATGTTTGTGTCTTTTGCTCCTGTGCTCCAAAGACAAATTTCTACTGAATATCCGTTCACCTTGAACTGCTTGTAGCTATAGCACTTCACAAATAAGCATATATCTAATCATCACACTACCTGCCTGGTGCCTGATAGGTTGATTTCTACCATGGGTTCTACCATATTCTTAACATACCCTCTAAAAATGTGTTTTACCTATGTGAGGTGCATTGTTAACCACTACAGGTAGGTAGTAACCTCATCCTTTTGCCCATTTCGTAAGAGAAACATAACTAATTTATAAGAACAAATGTTCAGTGTGACTTTTAAATGTTTGCTCAAATTATTGTCTCTCTGTGTTGACAACACTTTGACCAGTGTTGACAGATGGGTTCCAAGCTTCTCATTTAGAAGACATTTCTGATCTTCCATGCCATGGCTAACACATGGCTCATCCACACATCCCAAGTAATTTTGGGTAGCCCAGAAAGGTCATCAATAACCTGGCTGCAGTTAAAAAAATGTAAATGGGTGGTGCTGTTCTCTCCCCCCCACCCCCCATTGCAGAGAAGGGGAAAGGAAGGTGACACCTCTATCTTTTTACTAAAGGGCCCCTTCTGCCCCCTGGGAAGGCACTGTTCTTAAAAGGTTGTCACCATTGTTAGATCTTAGAAGGCTAGAAAACAGGAAGAAGATCTAACAGTGGTGTCACACCAAAGAAGGGGCCTTTCTCCAATGGCAAGAAGAGGCGGGAAAGTGCTGGGGTAGGGGTAGACCCTGCTTGAGAGCAAGAGCACTGCTAAGTGAATATGTGTTTTTGTCTGCTGCTGAGTCCACCCTTCCCCTGCTCTGTGTGCAGGCTCTTGTCTATCTCCTGTTGAGTGCATGAATATGTAAGTGGCATGCCTGCCTTCCCTGGCTGCTGAGACTACGTATATGTGCCTCTGAATCGGGCTTGGGTTGGCATGCAGCCCTCTACTGCTGAATTACCACAAGAGGACTAAACACGTGTAACAATTTCCCCACCAGTCTGTAAACCTGCATATAATTGGCATACATCATTACACATGCAGAGCCTATGCATAAACAGCTTTTATGTCGGTAAACAATTTTAATTGTGCTGACCTCACATAGTTTGGAATACAACAACACAATTCCACCGTTTCCTCAAAATAAATAGCATGTCATTCTTGGTGTCATTTTGCTTTTTGTTGCATTTAGAGTTTACAAACAAATCTTGGTTAATTTTTACATTTCCACAAGGGTCAAAGTAGGTTTTAAAACTCTAGGTGTGTAAAACTTACCCTTCACTTTTCTCCCTTGGCCAGTATTCCTGACTGGGTTATCGCCAGCCTATAACTCCTTAAATGGCGAACTATTTTTTTGATGCTTTTGAAAATGAGTATCTATAAGAAGCTCCGACCCTCTAAATTATAATATTGTTTACAGTGAGTGCTAAATTGCTAGAAAACAAAGTCTTGTGTGGGAAATCTTCTGATACAGACCATAATGATAAGCATTCTCTCTCTCTCTCTCTCTCTCTCTCTCTCTCTCTCTCTCTCATCAAGCCTATCTCTTATTGTTTGAGATGATTATTGCCATCAGACTAAAGTCCTTAAATGGTTTTCCCAAGATACATTATTCCTTAGATAATCATTCTCTTGTTTCCTGAAAGGGACACATTCTGCTGTGAAATTTATACAGATTCATACACTAATCTCCATCATCCTTTTCGATTGACTAGTTCGTAAGATGATGTTGGATTCAATTTGTAGTGACAGAATTCTTAAATTTATGCCTACACAATGTGGTGTTGAACACTGCCAAAGGAAGAGAAGACCTAGAAAGTTAACTGGCCTGGCTCCAAAAAACAGCTCCAGCAAAAATAGAGAATGCCAGAAAACAACAGTCAGCAACTTCAAAAATGTCCAAATTGACATGATGTCAAGCTCTTGAGTTGGGACACGTTTAGGATAAGTGTTCCATCCAAAGAGAGACATTGAAGTTGATGCTGTTCTCATGTAGAAAGACAAGCGATCTGACTATATCGCAATTCTGTAGACTTCATTTTTAAAAATGGACGAAGTTCAATAAAAGAAAAAGGAAAGGTTTTGTTTTGTTTTTTGCTTGTTTTGGATGCTGCTAAGAAAATCGTGTTTGCGTTAAAACTGAAGAGATAACATGCACAGTTTGGAAGGAAATCCAAGTCAAGTTGCTATGTAGGTGAAGCTATAGTAAGAAAAATATGTTCTTATTACGGAAAAGTGTCCTAAATTGGCAGAATGAATAGAAGGCTGCATTAAGAAACAAGGAAAACTTAAAAGAACACACAGAAATACAGTATTGGCAATGAAAATGTTTCTGAGAAGACTTCTCCAAAACAGCCAAACAAAAATAACAGTTGTTTGCCAAGTTCATAAACAAGTGGGCTATGTTAGTTGCATAATTTTTGGGTGGTTTTTCTTTTTAAAACTTGCAATAGAGTAAATTATTGGTTTTCATTAACTCTCCATAAAATACTTATAAACTTGTCATAACTTTATCTTCATACTATCCTATCTCTGTCTACTAATCATTGTTCCTTTGATAGTAATTCTATTGTTCCCTGAAAGGGACACATTTTGCTGTGAAGTTTGTGCAGATTCTCATAGCAACCTATTCCCAGCTACTGAAAGACATCTGAAATTATCTGAGAGTACAGTCAGTCTAATGCTGTCCTAGATTATTTAAGACTTGACAGTAATCAACTTGAATTGTGATTGTGCCCAAAAAGAGTAGTTCAGACACTGGAGCACTGGTGAAATGTGCTCTCGGTTATCTTTCCCACACTTGAAAGCGGGCCATAATCGTCATGCACACATTGAAGAAGATAAGGAACAAAATGGGATCCTACAGTGACCATTGCAAGTGGGTTGACAGTTTTTAGTTTCTTGGTTCTTATTGAGAGGAATGAAAGAACCACTCTGCCAAATCATGGCTTGTAGCCAGCACTCTAGCCAGGCCAAATGAAGTCTCAAACTCCAAGTGGCATTCATTAGTCAAATTTCAGATGGTTGTTGCCATACAGCCAAGTACATATTTTTTTACACTGTATATGGGTGAAGAGACTGAAAAATATTTCAAGACAATGAGTCATAACCAGAGTGCTGATGTTCTTGATTTTGTACTTGAGCTGCAACTCCCAAGTGAAAATCAATATTACAGAAAGCTGAAAACTGCTAAGAATGAAGACATCCTGGGTCAATTAAATCATTCATCACTAAAAACAATTCAGCTGGCTTTGGAGATGCAACAGCAATTGGGAAGGAGTTGCTGTTATCACAGCTAGTGTTACAGAAATTATTATGCAGAGTTCTGTGCTCTTTGGTGTGAATTGAGACTCAGTGGTACTCTTACTCCCATTTTCTGGCTCAAGCTCTGCGAAATTCTAATCAGAAAATGGTGGGGAAGGACACATAACAACAACCATGTCAGTGGCTAATAAGCCAACTTCCTATATTGCTAGCTATTGCTAGCAATAGCTATTAGGCTATTGATTGAATAGCTTTCATAGTGGATGAGTATGTCTTCAAAGCTTTATGGGATCCTTTTGGGTTCACGAGCGCTGAGGGATTGATAGTCTTAACAAGGACAGAAAATCTATTTAGTCTATTGCCTTTGTTAGCTAAACATTGTTGGAAGTACATTGCTTTGGAAGTACTGCATCCAGTGATCTAGTGGGTTTCAAATTGCAAAGCAGTACCATGGCAAAGTTGTGGAAGACCAATAAGACTTGTGGGATTTCGTGGGTGCTAGTAGAGTGGGGAAATTAGAATTGGGAGTTTGTGAGATAGAACCATCTCATCTTCCTCATCTGTTCAGTGGAACACAAAACCTCCTTTTTGGATACTGCCCTGTCTCTTCTTATCTGTTCACTGGAAAACAAAACTGCTTATTCAGACTATCATATATCAGTCTTAAATATTCTGCTAGAAATTTATTTACATCAGCCCCCTCCCTTTTTTCCACCATGGAACTCGCCATACATGGGTTCCTATATCGTCTCCTCCTCAAGATGCTGATCAGAAGCAAACAGACTTGGCTTCAGTGAGGTTTCTGCATCATGCGCCTTCAGATCATTGTTTTCTGACAGGGCTAGAAAGAAACTCTTAAAAGGCCAAGTGCAAGCTCAGCTCTTCTTTTTTTTTTTAATAATATTTATTAAGAGTTTAAGAATTAAAGAATAAGAAACAGAAAAAATAAACAGTACAAATCAACACATTACAATACATATACATAAAAAAGCAAAGCATAAAAAACACAATACATCAAAACAAAAACAGAAACAATTAAAAACATATCCAATATTTCCATATCTTTATCTTTCATTAACTTGTTTCATCGACCTCCTCACACCTCCCTTTTTGTATTCTAGTTATTAATTGTTTCAGCAAATCCTTTCCATCTTTCACTATTTTCTATCATATAATTATCATAATTTATTTTAACCTTATCTTACTATTAATACCCTAAAACTTATTTATACTTAACTCCTTATAACATTTCTACTAAAGCCGTATAATTTCATTCCAACATTTTTCTAACACTCATTAATTTTACAACATTTCTCTAAATAAAATTAAATTAAAATTCTAATCCTCTTCCACCGTCTCCTCTCCCTGGTCTCGGATTCTGTCAGCCCTTTCTATCAATACCATATAGTCCATTAACCTGGTGACCTTCTATCCAAGGCTCTTAACTCTCTTCCCTGTCCCTTCTGCAGATCTTCTTCATATATATCCATGCATATTGCTTTGTCTTCTGCTGATCTTGGTCTTAATTTCCTTCCTTTGGCACTGAGGAGTAGATCTCGGGGGAGCTCCAACCTAGCAATGTCTTTATTCCTTCTCAACAGGTCAGCCCATTCTCCATAGTCAGAATTAAAGTCCAAAAGATATTTCAGAGCGCCACTCTCCCCCTGACCCAAATCCCAATCCCAAAGGCCAAAGCATCCCTGCATAGGAGGATCTATCCAACTTTCCTTCTCCAATCCAAGCAGGGTTTCATCCAACCAAATCTGACTTTCTCTAGATTCAGTCATAAAAGGCAACAGCTTATTTTCATCAAATTGCCTCCGGGAGGCCGGAGCTCCCTCCACTTGAATTACTTGAGATTCAACAACAACTTTCTCCTTCATCTTCTCCACAGCTTGCCATATCAAAACAGATTCCTGGGTCAATTCCTGAGTAATTTCTGTATAAGTATTCCCTTTTTGACCCAACTCGGCCGTTTTCCCCCCCAAGTTGTCAATTTTAGTAATCCTCACATCCGTCTTCTCATGAAGCTGTTCCAATAAAGCACTTGTCTTGCAAAATGCAATCACTAGGGCTTCTGTCAACATTCTTGTCCAAGGTCAAACTCTAGTTCTCACACTCTTTAATCTCTGCAGCTGGAAAATTCCCCAGCTCCACTCCTGCAACAGTTCCAAAAGCTCCCTCTAAAGGAAACAATTTCTATTTGTATCCATCCTTTTAAGGACAGATCCAGCCACCGGGCTAGTTTCAATTTTCAGTTACTTTTTTTCCTCCTTTTTAAATGTAAAAGGAAACAATTGAAACAGTGTATTACTCTTACTTAACTATCTGTCAACATCGTTTTGTTCTCAGTCAATGAAGCATTAATCTTACTGACAGTCCATTCCCAGGTTCGAAACGGTGATGATTTATCTTTCTTCACTCTCTCTCCTGCAGGCTTAAACAATAAAATTTCCCCCCTCTTCTCCTGCTTCCAAGGGGGGGTTTAGTTATTTTAACCGATGGAGATTTAATCCTTCACATAAAACTGTCCAGGCTTTAGCTTGCAACGTCTTTGCTTTACTCTGTTTACAAGAAAGGAAGGCGGACTTCCTGTTTGAGACCTTCCCGTTTCGATGCCAAATTAAAAAGTTTAGAAATCCAATTTTCCGTTCTACTCACGGGTAGTTGTTTAGAGTCCAATTGTCCACAGGAAAAAGTCAGCGCTCTCCAGCAACAGCAATGCGGCTTCACTCTGTGAAAGAAGCAGTCGATTCAAAGCACCGCGCCGCTCACCCCACGTCGCTCCGGATCCCCGAAACCAGGTTTCCCCGCGAGTAGGGGAGGCGCAAAAGGTGCCAGCCGAATCCCACGTCCACAGGCTTCTCCCGCCTGTGGTTTTTAATGGGTCTCCGCCTCGCCGTGGCGGTTCAGACCCTGTTTTCCACGGAGCGGATTCCTCCCGATCAGAGGAAATCCGCCATTGCCAGAGGCGCCAACCCGGAAGTCCCAAGCTCAGCTCTTCAGGTGGTAAAACAGTGGCCCTCTTCACAGGCTAGCAACAGTGCTGTGTGTTTCCTTACAATGATGCTCTGTGCGGAGCCTCCAGGTAGCACGAATGCTGGGAGAGCCAGGCTACATGGCTTTGATTTTCTGCATGGAACAACTGATACACCAGTAATACATAAGTATATTTGTGTTCTTACTCTCCTAGCCCATGAAGCAAAATGTCCTACCATCACAACCATCCTTCATAAGCTGCAAGCAAGATTTTCATCAAGGATTAACTTTAAACCTTTTATTATTCCATAAAATTCATATGCCACTTGATGGTTAAAACACCTCAAAGCAGTTTCCAAAACTTCCGTTTCAAAGTTTTTTACAGATGAAGCAGAGAAAGAGCCTAACTTTTTGACATAAGAAAACAGCACAGCACAGCCAGTGGCTAACCTCTGACAAACTGTTGCAGTTGTCTTAAAATTTATGATTGCTGATTTTACCACCTTATCATTTTTACTCTGCCACTTTTTTTGCTTGTCTAATAGGCCTGTTCTTCATGGCAAACTGATTTCAAACTGTAAATATGACTAGATTTTCAAAAGCTTCATAGAATGCAGGTCTGCTGTTCAAAGGAAGAAGGCAAATTGTACTGGGCATATCCAAGTCTTATGGATCCTGACTTTCAGTAACACGTTAATATTTGAAAACAAAATATAGAGGCTCAATTCACCCATTTATGTAGCAGCCACTCAATGGGAAGCCAAAGCAATCCTAGCTATGTGGCAGGTGTACTTTTATGATATACACATTCACTGTATTCACAATTTACATTATTGGATTGCATTGCATTTTTTTTAAAAAAAGATTGCACGTAGTCCTAAATAAGTCATCTTTACTATGTCTCAGAGGCTGTTGTTGGAAGAAATGCTATATTTCCCTCAAATTTTCTGTGTTTCAAAATAGACTCTCTGCATGCAGCCTGAAATTGATTTCCATTGATAGACTCAATGAATCTGATTGAGTTTATCTTTGAATTGTCAAAAGGTGTCTAGAACTAAGTCTAATAATTTATCAGAATTGCAGTTTGGAAAAAAATGCAATCAAATTTCTGAACTATTTTTTTTTTTTTTTAGAATAAGGTTTTTCCCCAGAACAGATGCTTATATGCCTGTGCCAAGAATGGATTCAGGCCACAACACAGTTTACATACTATCCTAATTTATTCTAGTATCAACATGAGCCTAAAGAAGAGGAACACAAGAACATTCGGTCAGCTTTTCTTGAGATGTATGCATTGTAATTGGTTCTGCGAGGCTGCTATCTTTTGCATCCTGATCTATGGGACTTGTTTCTGAATATACACATATAGACTTGCACTGGAAAACCTTGCATATTTTGAACACGTTTCAAGCAAGTCACATGGAAATACCTGCACTTATAATTAATAATATTATCCCTGGATGCAAATCATACCTGAAATGTATTTGAATTTTCTTTCTGTGGATTGACACTGCTTTCAATTTTTTCTCTGGCTGTGTTGATCATTCTTAATTTATCATATTTATTTTATCAGGGCTTTTCTGTAGTACTTTGTTTCCTAGCCTGGATTAATATTAGTAAGCAGTAAGAATAATTAAGAAGGTAACTCAGACTACGAGCAGGGAGCAAAGCTGGTTACATCTAGATCCACAAGTTCACCTTTAATTATAGCTTTTTGTTTTTACATAAAGCAGCTTTTTAGTTGCTTCAGATACACAGCTGCTAATTCATTTTCTTTTCAAGGATCCAAATATAACTTTCCTGACATGTTAAAAGCAAAAAAAAAGTATCCAAATCTCTGATGGAGGATTTTCTCTCTGCATCTTCTTCCCTAACCATTGTCATTCCACTCAAATTTGCCATGATCTCTTTAGTAATTCTTCATTTCCTGAGACGGCAGACTTTCTATCACAAAATAAATATAAATAATATATTCTTGTTTCTTACTTTTTGTGCTTCTTACTTTTCACCACGTTGAATTCTGCTCTGGGCAGCTCCTTCAGGAACAACATGGGAGGTGGGAGGTGACTTAGTGCGGGAAGGAGGTATATATATTTTTAAAAGCCCCAATGTGTAAGCAGAAAATGGTACAGCCATTTAAGTCCTGACTTATTTAGCTAAATATTAGAAGCCATGTCTGGCAAATCTAGCCTCAAATACATTTCTGTAGTAACAAAGAGATGGAACCAATATAATGTTGAACAAAAGGAACTTGCATCTTCTCTTTGTTAACAATGATCTATAGACTTGATGCTAAGATATTGGTTAGTTTGTAATCAAACTCCTGCTGCCTTTTAAGTTTTACAGAATAGCTTTAATAAGGGGGTGGGATTTGTTAGCAAAACAGCACCTCTGTCTTCAGGGCTTAAAATAAGGTATCTTAACTAGTCAGTGAACTTTAGTCTCATATTTCTCAAACAGTAGCTTCCCATGCCTCCTGGCAGACTCTTTTAGGAGCTGAAAAGAATTTCAAAAGCAGCTTGTAATACAGGTTTTACTGTTTGGGGGTGGGGCCAAAAATCCACAAGGCAACTGCTAGCCATTGCAAGATGGAGCTGTGCTGCTCCTGTTTCTTGTTCCCAGAATCTGATAATTAGAATACAGATAAGATGGTTCAGTTTAGTTATCACGACATTGGTAGGTGCATCCTTCATTCTTTTTTCATAAGTTGTCTGAAGTCTATCACTAACTCTAGTGATGCATTAAAAAATGAACACTAAAAAAACAATGCTACATTTGGTTGTTCTACGGTGGCTGTAATATGCAGAAATCTTTTCTCCCCCACACAAAGCTTTTTAACAGTGAGCCATGATTAAATTAGGAAGTGTTCAGTGGAGCAAGCCAAGTTAAAATTTGGTTTATGACCCTGGTTTGTTTGAAAGCTGGTAACCATAGTTTCCTGTTTTGGATGAAGTGGGAAGCAGTGGCTGAAGACTTCTTGATTTAATCATGGCTCACTGTAAAAGGATTGTGCGTACTGGCAGAAATCTCAAATCATCCAAACCAGGTCATTGTGCCACAAGCATTTTTAAACAGTGGAATGAGACAGATTTCTTATTCCACTGTTTGAAACAAGATATGAGAAAGTGGAAATAGAAAAGTTTTCATATATAATGACATAAAAGCTGACATGTTTATAAAGACCAAAAGAATTCAATGGTAAAAATAGCATACCCTCATTTATGCTTCAACTAAATATTAGTGTAATATATGTTCATAAGAAATACATTTGTACTGGCCTCAGCTATGGTTGTAAAATGAAAATTTTGGGGTGTATAAGGGTATATTGTATAATCACACTGAGGCTTACAAGCCTGTTAGACACAAAGGGACTTCTGTAATTTGAGACACTGTGTGTCTTAAAACAGTGTCTTGCTATGCTCTTGCACAATTACCATTCATGTCAATGGCCTGTTGTCTTCCACCTTGTTTCAGAGAGAGAGAGATAAGAAAATAGTGAATATCTTTTTGTGCCCCTGTAAATTGGATGCAAGAGAGTTAGAATTTATGCTTCCTTGAGTTATTTTCTTTTTTCACATCTTAATTCAGCCTCTCTTGCTCAAGAATGAGCAAGGATTTAATTTAAAATGGACAATTGAAATCTAAGGCTTTTCTACTTTCTCTGTTGAAAACATTCAGCATGGAAAATGTCACAAGGAAAGACATGCAAGTTTTGGGCCTTTACAGCTCATTTGTAGGAAGAAATGTGCAGCTGGTGATTGTGTGGTGGACAAATACTTGTTACTGGGGAAAGCCTATTCTTCCCCCAGCTAGCAATGAAATTGAGAATACAGTGTGGAAGATATGTTAACTGGTGTCATTGGTACAAAACAGTGCCTACCTGTCCAATGAGTGATAGAAATCTCTGGTGCTCTACATGCACCATTTTATAAACTGTTTTTAAGTTTAATTCTTAGTTTTGTTTTTAAAAGATTAATGGCAGAGGATGAGTATTCTGTGGCTATATCACTATAGCAGGGAGTCATTCATCTAGCGTCTAGAACAGTGGTTCCCAACCTTTTTTTTTGGTCATGACCCACATAAGCATCTCTAAAATTCTGACCCCCCCCCCCAGTACATATAATTCTTCTTATTCAAAAAGCGAACTCCTATTCACGTGGAGGAAGCCTAAAAGGCCATTCACTGTTAATAACTCATTCTCGAGTTGCCCCCCTTAAAAATCAAATTGCCCTCCGTGGGGCGTGGGCCCCATGTTGGGAACCATGGGTCTAGAACATAGAACATGCAAAGTGTCACAGGATCAGTCCCCAGCATCTTCAGCGTCTTGCTACAAACATGGGAAACTAATGCCAGTCAATGTGTGTTCTGATTCTGTATAGGGTAGATTCTTGTGCTCTAATCCCACATGCAAACTGGAGACATCATCGAAGTTCTTCCTTCCTTCCACAGCAACACCCTTCCATTTAATGAACCTTTTGCTATTTCTCTTCTCCTTGTCTCTCAAGGATAAGCACTCTTCCCTTCTGATGTTGGATTAGACATCTACCCTTGTAAGCAATTTAGTGAACAGGGTTATGCTATGCAGCACCCCACAGTGAAGCTAAAACATTTCCTTCCATTATAAGTGGGATATTCTTTCATGTGCTGGATCAGGAGCAGCAAGAGTTTAGTGTTACCTTGTAAATACCCTCTAGTGGATGGTAGCCTGCTCCCCACCCCAAATTACTAGCCTATGGTAGGCTGGCAGAAAAGGTGCAGAGAGCTGTATTTCAATGCTGGGCATGGATGAAGGGGCTTCCCTCCTCTAGCAGCCCTCTTGGCTACTATACTGAGCTCAGCGGACGAATGGGGCACTCTGTGTTTCAACTGATGGACTCAACCTTCATGCAGTTCCTGGTCAGCTGTGGTTGCCAGGGAAGTGTTCAGATGCAATAATGATTTAGTGCTAAGGGAGAAAAAAGTCTTACTGTCTGGAAAGGCTCAATAGAGGCTTTGCAGCCCCTCTTGGTTTTGTGCCAGCTTTACCCGTCAGTGGTAGTACAGACAGAAGCACCCCACATGTCTGGACTATGATGATCAGAAGAACTGACACAGTGCACCTGCTGATTCTGAATATTGCAGCCCTGTAGATGTACTTTAGAAATCAGATATGTAAAGCAATATAAACTTACCAACTCAGGGGGATCTTTGCAGACTGAGTTGGAATGCAGAGACATGGGTGAAAAAATACAAGCACTTACAGTGACTTTGAACATTTCATTGCTGATCAGCAACAGGCTGCATAAGTTCCTAGTGCTTCATATTCATTTACAACAGGGGTTGTCAACCTGGTCCCTACCACCCACTAGTGGGCATTTCAGGATTCTAGGTGGGCGGTAGGGGGTTCTACAGCACAAGCTGAATCCTCCTTCCATCAAACACTGGTGGGCGGTAAGGAAATTTTAACATCAAGAAAGATGCATTAGTGGGCGGTAGGTATAAAAAGGTTGACTACCCCTGATTTACAGCTATGTTCCTTCTACAATGTAGCCTTTGCTTCAGAGAGTGCAGGCTTCATTGCAGAACCTTTGTTTCAGATGTGACATTGCACAAATGCCGGAGACTTGGGCACCCCATTCTTGCCTAAGTAATATCCAAGTTGCTCTTAGACTGGGTTTCAGTCCCCATGGTCTGCTTTTGAGTCCTGATTCTAAATTATTATAATTTAGTGCTTGGAAGCAAATAAGGAGAGATTCCTCTCTTCCGAAGAGACAGTATTGGAATTGTGGCTAAATTGGACAGTGCAGAGCAGTGTGTTATTGTTCACCTGTACTGTGGAATGGAAGCCCACAACTGCAGGGTGCATGCGACCCTCACTATATATTATGTACCTTGTTTGGAAGCTTATCACTAATATGACCACAGTGTCACCTGGAGAAAAAACAAAGCACCCAAATAGTGGCTTTCAAATTTTGTTTCTTCAGGGAATCCATTCCATGAACATTTGTCTGCTAAGAAAATCCCATCTGTTGGAAACTTAACACCAGCTAGGCCTTTTAGACATAATCACAGTTGTGATTATGACGACTGAAATTATGCTCTGCAGCTGGGGAAAATCTGTAATGGAAAACCTACTTCATGGAGGAAACCATTCAGAACAATCACTCTGTTCTTTGGAAACAAAGTTTGAAAACTACTGCAGGAGGACAGAGTGCTCTTGAACTCTGGTCCTACCTTCCAGCTTCCTACTGGCATCTGGTTGGCCACCGTGAGAACAGGATGCTGGACTTGATGGGCCACCGGCTTGATGCAGCAGGCTCTTGTGTTCTTACTGCCATAAATGGGTGCCCTGTAAGCTTTAGGTAAAGCATTCATTTTTTACAAGCTTCGATGGCTGCTTGTGCAAGAAGTATTGCATCAAACACATAGCTAGACATACATAAATGTTATCAAAACCAACTCCATACCAAATGAAATGCACATAAAGGGTTTTTCGTATGTAACGGTAAATGGTTTATGTCTTGTTCGTAAGAAGAGTTCCAGTTGTTTCAGGGAAAGTAGTATTATCCTTTAAAAAGGTGGTGGTGCGGGATTCATCAAGTTGAAGAATATTTTGCAGTTAATGATGAAATGGAGGTCCTAGAACACCAAACCTACTGACACTAGATCAGGGTGCAGAACCCTCACCCCAAGGACTACATTCTCACAGGCAATCTCTGGAGGTGGCAGGCCAGTCCTCGGAGGGGCAGTGGGGAGAGGCAAAAGTGTGTGGGGCAACAAATGAAATTCTTAACTTTGTGCAGTAGGCTACGCATCAGCCACACCCAAGCCAGGAATGCATACACACACCTAAACTATTAGTCGTAATTGAAGGACACATTCCAGGCAAAAGCACTTGAGGAGGGTTAGCTGAGCAGTGTCTGTGTGGGGAGGAGCCCAAAGGAGTCTTAAGAGAGCACGAGCTGCAGGTTCCCTATCCTGACTTAAATAATAATGTAGAATGCTTTTACTTCTTTAGTGCAAGATTGACCTAACCGTTTGAGTTTTGTTTGTTTTACAGATAAAAGCAAAAAACTATGACAAAGTAGAAAAGGTGAGTGTATAAGTATGGCCTATATTTTAAATAGATTTGGAAGGAAGAATAAATACATGGATCATCTATTCTCCTTTGTTAAGTGATGTGGAGAAGTCAGTCTTAAGCTTGCAAACAGCTAATTTGTGCTAGCATTTGCCTTGGAAATTAAGTATAAAGTGTCTGCCACTTTGTGGCAAAAGGCAAGAAACTTGGAAAGAGGAAGAGATACACACCCCTTCCCATTTCTAACATCTGCTTGAAAACCCATTTTCCACAAGAAGGTTTTGGGGCGATGGCCTAGTGGCGGCTCCCACATGAGTACCTCAAAAAGAGGTTGGGCCGCCCCAGCCTTGTGACTTCAAAAGCACTTACATGGTGGTGCCATTTGTGAGAACCACATGGCGTTCTCTGCCCTCCATATGGGTACTGTCTATGTGACCACCACAGTTAATGCAATCTGGCAAGTCTTTTTCAAGATACTACACCAGGCATCCCCAACCTGTGGCCCTCCAGATGTTTTGGCCAACTCCCATGATCCCTAGCTAACAGGACCAGTGGTCAGGGATGATGGGGATTGTAGTCAAAAACATTGGAGGGCTTAAGGTTGGGGGTGCCTGTACTACACTCATGCAAATTGTAGCAACTACACAAACATTTCCCACATGGAGATGCCAGACACTGCCTCTGTGTGAGTGATGCCAGTCTGCGAGCTCACAATCTTGTGGCACTCATAAGGGAACTACCATTAAGTATGAATTGAGTCTGTATTTTTGTCCTCGTGAAGGGAAGGGACATTCCACAGTGGGGGTGCCACCTTTGAAAAGGCCATTTCATTCACTGTATCACATGAGGCTGCTTCACTCACTTGGCGAGGGGCATTCTGGGAAAGGTCTCTGAAGAAGATTATAGGATCCAGGCAGGTAAGAATGGGTGGAGGGAATCCCTCAGGTAACCAGGGCCCAAGCCACTTAGGACCTCAAAGTTTTACAGCAGTGTTATGAATCAAGCCTGGAAATGGACTGGAAGCTAGTGTAGATGGCAAAGTACTGGCATAGTATAATCAGAGTCACCAATCCCAGTTCATAATCTTGCTGCCCTATATTGGACCAGCAGAATTTTTCAAGGCAGCCTCACATATTGCAGTAGTCCAAATGGGAGGTTACCAAAGCACAGCTGTCTGTCTAGGTAAGATTGCAGTTGATATGTCACCTTCAGCTGATAAAAGGCACTCTGTGCCACTGAGGCCACCTCTGCGTTCAGTGACATGATAGACCTAGGAGCAGCCCAAACTACAAGCCTCGGAAGCTTTCTTCCTTTCCAATCCTGGTTTGAGTTCAAGATGGGGTTGCAAAAGTTTCTACCACAGGCTTTTTCTGCACTCAGAGTCAGGAGCTCTGTTCTGGAGCTCACAAGTGAAGCCAATCCCAGTTGAGCTTGCATTTATTATGAAATTTTTAAAGCACCACTTACCAAAGAACAATTGGGAACACACTTTTAAGGCTCCTGATCATTCCTTTGCAGCAGCAGTTTTACCTGCCTCAATCCCTGCTTTAGGGGGAGTACAACTCTCTCCAGAACAGGTTTAAAACCACTCAGATAAATGGATGAACCACTTAGTAAAGTCATTCCTCCTTGTATGCTCATCTGCTGTTATGCTCATATTTCCCAGTCCCACTTAGTCCTTTCAGCTGTGATCCAAAGTTTATTTACTGCTCCTACACACAGTAATTCAGAGGTTTTCAGGGCATGTATCTGTGCTTCAATATGTGTAAAGTGGCAATGTCAAAACAGAGGTACACCACTATGCCAAACAGAGGGTGCATGTATTGCAAGGTTCTCGTACAGGATGGATGCATTTCACAGTTCTGACAGCATCCTTGCCTTTACATTAAGACTTGGCTGTTATTCCTGAGTCTGTGCCTGTCTGTTTTAAAAGGAATGCAGACTGAACCTTAGTTTGTTTGTTCAAGCTCCCAAGTGCCTCCTGATGTCTATTCATGGATTCCTGTTGTTGTTTTTCTTCAATGTGACTAGCTGTTTCAGAGGTGCCTTATGAAAGTTTTACACATTGACTTATGGAAGTGCTACCTTTCGTATGTGCGAGAAACCAAAGGGAAGCTACCTAGTTATAAGTAAGTAAATGCTGTTTGTGTTAGCTTCTTTTTTTATTGCAATCTAATTCCTTTTTCAGTTAAGGATGCTGAAGCAGGATCACAGTCTCCCAAGTTAGCTTCTGATTTAAAGTAATAATTAGACAACTACTGCCCATAGACTTGCCCATGTAGCAAGGTGAAGCAACCTCCACCAAGACAGGGGTTGGTAAAGGAAGGAACTGATGCCTGAAAGGTTCAGCAAGACATTTAAAAGTGTTGGCTCCAGTGGGGGTCACATGGGGACACCCAACATAGAATGTTGTCCTAGATGGCCTAGTGCCATAAATTCGGGTCAGCACTGACGCCTACATGGTGTTCTTTGTCATTGTATATATGCCTCTTGATTCCTTCCAGTTGATTATTAAACTTCATTTGCCAACAAAGTGGCACTTCTGAAGCAGCCTTATACAAGATACCAGAAGGATCTGTTGCTTTTTCCCACTGATCTACTAATCCAAAGAAGGTGTGATCGTCACAGCTGTTTCTGATTCCCCTCCCACTGACAAGTTCTGTTTATTTGATTTAGTTATGAAATTTCTAGGCTGCTCTTCATCACACACAGCAATTACAGGGCAAGTTCTCAAATAATATAAAATTACATCATAAACCTAAAACAGCAATAAAATACAATCACTAAGAGGCCAATTATCAGTAAAACATAGCCAGTGCAGGATAAACCTGAGACTTTGGGTAATCTCTGCTAATTTCCTCCCAAAGCCAGGAAGTACAAGTATGCTTTCACTTGGCACTAGAAACCTAACTAAGTTCTTACCATCTGCACTTTCAGGGAGAGAATTCTATAGTCAGAGCAACACAGTGCCACAACAAACCATGCCTGGTGCCATTTTTATTTACTCTTTTAAGTATTTCTTCCAATCACATCCCATGTAAGAAGCTTAACAACAATAAGGGTTGTACAACTAAAAACAAAACCAGTTATTTAGAATCCTGTGCCAACTGTGTAAACCCAGAGAAAGAACAATAAGAGCAACATTTACAGGATAGCATCCCCTCATATAAACAGGCATGTATTGCGTTTCTTTCAAAATATTAAAAGGATGATGAGGAACCATTAGTGAGCTTTAGTTAAGTCAACCAGCTACAAATCCACCTAACACTTACCTCATTCAGCTTCTCCACAAGAATATCATGGGGGACTATCAAAAGCCTTACTGAAATCAAGATACACTACGTCCACAGTATTCCCCTGATCCACCAAGTGAAATGAGATTCATCTGGCATCCTTTTCTAAGTCCTCACAGACCAACCATTATCTGTTCTAGGACCTCAAGCTGACCAGTCAGTAGTTACCTGGGTCTTCTCTCACCCCTGGAGATTTGAATTCTTCTAAAATAGCTAGATGCTCCCTTACCACCTCTTTTTTATCTTAGACTGCAGCTCCCTCCTTGCATAATTTGTTCTGTTATCACTAGGCTGGGCACTGCTTATTAAGATTGTAGTTTAAAACTGTAATTTTTGTAATTTTAATAGTAATTTTACTATGTGGCTCTAATAGTGTATGTGTTTTCCTCCAGAGAAAAAATGGCTCAGGCATATGACTTTGCTCTGGATAAAATTGGCATGGAAATAATGTCTTACCAGGTATGTTTCTTTTCTCATTAAATATTTTTTAGTGGTGTTTGATTATAGCTACAAACTAAATGTTTACTGCTCTGATTCTATATATTTTTACCTTAGATCTGGGTGGATTACATCAATTTTTTGAAAGGCGTGTAAGTACAAAAATCTGCCTTCTGTCTTAATTAATGCAGTGTTAATATTCGTACAGGTTGCAGTATGTAATTGGTGGTATGTTACTGTCTTGCCTCACAATTTAGTGAAGCAGTAGGATCCTATGCAGAAAACCAGAGGATAACTGCTGTGCGCAGGGTATATCAACGGGGCTGTGTGAACCCAATGATCAACATCGAGCAACTCTGGCGAGATTATAACAAATATGAAGAGGTAAATAAAAAGATGCCTGATGTTCAAACAAGATTTAGCTATTTTCCTCGACCTGCAGCAGTGAGGTTACTTGAATAGGCTCTCTGCAAGCCCCTTTCTATTGCAAGTGTAGACCTCTGAAAAACATTGTGAAGGGTGGACAGAAGGAGCAGGACAATAAAGTCTTTTTCTGTAAGCAGCACAAACCTGCCTCTCAAACTTGCTGGGACTTTTTGTTTGTTTGCCAGTACACTTTTGCCCCAATTCTAGGTGGATGAGGCTACTTCCATTGCCTTAAGGATACTGGGTCCTCCAACCATCTTTAGATTCTTCATCTGATGGTGTTCTTTGTACAGTGGGAAGGACCATCTCCCAGCACCAGGAACAAGAGAACGAGGAGCTCCAGTGCACTGACTTGAGAGACCTGTGCCTATCATTTCATGGATACTTTAGTTGGGATTCCTGCATTGCGGGGGGTTGGACTAGATGATCCTTGGCATCTCTTCCAACTATAAAATTCTATGATTGTATATGCTTAATACCACTGGGCTGCAGAACATAGGATTGTCTCCTACTGAAACAGCAACTTTACCCTCCTTGAGCAGGACCCTAATCCAAATGACAAGTGTTTTCCCATTTTGTCTAGCAGAATAAAATTGTAGAATAAAATTGTACATAACATAATAACAATAACCCCTCCACACACATTGTTGAAAAGGTCATAGATTGCTTAATCAGCCAAAGGCCTGGGAGAAGAAGAATTGTTTCCAGCATGTGCCTAAAGATATGTAATGAAGGTGCCAGGCAAGCCTTTGTGGGGACAGCATCCCAAAAACGGGAGCCACTGCAGAAAAAGCCTGTTCTCAAGTACCATCCGCCAGACCTCTTGTGGAGGAAGCACACAAAGAAGGGCCTCAGGTGATGATTGCAAGGACTGGGTCAGTTCATATGGGTAGAGACAGTCCTTGAGGTATTCTGGTCTTGAGCCATTTAAGGCAGGCTTCCTTAAACTTGACCCTCCAGATGTTTTGAGACTACAATTCCCATCATCCCTGACCACTGGTCCTGCTAGCTAGAGTTGTAGGCCAAAAAACATGGAGGGCCGCGTTTGAGGAAGCCTGATTTAAGGCTTTATAGGTCAAAACAAGCACTTTGAATTGGGCCCGGAAACCAATTGGCAGCTAGTGTGGTCGGGCCAGGATTGGTGCTATAAATAAAAAAGCCCAAACGCTTAGAAGATAAAGCAATTAAAACAATTAAAACAATCAGAGTAAGGCCAACTCCACAGCAGACAGCATTAAGGGGGCAGCCTTTGCCTTTGCTCTCCCACTGAAGTGGCTCTTCCCAAAGGGAGCCCAGCTTTTATTCCACCAGCCCAGCTAAATGCCCATCTAGGAGTGAAGTTTTGGGTGTTTCTGGGAGCTGCCAAGTCAGGGCTTCTGGAGGCAAAGCTCAGGAGTCCCCCTGGGAAGCAGGCAGCTAGTTCCCCCTTCGATGTTCCTGGGAGTCCTCCCTTTCTCACATGGGTGCTGTGCATCCAGAAACCCCCACAGCAGCCCAGCTTTTATTTCACCACTTATTTGGGGACAAGTACGAAGTGACAGCTTTCCAGTGCAATTCTATGTTGATTAATGCTATCTAAGTCTCAGTGAGTTCCATGATGCTTACAAATGAGGCAGCATGCATGGGATTGCAAGCCTGGTCCTGAGCAGGGCTTCACTTCTTGTTTTCTGTCTTCCAGGGAATAAACATCCACTTAGCTAAGAAAATGATTGAAGATCGCAGTAGAGATTATATGAACGCTAGACGTGTGGCTAAGGTACAGGCTCCCGGTTGTTTTGTTCCCCTTTTGTCTTGATTTAATACAGCATGGATATTTGTTGCATGCTTGAGCTGCAGCCGATTACTAAGTGGAGTTGATAAAGAGTAACTTTAATATAAAGTTTTGTTTCGAAGCCCACCTTAATGAAACCTCTTCTCTGTTCCTTTCTGTCTCTTCAGGAATATGAAACTGTGATGAAAGGTCTGGACCGCAATGCTCCTTCAGTCCCACCCCAAAATACTCCCCAAGAAGCTCAGCAGGTAGACATGTGGAAGAAGTATATTCAGTGGGAAAAGAGCAACCCTCTACGTACTGAAGACCAAACCCTTATAACAAAGAGAGGTGACTGTACATTTTTGTTGTGCTCCTTAGAAATAGTGCAAAGATCACCATAGTAATTAAGTTGTGCTGATGTTACTTTGGGGTGCAGGACTCTTACAAAATATACAAACCTAGCTGCCTGGACTGTGTACTTAAATCCCATTTATTGCAGTGGGCTTCGTTGCACTTTGCTTTTCTCCAGAAAGAAAAGTTTCTACTTATATATTCCTAGCACTCCATAGGTAGATAATTTGCAAAAGGAACCTGTTGGTGCCTCTTGAAACAGTAGACATAAGCTCTCATGGCTCAGGGTGCAAAAACATTTGAAATCTTATAAAGAGAACATCACGTTGGTCCTTTTGCCATTCAAGGGCATGTATAATGAGACTTTCCTGTGAGGACAGAGCTCAGTTTTTTTTGACCACCAACAGTTTCAAAGTCAGCATTTTATTAGCTCGAGAGGAGTCGGGAATTATATGTCTGGAAATCTCTAAAGATGTTGATAGGGCATAGAATTGAAGAGGGCGGCTCTTGAGATCATGTGGCTGGCTCTTTAAGAGACCTGCATTGTTAGTTACATTTGTGAATCATTGGCAGAAATGCATCAGTGATTCAACTTGTAAGGTACCACCCGCTAGGAATCTATCTTGTTTCAATGTCTTCCCATAGTGATGTTTGCATATGAACAATGCCTGTTGGTGCTGGGACATCATCCAGATATTTGGTATGAAGCTGCACAATATCTCGAGCAATCCAGCAAACTACTAGCTGAGAAAGGGGTAAGAGAAGACAGTAAGAAATACTGCATTTTATGTACAGCATTTAAACATATCTATAATTGGTACTAAACTAAATAAGTTGAACTTGGGTCCATTGAGATCCGTGTGAAGTTAGACATGATTAAGGCAAGTCACGATTTCAGTGACAACTAAATTCAGCTAATTTAATCTGGATCCAGCCTATGTTTTCGTTTGTTTGTTTTGTGGGACCTTGTTATTTGACAATGAAGTAGTGAATTCTATCAAAGTTGTATGGGATCATATGCAAAAATATATCATCCCATTTTTAAATTGTGGGAGATCTTTAAAAGAGAAAATAAAAATGCCAAGTCCATAAAAGTAATTAAGTATTCTGAATTTACCATGTTGCTAAACTATATTCAATTTTTACAATTAGCCTGTGAAGTGAAATCACATGTTTCTAATAAGATCCATTATTGTAGCTGCTGAGTTCTTGCTACAAGGTAACCCACTTGGGTTTACAATATTCCTGTAGAGTTGTTAATGAGGACAGGACTGAAAACTATTTTTATTTTTCATACTAGTCCTACAGTTAGTTGATTTTCTCATATTTTCTCGATTCCAGGACATGAACAATGCTAAACTGTTTAGTGATGAAGCTGCAAATATTTATGAACGAGCAATCAGCACTTTACTAAAAAAGAACATGCTTCTTTATTTTGCATATGCAGATTATGAAGAGGTGAGTCCTTAGGTGACATTATTCTTTCAATCTCCAGTTCAACTAGCTTTTTCTTTCTTGTGCATAATCTTGATTGGAGAACTTAATCTTGGCAAATTCAAATAATCAGGGCTGGTAATAATTTTGAGCATAAACTAGTTAAACTAAACATGGGCTTTTTTGTATTTTCTCAGAGTCGGATGAAATATGAGAAGGTACACAGCATATATAATCGGCTCTTAGCTATTGAAGATATTGATCCCACGTTGGTATGTTTAGTCATCATTGTTTCATCTTGTTGAGATGACTATAGAATAAAACGTTGTGTATTTCTCTTTGGTCGGTTCCCAAAGTATTCCAGTTGAAAATGTATAGATAATGTCAGTCACATTTTCAATGTTTGTTATCAATTGCCTTTTTTCTTCCAATTTTTTTTGTACATTATTCAGCTGTTTTGCCATATCTGTGGTGTATAATTTGTGACTCAGTAAAATTTGAAAGATTTCATGTTGTAATCTGTTTCTAACCTTCCACTTAATTAAAAATAATTATGAGCAGAACTGTTGTTGACAATAAGATTGGCCTTGCTCACAAATAACAGCAAGCCAAACTTAGGAATGAGCAAGCATTCTGTTGCTTAGAGGGGGAAAAGTGTGGCCTCTTTGCACCTCCGCTGGTTCTGCTGCTGTGTCCCTATTTACAACCAACCATGGTTTGGCGTAGGATGGTATTCAGACCTGGGCTCATGTTTTGTCTCATTTGAAACAAATCACGAGTCACAACTATGGTTTAGAAGCCATGACTTTAATATGGTGTTGACTTCTAAAAATAGAGTCACAGCTTAAAGGTGATCCTACCTTTTCCACCTATATGTTTCAGGTATATATTCAGTATATGAAGTTTGCAAGGCGAGCAGAGGGCATAAAATCAGGCAGGATGATATTTAAGAAGGCACGAGAAGATGCCCGGACCCGTCATCATGTCTATGTTACAGCTGCTCTGATGGAGTATTATTGCAGCAAGGTATTATTGCAACACAGTGAATGAAACTTTTGCTTCAGCCTCTGGATTCTTCTGTCTGCAACTAATAACGTTTTGAAATCTGCAGGACAAGTCAGTGGCCTTTAAGATTTTTGAGTTGGGGCTAAAGAAATATGGAGACATTCCAGAATACGTCTTGGCATATATTGATTATCTTTCTCATCTCAATGGTAAGTTCTGGGAGCTGGGATAATTCATTACACTGGACTCTGGGGTTACAACTTTTTTCCAAGACAAAAACCTTCTTTACCTGAAATTGAGCAGTTTGTTTGGAATGGACCTGTGAAAATTCAGAATTCAGTTACCACTGATATTGGTGGCATCCCTCCATATTATATCATAAGTGAGCAGATGGGACTTCACTGCTCATTGTTTTGCATACTGCTTGCTTTGTCAGGTCTTTAGCCAATAATGTGTTGGGGAAAACTGACTTCAAGAGTGTGTAGATGGATGTTGATACATCGTAATGTATAGCTTATATGTAGATAATTTGTATAGAATTGTGGCTAAGAATGTGAGCTGAGAACCTTCAATTCAAATTTCTCCCCACTCAGTGGTAATTGTAGGCAGGCTGTTATTTCCCCAGCTCTTCTCTCCATCAGTAAAATCAGGATGATAGTGGGAGACACCCAACATTGCACGAGTAGATTTCTACTCCCCTTGCTCTCCTCTTTCTTGAAGTCATCCACAATATCAAAATTCTCCTCTGGAGGGTTGGGGGATGAAATTAAAAGCAAACACCTGAGAACAGTCAAATCTCATGACTGTTCTCCAACTGGGTTAGCTTCGGACTAGTGCTGTGAGGAGTTCCACTTGCTTTTTGGGAAGGTGGGCAGGGCTTTCCTTCTTCCCTCTGCAGCCCACTGAAAACCTGTTCTGGAGGTTTGTAGCAACCTCCAGAGGAACACAGGAGGTATGGGGCAAAAGGGAAAGAGGCAATTGGTGAAAATCATCACCACCACCTTTCGAGGAACATTTTTTGTATGGATGGAGTCTTGCTGTTTGCAGGCAGTAAACTCAGATCCAGTCCATAGACTGTTAATTTGAGTGAGGACTTCAGATTGAAAAATCAGCAGCCTGCAAGAACACAAAGGGCACAAAAAACCAATGGCCAGTATTGTCCTAAGCAGCTGCTTCTTGTTTAGTACTTAAGTGTGCTGCTGCTGCCATCAATTTTTAAACAGAGTATTTAATTCTTATTTTATGGTTCTGGTTGTTTTAATTCATTTTAGTGTGTGTTTTTATACCTACCTCTCAGCTGCAGTTATAATTTGTGGGTTTGTCTTCTGCAGAGTAGAAGTGAGACTCCCATAGCTTTTTCTAAAGCATTTTCTCCATGTGTCTCTTCTCCCTGAGATTACTTTAGCAATAATGAAATTGGGGTTGCAAATTGGGTTTTTCATCTTTCACAGGAATTGAAATTATGTCAAGATATTGTCTCCCCCCCCCCGCCGTAATTTCCAGTTTTTTAAAATATATATATATATTTAAAGCTTGTTTTCATCTTTCTTTTTTAATATTTTTTTTTAAAATAGAAGATAATAATACAAGAGTCCTGTTTGAACGAGTATTAACCTCAGGGAGCCTCCCACCTGAGAAATCTGGGTAAGCTTCGCCAAAGCTCCATTCCAAGTCGTCTGCTTTGCTATACGTGACAACCCTTGTACAACATAGATATTATCACAGATTAATGAGGGGATGGTTGTTGCAGCCTGTACTGCCATTTTCGTCCTAAATAAGGAGCCAGCTGCTGAGAGAGAGAAGCCAGAGATTGTAAGAATTTTCTATGGAGTTCATTCCTTGGATGCCAGAACGTGCTCTCATCTCCATTGTGAAGATAACTGCTATATGGAGTGTTGTTGGAAAGTAGATTTGGCCAATATAGAATATAGACTCAGAGCACTTGGGGCATTTTTGCTTGCATGCATACACACAGGGGCTCAGATCTATACCTCCCTCCTGCTTTCGTTCCATGTTTACCCACGGAGATCGTCTCTCTTTGGCAAATGCCCTCCACAGCCTCATAGCCAACTCTGTGCTGCCTGAAGCCTATTCCAGGAAAAGTAGAATTTGGGAATTATGTAAGTGGTAGCTAGACATTTATCCGCTGTTACCATTTTCGTTTGTCAGCATCAGGTAGTAGTTTCCCCCAGCAACCACGGCTTCCAGTTACAGTGCAGTGTCATGCGGTTTTTGCATGCAGCTTTTTTCTTTCTACATCCTGCCTCTAAGGACTCTCTCTCCTGCACCCTTGGTGCAGAGGGGGCATGCACACCAACTGGTTGCCGCTTGCTTTCAACCTGAAGCACCTAGCGAGCGGCACCAGCAACAGGGAACCAGTTCCTTTGCCTGGCACTCCTTGCCAGGGCTGCATGTACAATGCATACAGATGGTGTGCAGGCCCCTTTACCAATTCCCAGCTGTTTGGCACTGTAAACCACCTAGGAGTGAACCAGTGGGCTCCTTGCATAGTGTGTGTGTGTGTGTGTGTGTGTGTGTGTGGGAGAGAGAGAGAGAGAGAGAGAGAGAGAGAGAGAGAGAGAGAGAGAGAGAGAGAGAGGAAAGATCTGTGCGTGTTTCTGTGTCCATGAGTGGGGATAAGATTGGGGAGCAGGAGAGAGGGAGTCCAGACCCTACCTACTATCAGCATGCAGCTTATGAGCCGCTGGTTTGCTGTCCTGGATGTACACAGACTGGCCATTGCTGCCTTCTAGGATGCCCTCTGGGTACAAAGCAGATGTATCTGCTATGGCTTCCGGTTGTAGAATAAAGACATGATAGTTGACTGGCAGCTGCCCACAATTCCCTTCTCCATCTGCTAGAATGGTTTTCTTGCCAACATAGAATTGGATATCCGGGGTAGCAAGCCACTGGCAAGAGCAGACGAGGGGGTTCCTTAGTCAGTGGACAAGCAGCTGGCTTGCAGTGGATCGGGCCTGCTGGTTGCTGGTAACTGTTGCAAGTGATTGCACTTATTGTAGGCCATGTCTGCTGAGCATGTTTTCTTTTGAACATTTGTTCTCTTTCTGTCTTTTCTTTCACAGAGAGATATGGGCCCGATTTTTAGCTTTTGAAAGTAATATTGGTGACCTGGCTAGCATACTTAAAGTGGAGAAACGGAGATTTACAGCCTTCAAGGAGGAATATGAGGGCAAAGAAACAGCTCTACTAGTAGACAGATACAAGTTCATGGATCTGTACCCCTGCTCTGCCAGTGAACTCAAAGCTCTTGGTTATAAGGTATGGAGATGATGACATTCCAGAATGTTTAGTTGGAGAGGGAATGCAGTTCCATAGCATTGCTACTTGCATGCCTTCAGTGCTGATTTAAAAATGTTAAAAACCCATAACTCTCCTAAGCCTTTAGATGTCCATTCAAGCACAAGCAAAAACACCTTCTCTTTGTTTGGAATTACTATTCATTTCCATTTCTTTTTTACTGTTTTCGTCACCATGTAGAAAACAGTTCATATTATTCCACATTGGTGGCTGTTACCCTATGATAAGCTATTTGTGGGCAGTAGCTCCCATCACAGAATCACAGAGTTGGAAGGGAGTTGGGAGATTATGCTGTCCAACCCCCTGCTTGATGATGGATATACAATGCAGGATGCAACTACCGCATCCCTGACAGATGGCCATTCAGCCTCTGCTTAAATAATCTCCAGCCAAGAAAGTCCCACCACCTCCTGAAGCAGTCTGTTCCACTCTCCACATGGCAGGTGCGATTTTCTTTCTCATGTCGAGAAGAGAAAGGTTGCCATTTTGGAAAATCGCACCATCTGCATAGTGAGCTGTTGCAAGTATATAGTTTAACACTTCATAGCAGTGCTTGTGTGGAACAATTTAAACCACCTCCACGTGGTACCTGTAAGGTGATGTCCAGCTCAACAGAAGATGTTAAAAAGCCAACATTAAATCCATTCCAAGTTTTACTCCATTCAGGTTCTAGACTCCTGCCTGCTTTAAAAAGTATCACTGACCACATCCTTCCCATGTGACCGCAGCTTAAAATACTCTTAGCTGATTATCAGTTGCCTGCCTGCATCTTTACATATGAAGTGCTGGTGCAATGATCTTACTGTTTCCTAGCCAAGTTCCTAAATCAATATGGAGCTAGTTTCTTGCTGTATCTGTTATGTTTCAAGTTTTTGATTCTGTAAATTGGAATTTAATAATGCATTGCCTGTATTTTTAATATTTTGCATTGTTTATTGTAAATAATTCTAGGCAAACTTTTATTACAAAGGCGGTTGATCATTTTAAAAATTATGAACAGACAGAAAACTTCTCTTCCATAAAATTGGGCAGGGTTTGGTCTGGTGTCCATTGTTGCTTTATGCAAACAGAGATGCTACTCTGGACCAGTGCTATGTTGAGCATTATGGGATCCCCTCCTGCTTGTGAGCTTCCCACAGGCACTCAGTTGGTCACACGATAAACAATATGCTAGACTATAGATCAGCCTTTGGATTGATCCAGCAGAGCTGCTCTCATGCTATTTATGCTTCTTCTCATGCTATGAACTTCCAGGATGTGTCTCGGGCAAAGCTGTCAACCATAATTCCAGATCCTGTTGTGGCTCCTTCAATAGTGCCTGTGCTAAAAGATGAAGCGGACAGAAAACCAGAGTATCCAAAACCAGATACCCAGCAGATGATTCCATTTCAGCCAAGACATTTAGCACGTAAGCGAATATCGAGTCATGTAAATGTGAAATAGAAGTCTACCTTATTCTGATTGGCTGTTTCTTTAAAAAGCTTCAATTCATTCAGTTCATTCTCATTTGGGCACACAACTAGAATGTTTTATACCCTTGTTTTTTACCCTTCCAATTCTCTGCTAAATTGGAATCAAAGTACAATAAACAAAAGTTTGAGGTTTTTGTTTGTTCTTGCATAGTGCTTGTAAGGTCAGTTACATCAACCAAAGGAACTCCCATCAGCATGCAGATGATGCAGTTAAGCCATGAAGACTTAAATGTCTTTTGTTTTATTATTTACTAGCTCCAGGTTTGCATCCAGTCCCTGGTGGTGTCTTTCCAGTCCCGCCTGCTGCTGTAGTTCTAATGAAGCTTCTCCCACCTCCCGTGTGTTTTCAGGTTGGTCATGAGATCCTGAAATGTTTTATTGACTTTGCAATCTGGTTGTGTTTTGCTTCAATGCATTAAACATTTCATTTTCTTTTGTCTCACTGGTTTTTACCATAGCATTTCCTGTTAAATGGTCCATCTTTTTTTCTCTTGCAGGGCCCCTTTGTGCAAGTGGATGAAGTCATGGAGATTATCAGGAGATGCAAACTCCCAGACAGTAAGTTGCTTTTGTCCTTTTAAATGCATGGTTGCATCACTAGACTGTACCACTTCACTTAAACTCTGAGGTCTTGGGGGTGGCTATTTGAGGTATTGACAATCACACTATTTAAGGTTAATGACATTGCTGTATGTGTGTACTCAAATTAGCCAAAATAGTGTTTTTTCTTATTTTCAGGACAGTGAGTAAATATTTAGCGGCTTCTGTAACTACTGTTAATAGAGAAGTCTGTCTTGAGGTCCACAGAATTAAAAGCAAAAGGAAGTGGCTGTAAGACGGAAGTTGAAATTACAAAGCCATGCTTTTTTCAATACATGTGTGACTTGCTGGCTATATGGTACTAACAACCACCCCATAAAAGATAAAAGTAGGATTTTGCACCCATAATGACACAGGAATATTCTCTTGTTGAAGTCAACAGAATTAATTCAACACTCAGTTTTGTTAACTGTGCTGTTTTTTATTTATTTTCAATAATAACCACTTCGCATTTTCAGTAGCAAATGTGTTTCTGCATGGTTGGCACCTGTTGCAGGGTGAATACTACAATTTGAAGTTGAGGCCCACATTTGTCAACACAAAATGGACACACATGCAACGTCTTGATGCAAGTCAGTTATCCCTATAGACAGTGCTTTTTTCTGGGGGGACGCATACCCCTAAACATTTTGTGAATCTAAGTTTGGCCTCACTGAGGGGCAGTATTTCAATATGAGTAGGAAAATGAGAGTATCCCAAAGCTTTTTTTTTTTAAGAAAAAAAGCACTGCCTTTAGATGTGCCTTTTAGCTTTAGTGCGTAATGTCAAAGAGATGGGCACACTTTGAATAAATCAGCAAGCAAGGGCTATAGCAGATAATTATATACTGCAACTATTATCAAAGGTATATTCAAATGTGTGTGTTTCAAGTATAGGTCTTCATCAACGCAAAATCTAATGTAAACCCTCAATATTCAATCCCCCAGTGGAATATCATTTTATAACCTAATTGGTTTGCTAGTTCTAATATTAAAAGATTACATCGGTACTTGGCCTTGTAAAGAGCTGTACTTGAAAAACATGACACTTGCATAATTTGAGTATACTTTTTGAAAGCACACCAGTGGCTTGTTCTTCTATGATCTTATTTGAAACAAGAATTTCAAAATGAAATATTTCCCAAAAGCCATTCTCATCTGTTTCCTGCTAAACATTTTTTAATTGCCCTGTGAGTTATTAAATGGAAGGCTAGTATGGACAATTTAATGCACAAACAAATAATAAAATTAATGAAGCATATAATGGTGGGCACTGTCATAATTCTTCAGCCCACATAATTCTTTCTAACAACAACTATTTCTCTTCCCTGTTCCAAAGCTGTGGATGAAGCTGTGCGAATCATTACTGGGGGACTGCCAGACTTAACAATGGAAGGGAATGGACCTTTGGAAAATAATGCCCTTCTTAATAAATCTGTAAAAAGACCAAATGAAGATTCAGATGACGATGAAGAAAAAGGATCAGTGGTTCCTCCAATTCACGACATTTACAGAGCACGACAGCAAAAGCGAATCCGATGAGACATGTTTGCAGTCGGAATGATGAAGACTAAAGGACTTGTAACAATTGTTTTCCTTCTACAAAATCAAATGTTTAAAAGGGATTGAAGTTTCTAACAAGCATCTTGCAACTGAGGTTGTTTTATTACTGTGGTGCCTCTTTTTTACCAGCTGATTCTTCATCAGAAAAGAAAAGGGCAGGTGAATTTTACAACAAGCAAATTTGAGCTCCAGGTTTTGAACACAATTTGTGCAGAATGTCTGAATTGCATTTGGTTGCTCTTCACATGTGTATCCCCATCTTACCACTTGAAATCTTGCAGGGGTCCTGACAGTTTTATTTTAAAAACTGGATAGCATAAAAATTGTGAAATATTTTAAATTCACACCTCTGGAAAATGAAGTTGTTCTCAGTTTGCTCATTTAGTGTCTGTCCTGCCTTATTCTTTGTTTTTATTTATGGCAGAATGAATGGAAACTGTTTTTTGTAGTTTAAAATGGAAGAACATTCCTTTCCAATAAAGGATCTCTCCATAACGCCATGCCTCATACCACTTTATTTCTAGCACATGGGGATAGAGGGGGTGACAGCTCTTTCCTACCTTTTTGTTTGCAGTTTGTCTTTCCTTCCCCTCCCATTGTGGGCAGTGGTGGTGGGGAGTTAAGTACACCAAGCTCCAGGATTCCTCCTGTGGAGAAGGCAAAGGAACAAGGGAACCCAAAATTCCCCACACCACTGACAGAACTTGCCCAAGATGTACCAGGCAGCCTCTGACAACCTGGGTACAGTTGCTTTGCTGGGGCTCCCTTTTGGATACTGGCATACCCCTTTCAGCTGGCCTTCTAACAGCTTTATTAACTTATTGCAGTGCAATTTATTATTCAGAAAATTCGTATCAACATACATGACAAACTAAAAGCAAATGCCCAGGATGTCATTATTTCATGTTATAAATATTAGTAGTGGCTGATCTGCAGCAAGAGCCCTCTTTACATCTGATTCAGCTAAGAGCTGAGCCTTCATGACAGCACTGTAGTCATGACAAATTTTATTATATGCTTTCCTAGGGTAGCTTCCATGAATTAAAATGCAGTACCGTATTTTTCGCTCTGTAAGAGGCACCAGGCCACAAGACGCACCTAGTTTTTGGAGGAGGAAAACAAAAAAAATATTCTGAATCTCAGAAGCCAGAACAGCAAGAGGGATCGCTGCTCAGTGAAAGCAGCAATCCCTCTTGCTGTTCTGGCTTCTAGGATAGCTGCGCAGCCTGCATTCTCTCTATAAGATGCACACACATTTCCCCTTACTTTTTAGGAGGGAAAAAGTGAGTCTTATAGAGCAAAAAGTACGGTATATGGGTTTGCCTCTTTCTAAAAGGCTATTTGTTATACTGGTCTTAAATAATTTTTTCAGTGCAGTCTACAATAAAATCTTCAGTAAACGAAAAAGAAACAATTAGGTAAATCATTATTTCGTTTGTTTGTGGACCAATTTCCTTGTTTTTGAAGCCTTGGCCATTTTTTAAAACATGGCAACAGTGACATTGCTCCTAAGAAGCAATATTGTTGAAACAAAGCACTCATGGTTGTTGAGATATACTGCAGTGGACCTCTAAATGTTCTCTCAAACTGGGAATATACTGCCTTTCTAGCAAGGTACCCAAAGCCTATTGCAGTTTTAAAAACTGCCTTGGGGAGAATGGTTGTAATCCAGACAACCATGTCAGCAAGAACCGGTTTAATTCTACCGCGTGGCAATTAACACCCTGAGACAAACCGCTGCATTCGGAATGCTGCAAGCAGTTGATCTTTACAAATTCCAGCTGGACCTCAACTGATCTGAATGAACCAGACTAAGGTACATTCTGAAGCTTAGTTATCCACCAGCTTCTTACCTTCTCAAAAAAAGTATTAAAATATATTTAAATGCAGTTTTATACTGAAATTTCTAAAAGTGTCATTAATGCAGAAATGGGATGAAATTATGGGGATACATGTACTGGGGATTACCGCAAGGTCACGTGCAGTATCCAGCCACATTCAAACAGAACGCTACCCATCCGTCTACAGGTCCTTAGACATCCAGGGGCCAGTAATAGCCAACACACTGGTGTGCTCTTGAGGTTACAAATACAGTGGTACCTCAGGGTTACAAACTTAATTTGTTCTGGAGGTCCATCCTTATCCCGAAACCGTTCTTAACCTGAGGCGTGCTTTCGCTAATGGGGCCTCCCGCTGCCGCCATGCCGCCATGCCGCCGACACACTTTCCGTTCTCATCCTGGGGCAAAGTTCTCAACCCGAGGTACTACTTCTGGGTTAGCGGAGTTTGTAACCTGAAGTGTTTGTAACCCGAGGTACCACTGTAACCACCTCCTTATGTGGCAAGTGGCACTGCTTCTCGAGTAATCTACTAGCTAAAATAACTCAATGGCAATAACGAAAACACAGTAACAGATGGCATGGGGGAGTCCACATCACTCACCTGCTTCTGGTTGTGTCACTGCTGCATACCAGGACAGAGGGACAAGGCAGAGGTCTCTCTTATCTCACTGTCCCCTCAAATCTCTTTGTACCAGTATGCAGCGGCACTGCAACAGAAGGTGAGCGCTGCAGTCCCACCAACCCATCCACTGCTCCGCATACCAGCAGTTCTTGTAGAATTGCACTTTAAGCTATAGCTCTTTCTTCCAGAACTTGAACGCATACATAGATATTAAGGGGGAATTAAAAAGATAAAATACTTGCCTGCAACAAGTAATGAAAGGAGCAAAAACTGCATACAGACCAGAAAGAAGAATGGCGGGCAATCGCTGTTTATCTGTAACTGCAACATGTAAAGTACACACAAAAATTTATCACAGATGAGTTACAGTCTCACATTAGTGGTGCATAGATGAAGTAAACAGCAGCAACATAAAACACATAAGAAAAACAGTAACAATATCACATTAACAGCTTCAAGGAAATACAAGTCAGACAATATTAGAATACTGAATTTCCACCTTTGCCATCCCCCACCCCTTTCCAACTTATTGTTGCAAATTATCAAGCAGCACTTTTTTCTTTAAATGGTCAGATGTGTAGGAAGCTAAGCCTAAAGGAACAATTTGACTAATATAAGCGAGGAATAATTATTTTACTTTGGCAATTCTAGACCCGAGAGGTACAACCCAGCCAAAGTTGAGCACAGTGAAGTCTATATCAATGGGAGAGAAGACTGTTTTTTGTTGTTCCATGTGAAGAACACTGATTTGATACTTTGTGGTAGCCCAGGGTATCTTATCTACTCATCTATCTCCTGAGTTGGAGTGAGCCTTGCCAGGTTTAGGCCTCACCAGCGTGACAAACACCTTGGGAAGGAGGAGGAGATCTAAGCATTCCTTAATCTGTCCTGCCTTTACTGCAAGCTGCACATGTCTTTGCTTTCTGCTCCTATGTCCTTCTATTCTGACTTTCTTCAGGCTTGTTTGTTGTTTTCATTCTCTTTTTCTTGTCCTAAGAGAGACAGAGAGTGACTGACTGGCTGGCTGGCTGCTTGACCAAGCATCTGATTGCTTTCATAAGTGTTTGGGGCATTTATGGTGAGTGCCATTTGTCTCTCATCCCCAGTCGCCATCTTTGTCTGCAGGAGCAATGGTTTGCATCCCAAGGGAAATGCAGGAAGTGGCCCCTGATGACCTTCCCAATAAAAAAGCAGCTGCCAAAGGGGAAACAGGCCCTGGACTGCTCCTTCTGGCGTTCCATGGAGGACACAGAGCAGCTCGGGGTGCCCAGAAGATTGGCAGCACCTTGGCAGAGTGTCAAAAGCTCACAGAAGAGGGGGTTCCTTTAGAATAGCTCCTGGCCTCGCTTTCCCACATCCCGGAGGCAGAGAGGTTCACCCATTTCTGTATCTGCAAGGCCAAAATGCTGACCCGTCAAGGCCCATTTGATGCAGCTGGGCTGCATGGCACTGCCGCTACAAGAAGTGAGGGAAGCTGCTGTGAATATTCTGAGGAACTTGAGCCAGGCAGCCTGGGGTAAACAATGGATTAAGGGCCCTGGACCAGGAGGTGGGGTGGTAATGGCTTCCCTCCTTGCCTGGGTACCATCTTGACTGTGAGTCCTGGAAGATCTGCTACTCAGGATACTTACAAATTCTTGGGATGGGGTTCAGGATTTTTTGTTGGGGGGGGTCAAGATTTAACTTTTGAGATGTTAATTTTGCTGTTTTTGATACAGTGGTACCTCTGGTTAAGAACTTAATTCGTTCTGGAGGTCCGTTCTTAACCTGAAGCAGTTCTTAACCTGAGGTACCACTTTAGCTAATGGGGCCTCCCACTGCCGCCACCATCGCACGATTTCTGTTCTAATCCTGAATCAAAGTTCTTAACCCTAGGTACTATTTCTGGGTTAGCAGAGTCTGTAACCCTGAAGTGTCTGTAACCTGAAGCATCTGTAACCAGAGGTACCACTGTACTGATTTTTTTTTTTTGTATCTTTCGATTATGTTGTGTACATTTTATTTATCACTCATGGCTACTTTTGTTATGTTTGCAGTTATTTAATTATTTTCATGTTGTAAACTGCTTGAGAATGGTTTTAACTATGGATAGGCAGCATACAAATAAACAATGATAATGATAAATCTAGTTGAAGAGCTGTCTGCACCTCTCACAGGTGTGACCAAGTTACCTGACCCAAAGCCAGTGACTAGATATAGTCCAGTTCCTGCTCCATTTACATCTGTGACCAAGGATGAGTGGAACTCTCTGCTGAAGTACAAAAAATATGCTTGTTTTGGCTAACAAGTTTTATGTTCTACAACTTGACATTACAGAACTGCTGAAAGTACCTTCCTGTTGCTAATCTACTCTGCCACACTTTATACCTGAAAGATGGTCAAGCACAATTTGGAGATGCCACTGAGACATGTCTAGATTTCACCCTGTGCAACTGAGCTCCAAAAAACAACTGGTTCATCTAGGGACACTTCTGGACACAGTAAGAGGGTTTATCCCCTCAGCACTGGACAGAGTAATTTGAATTAAAGCAGCCACCAGAAGTCTCTTCACAGCAAAAAAAGTGGTCATTACGCAGCTGTCCCATGCCTTTGGGTGTGCATATCAGCATCACAAACACCACCTTGGGCAAATCTCCATGCCAAGACATGTCTTAGAAGCATTCACCAGTGACTGGTGACAGCAGGAAGACATCATCACATCACGATTCCACATCATCTCTGCCTGCCACATGCTGGCGGACAAATAGCCACAACTTACGTAAAGGCACTCCCCTTGGAAGATCCAATTCGAGCCATCATGACATTGAATGACAGCCTGCTGGGCTGGGTCTCTGTCAACATCTTTCAATTCAGGCCCTGTGGTCTCCTGTGAAGGTAGTCTATTTTGGTGTGGGGGGTGTCAACTAGCTCAAACTCACAACAGCCTACCTGGTTATTCAGCACGTTTCCCCTCAGTTTTGCCTTATTCACATCATTTTTTGCATAGACAATGCTACAGTCAAATCATATTTGAACAGGCAAGGAGGCAGAAGAGGAAAAGACCTGCGGTAAGAATCATCCCTCCTTACTGCAGAGAGATTTGAGGCAGACAGATTCCCTTTCTGTGTCCTATCAGCTGCCCACTCTGGGGCACAGGGTTTCCACATCCATCCTTGCTAGGTGAGCTAAGGCTTGCATTGTCTTTGCATACAAAATTCAAAAGATTCCAATACCAAAAAATGTGGCAACGTATTCCACAAGGGCTGCAGCCTTTCCACCAATGCTCCTTTAGAGGATATCTAAAGCAGCTACGAGCGTGGCCCCAAAAACCTTTTGTCAAACACTATAAAATTGACAAGTATGTCATTTAAAAGTATGTCAATTTTATAGTAAATTGACAAGCATGTCTCAGCTGAGGTTGAGGCTGTCCTTCAGCAGATGTTCCCAGATTGTCAGGGTCCTGCCCAAATTGGGATTAGCCATTTTATGTCCCAACCAGACAGGCTCACTCCCGCTACGGGTGTAATTCGCACCTGCCTGAAATACAGGTCTCCATAGTGTGAGTGAGCTAGTTAAGGGCCATACCCATATTCAATGAGTGTAATAAAATTTGAGAGTTGATTGGAAGTATCACCTTGTTGGGATTAGGTTGGCTGCATAATTATCAAGCCTTGCTTTCAAGGTAAATTTACTCCTGTTGCAGTTCTACTTTTGGGGAGGGACGATTGTATGTTTGTCCTTGTTACTGTTCTATTTCATAACCATTTGAATTTCAGTGCCTGCTTTCCACTTGGTGAGTCCATAGACTGAGGAATGCTGGGAGCTCCGCCCCCTTCCCAAGACATTTGTCTTGCCTTTGCTGCACTGGTGGGTCCTAAAACCCAACCTCACAGACTCACTCAAACTTCATAGATCTACGTTTCAGGTAGGTGCCAACCACAGTTTTTCACAGAGGAAAACCTTTTAGCCCTATACCTTTGCCATATATCCAGACATCACGAGCATCACATTTCAAACACAATGGGCCGAATAGTTAAAGAGAACCTCCTTTAAAAAAAACCATAAACAGAGAAAGTTTCATTAAATAATGATGGGTGGGGGCTGGTCTGCTTTACAGCAATTCTATTATTCAGAGAGATTACTTAATGTAGAGGCTTTTATCTTTGTTCCCTTTTAAGATTAAAACAGCTACTAAACATTCAGGAAGCATACTGTGCATTGTGGCTTTTCAGCCAAAAGCAATTTCGAAAGCCAATTCACAGAATTATTTTTGCCTCCCATATTTGTGAATCAACATACACATCCATGTCTCTGATGTTAGAAAACTTTTAACAAGAGAGCCCACCTAAGAAACAGTTAATGTCCTCAAGTATCCAATAAGTCACATGTTTATGAACTCCTGAAAACACTTGTTTTAAAACCTAGCAGAAAGTTTTCTATAAACTCCATGGGACATTAAAGGTAGTCCACTTCCTACTATAAATTTAAAATCACTATTTCTAACATTCAAAGAAAAGTATTGCATCCAAGTCTGGAAAGGGTGATGCGACGGGAAGAGGGAAACTTCCTGCCTGTGGGTTGTCTGCTGGATCAGGCCTTCCAAAGGCTACTCTATGAGGTAAAGGGGGGGGGAGGAATTCACCATGATCAGTGCCAGCAGTATCTCTGCAAGCACACATGCTAAGCTGTAGGCTCATAATGTAGGACTATGTACAAAGAGCACTTGGATTAGGGACACAGTATTATATTACTAAGCTAAGAGCTAGCCCAACTTCTCACCTAAATCACAGGCTTTTATAATATGTAGATAAATTCCAGAATGAACTTAAATGGATACTCCATTATCCAACTTTTTCAGATATCCAAAGTTTTCCTCACCTATATTAGCATTTCATGCCTCCAGCAATACAGGAGGAAGAAATTCCCTCATCAGACTTTTTGCTTTCACTTCGAGAGGAGAAACAATATATAGAGTCTACAGAATGTGAATACTGCAGTAGAGAAGAACCAGAAAATACTCTACAAAAATATAGTTATATATGCTTTTGGTAGAATATCTGCAGGTACAGAATAAAATACTTTAGGAAAAAACCTGGCTGGCAGAAGGACTTAAGAGTGTTGCAGACTGCATTTAAAGTGCTTTAACTACCAATATCCAAGTTTTGAGTATCTGGAAACTGAAGTTACTGATACAATTTTTGGGATGATCTTCAGAACTATTTAAAACTTAATATAGAAAGAGAAGTTTACTAGCCTCTTTTGCATCAATGTACATGCTAATAGGATAATTTCAACATCTATCATTTTAGTCTTACCCTCAAGCCCTTATTTCAAAAGTCAATACACCATCAGTTCTTACTTGCTTTGAATTAGTAAGTACTAAACTGGTGTATTTTCATGTACCTTTTACATCACCTGATGTATCCACTTGCGGCTCAGTCATCGCTACTGTATTAGTGAAAGATTCCTAGCAAAGCTGTTGCCCAAGGATTGTAAGTTTTCTACAACACATACAGTTGACCACCCTGACCCAAATAACAGTGATCCATGTATAGAAGCACACTCGCATACACAGCAGCCAGAAGGACCAGGATGGGATGGGAGCAGCACATCTCTGCACTAGTCCAATTGCGGACTGGCATTGGCTTCGAGCAGTTACTAAACTGGGGTGAAAGCAGGGGGAAGTGAACATTTAAATCTTGCAACTTCTCGTTCTACCTCCAACACGCAAGTGCCTAAATAAAACTGTGCTGTGTTGAATTTGACTTAAGTTCCTAAACAGAACTGGTCTGTGTTTGAGGGGGTCTGGTGGGGAATAGGGGATACCAAGACAGACTGTGGGGATCCCCAAGAAACAACTGGGGTCTGAAAAAGGCCTCTGTTTCCCAACCCTCATCATTCTGACAGAAAGCATGAGTGTAACAGCCTTCTCCTACCCTATCTTCTTTAGGGCAGCATACCAATGAGTCTTCCCAGTTTTGCTCACAGATAGCTAAGATGAGTCTTCTTCATTCAGTATTTTGCTGAGAACTGCATCATAGTAAGGACTGAAGACCATCTTGTTGTAGTCAACAAGGCGAACGTACTTGATAGCAATTTCCTCCAGCTCTTTCTGAATAGGGCCTAATCCACCAGGAATGGCAGGAAGAGATTTCTGATGGCCAGAAGCAAGGTAGCTCTCCAGAAACGACTGGATTCTTGAATCTTGAGAAGGGAAGTAAATTATTAGTAAGACTTACTGAAAGATCCCAAAATCCTCTTTTGATAACATGCATCAAATAGGCCCATAATGGTGCTTAATTTTTATTTTCATACAACCGTCTTACCACAATCACAGACAGAACAAAATCTGGAGTTCTTTTAGCATCATTTCACCTTCATTTCAAACATTCCCATGTATCTCTGATTCCCAGTTCCAAGAGGAACACCCTCACTCATAGCTGGAAAACTCAAACCTGACATCACTTTTCAGTAATTCCTCAACAAAAAGTTTCATTTTCCAAAAGCAGCCCTTCCTTCCTTCCTGGTTTTTGACCTCCACACCTTGACAAAGTACCGTATTTTTCGCTCCATAAGACACACTTTTCCCCTCCTAAAAAGTAAGGGGAAATGTGTGTGCGTCTTATGGAGTGAATACAGGCAGGAGGCTCTGCTCAGCGCTCCCTTTAAAGAGCCGCATGGAGCATGTGAGCAGCTCTTGAGGGCTTTCCCGCGAGGTGGGAGAAGGGCAGTCACTGATGGGCTGCCCTTCTCCCTCCTCGGGGAAAAGCCTGCAAGCACCGCACACACACTGCACGCGGCTCGTGAAAGGGAGCGCTGAGCAGAGCCTGGGATGTAGACAATCACTTTAAAGAATTTTTTTTTTCTTGCACTCCCCCTCTAAAAACTCTTAGGGAGCGAAAAATACAGTAGCTTTTTAATGGTTCTGCTAGGCAGTGGCTGCAGGCTCCTGCCACTTTCCTTTACAGGATTCAGCACTTAAGCATAGTTTCCCATTACATGAAAACTTTGAAACTGGATTTTAGCTTCCAAACAAGACAGTGTCATTCAACCAAGGTTTAATGTTGGTTTAATACCTTGGCTTGTTTTGAAGCCATTAGTCATAGTTTCAGGATATGCATATAACAAGAAGCTATGGTTCAGTCCTGGCTTGCTTTTGCAGCTCAAGAAAGGGAGGAATGAAGCAGCAAGAAAGGGGCTGCCTACAAGTGCATACTGCTCATGCATATCCTGGCTCTTGAAACCAGGATTTTTGGCTTAGTCTTATGATGTGCACATGCAGCCAATACAATCTCTCATCTCAAAACGAGTGCATTCACCCATTTGAAGCATTACTATCCCCTTCACTTTACAAATATAAGATATACCCATGTCCTCAAATGTATGTTTGACTTAGACATGCAGAACAATGGATTTTGCACAACTATTGCAGGGAAAAGAGCAGTCATCTGATCTACAAAGCATACCTATCAGTTTGCACACAGTGTTATTAGGCTTGGCCACAGCCTGGATCTGTCCTTTAAGCTCTGTCTCCTTCTCAAGTGTGAAAGGTGTGAATCCATGTTGGGAAAGGCAACTATTAACTTCAGCACAAATCTTTTCACTTATGACAGCCAATGCTTCACTCAAGTTGAAGGAGCTAGAAAAAGATGATCAAACTTTAACAGCTCATAAGCAAGATGGAATTTAATTGACAGGTTAGCTAATGTATACCAATCAAACAAAACATGAGCTATATGAGTAAAAACCTTACAGACTGAGGGAACATTACTGGAGGAATCATCACACACCAACTACTTCCTTTTTAAAGAGGGGATTTGAGTTCTCAAAGAAACAAGTGGGTGTGTCTATATTGGGGGGGGGGTGCCAGCAATTTCCTAGACACAACTGGGAGCTACATTAAGAAAAATTCAGACTCATAACTCTTCAGAATGCATATGTTTAAATGTTCTCCACACAAGAAACTACCTATAACCCTTTCCCATTCCGTTTTATTTCTTACATGTGAGAGTATCAGGAGATTCCCACAGCCCTGTATTCTGAAGTGATATAATCAAAGGTTACTCCAAATAGAATTATCCGAAAGGCTATTTATACCTCATAATGGAAATTCCTCATAATTTCTAAAGCCTTTTACTACTTGGAGAAGTAGGGAAGAATGTGCAAGTCTCCTTTCAAAACAGGCCCGAGATCTAGTTGAAACTGACGTCTATATCATCCTGCATCACCCTATAAAGGGCCCCAAAGTCACACGGTACTCACGGGAGGTGTAGACCTGTCAGCAGTACCCGGATAACCATTTTGAGATTGGCCGTAAATGCTGGCAAGCCTGAAAGCGCTGTGCCTGCAGCATTGAATGTTACCAGAAGAATCGCTCCAGTTAAAATAAGCTGGTCCAGTTCCAGCTGCATTTCCTGGAAGCGGCTCTGGTCCATTAGCACAGTCTGTAAAAAAAAAAATTTAACACAACAGAGGATAATAAATGCAGGGAGCAAGGTGAGATGATGTAATAGTTATATAGTGTAAGCTCTCAATGTCCATTTCCTAGTTCAGGAGACTGTCTGATGAAGATAACGGCAGCACCCTCACCTCAATCCTCTGGTCTAGCCAGGTGCAGTACTAAGCATCCTTGCAAGAACAGCCGATCTACCCAAGCCTCAGCAAAACATGTCAGGTCAGCCCTTTCATCCACGATAAGATTGCAGATGAGCATAGACCTGTTACAGACTGACTAACAGCTCCACTTGACAAGAGGACTCAGTGTATAAGCTACCAGGAACTTCTAGATTAGGTTCAAAGACGATAATCAACAACAACAAGCACATCCCACACTGCCACACAATCAAATACTCATCCCCGTATTTAGCATTCAAAGGGGCTTGCCCAACCGAGTTCAAGTGTATGTCTGAATGCACCCTACCAATCCAAACATTGTTATAGTAATTGCAGAGAAGCAAATCGTTACCTCTGGAAAAGGCTTTTGAAGATGATCCCATTTGAGGAGCTTAAGGTATGCATGATTCTGTACAGCAACCGGACAGAGCACAGGAGCAGTACTGGTAGACGTGGCACCATGATCAATAGCAGGCACCATTCTGGATCTCAGGTCATCCGCAGCTTCTTGCAGCCACTCAGTGATGAAATCTAAGGAATCTGTTTTGAGGGAGAAACGGACTTACCAGACCATTTTCTCATCAACCCATTTTCCTGCCTATACATTTGAAATATTTTTATACCGCCCTTGGTCAAAACTGATTGAACAGAATGTTTTTATTTTGTTCATATATCGCGCAAACCAATCAAAACAGTTTAAAACAAAAGACATTAAAACAGCTGACAAATAAGATGAGCAGGTGTAGGATGTGAAACAATACTTAAAATGCCTAGGGGAATAGAGAAGTCTCTCATCATCAGATCTAAAATATTTCATACTTGGAGCACCACAGCTGAGAAAGCCATCTCCCTACTTTGGATCAGCATCACCTCCAATGTGAAAGACATTTAGGGAAGGGTGTTGGTCCTTAGGGAAGATGGCCTTAAGAGCTAAGGCATGTTGAATAATTCTATCCAAGGACCTATTGTTTCTGGATTTTCAGCTGACTGAATTTTTTTAGTTGGTTAATAATTTGGCTTTAAAAACTGAAATAGATATCCAGACATTTGCACTCTGAATGCTTATTTTTATTAGCACTGCTCATTTCCCCCAATAGGTAAAGGTAAAGGGACCCCTAACCATTAGGTCCAGTCGTGACCGACTCTGGGGTTGCGGCGCTCATCTTGCTTTATTGGCCGAGGGAGCCGGCGTACAGCTTCCGGGTCATGTGGCCAGCATGACTAAGCCGCTTCTGGCGAACCAGAGCAGCTCACGGAAACGCCGTTTACCTTCCCGCCGGAGTGGTACCTATTTATCTACTTGCACTTTGACATGCTTTCGAACTGCTAGGTTGGCAGGAGCAGGGACCAAGCAACAGGAGCTCACCCCGTCGCGGGGATTTGAACCGCTGACCTTCTGATCAGCAAGTCCTAGGCTCTGTGGTTTAACCCACAGCGCCACCCGCGTCCCTTTCCCCCTAATACAGTTATGCTAAAACTGCAATCTTTAAACTGCATTGCATGCTCCCATTCATGGCACTGAGAAACACCCAACGTTTATGCAGAAGGACCTCCCATATACAGTTCATCAGACATAAGCCCCACTGAGTTCAGTAAGCTTTCTGCCGTTCATGGAGAGTTATTTTGGCATAATTATCAAATTAAGGACTGAACAGTTATGATGAATCAGCTTAATAAATTTGTCTTTTAAGAAACAAAAAAGCAGATCATTTAGCAATGCAAAATAACAAAAACCGTACTTGGTTGTTTCTCATAAAGTTCCTGAAACTTCTTCCTTTCATATTCAACTGACTGCTGCATTAAATGTGGCCTTATGCTGGTGACAGCAAAATTAGCCATGTCCATTTTCATCAAGTCCAACACAGAAAAAATCTCTCTGCAAAATCAAGAAGACATTTCAAGCAGGTGTGTATAGTTATTTAAGGACATTTATAAATCGCTTAATTTTCTTAAAAAAAAAAAAAATCAAAGCAGTGCGCAGTATTTTAAAAAACGGTATCAATAAGAAATACAGCATGTCTAAATGTCTGCAATAAATCAAATCGCATGCCCGCAAAATTTGCAATATTTATCAAATGTAAAAGAAGGAGATAAAGCAAATGAAAAAGTGAAGAGCTAAGGGGGCAAATCATATTTAAGTAATCTAACTAAAGAACTATGTGGGGAGAACTAGGAACAATCCCCTTTTAAAGAACAGGAAGACATACAGTGCTTTCTAGAGAACAATTCTGTTGGCATATGTATTATATGCTAAAAATTACCTTTAGCAGTTTTTCAGATCACTACTGCCCAATTCTTGCTTAGATGATAAGCCTGAGACAGCTTAATACTGCAGTTGGGGCTTACATGAATTAATGCTCATCTTTACAAAAACAAAGAGCCCCCTCCCATACAGAAATTACAATGTCAGGTAGAAGGCCGGACTAGAATACATTCCCATGCATTTGGTATCCAATGTGGAAAAAAATCTTTCTCCTCCTTTCCCTTCCCCTTCATCATTGAGGAACATACAAGCAAAATATGAATGCCCACCTCAGTCTGACACGTCAGCTAAAGCCGTAGGGAGGGGTAGACATAAATGCCACATTTTGTGTGTATTTAGGAGTATACATGATTTTATCTACTTTCCAAACTAGCTGGAGAGGGAAATCCCAGTTGCAATGAATGCCTCTATAAAAGTAGTCTTGATAAAAAAATAATTTCCATATTATTCACTATTCTTGCACTTGCATTTCCACCAATAAGTTCTCCATTAAACAAACATGAACACACATGTATTATTTCATTGCTACATGCATAATTTTTGTATTCTGCCAATGGTTATCAAAAACATTCAAAGTATTTTTCCAAAGGCAGACACTGATTTAATGTGAGTACCTGAACAGGGGAACAATTTCATGAATGTCTTTCAGCTTCTTAATTTCCTCATCTCTAGCTGGAGCACAGAGCGTTCCCATCATTCCAATAATGAACTCTGCCAACTTCGAAATGTCAAGGGCCCCATTCTCTGCCTCCTGTTTTATCAGCTCCAGGTCTAGAGCTTCGGTAATCTGATTTCTTAATCTAGTATGGCCAGGCAGCAAAAAAGACAAAAGCGTCTGAAAGAAAGCAATGTTCCTTTGTTAGCTCATAGCAGTATTATGTTGCTGTATCAATCAACACTATTTCGAAGTGAGTAACAGTTGCAGCAATATTGTGTTACTAGGAAAAGTAAAATAAGGTCAAATCATTAACAGTTTTAATAGAAGTTTTCATTCACTGTGTACAGAAGAACTGTTTTGGGGTTGCATCCAATGAAGTAATCCCATGTGTACAAGGATTTCTGCTTGCTCAAGAACATCCCCTTCCTCTCCTCCACCCCCCCCACCAGTCTGTTGCAGGGCTTTTCCCAACCCTCTGGAGCATATTTGGGGGATGGAATGTGGGGAGAGGGAGGGGTAGTTCCATTCTGCAAGTGGAAGCCCTTGCACAAACAGGATGGCTTTGTTGGATGCAACCCTTGGTTTCTGGAACAGGGGGTTAACACTGGTGTACGCATGCATAAGCTCCAGTGTATTGAAGGGTGACAAATTCTGCTCCATTTTATATCCTTAAACTCACATCTGATGCTTCCATTCTGCAAAGTGGTGTCAAGGAGGGACATCAGCAAAGAAACAGGGGATGTGAGAAAGGGTACTTAACTTGTTCTTCAACTACCACTTTGCTTAACTTTTAGAATGATTATTTCCATCACAAACATGGATCTGAAACAGAGATGGGGTTGCAGATTGCAAGGGGGAAACTGCAAGAGAGGGTAGGATTAAGCTCCGCTTCTCTTGCTGCCGCTTCTTCCCTGCAAATCTCCCTCTACTGACCTCACTTTGCAGAGGAGAAGCAGTGTGCAGGTTCTGAAGATACGCGGAGACACAATGAGTAGTTCCATCACAGATGTTAAAGGGGCCAGGGAAGAGGAATGAAATGCCTCAGTCAATCAAGTGGCAGACTGTGACCGACATAATTTTTCACTAGCGACAGGTTGTAAATTGGATTACGAGACAACAGAAACTGTTTGCCATACTGATTCCAGAGCACAGTGGGGCAGGGCTTAAGGCTGTAAGTCATTATGGAAGCACTGCAAAGCTATCCAAAGGATTCAGGTGTTGCCTGCCACCAGTCCATGCCCTTATGAAACAGGGTCAATGCTGAAGACAGGACACTAGACTAAAGATGCCATTGGTCTAAGAAAATAGGAACTGCCTTGATAGATCAGGCCAATTAATTTATCTAGCCTTGTACATTGGCTCCAGCACTACCCAATCAAACGCCTTTGTGAGGCTCAAACAGGACATGAGGATCTCTATTTGTCTAAATCAAAGATGCTTCTGAACATGCCTCATCATATTTTTACAACTCTTTGCAGATATTAGCAAATAACGTACAGTGGTGCCTCGCAAGACGAAATTAATCCGTTCCGCGAGTCTAGCGGTTTTTTCGTCTTGCGAAGCAACCCTATTAGCGGATTAGCGGATTAGCGCTATTAGCGGTTTAGCGGCTATTAAAGGCTTAGCGGTTTAGCGGATTAGCTGCTAAAAGGCTATTAAAGGCTTAGCGGCTTAGAAAAAGGGGGGGGAAAGCAAAAAAAAAATCTCAAGACTCGCAAGACATTTTCGTCTTGCGAAGCAAGCTCATAGGGAAATTCGTCCTGCGAAGTGCATTGAAAACGGAAAACCCTTTCATCTAGCGGGTTTTCCGTCTTGCGAGGCATTCGTCTTGCGGGGCACCACTGTAGATGAAGTCCATCTGGAAGATAATATAATTACTTGGACTTTCAAAAAGCTTTTGACATAGTACCTGCCAAAGGAACTTAGCAGTCACAGGAAAGCAGGGCAGAACCTTTTTATGGGCTGGTTACTAGTTAGAAAACAGGAAGCAAAGAGAAGGAAGAAATGTACCGGGAGAAGGAAAGAGTGTAGGTCTCTGAAGACCTGTACTGGGATTGATACAGTTGCAACTACCCTTAAACAATGTAGAATCATGTATGGACAAGAAGTATGCTTATGGAAATACATTAGCCCCTCTTACCTCTTTGATCTCTCCCACAAGTTTAATTGCATGATCATATGATGGTGGATCTTCCTTTAGCTGTGTTTCCAGGCAATCCCAAAAAGCTTTGTGGACAATATCCCTTACTCTTCTTTCAAGGCTGACAAGCAACACAACAGGAGAAGAAAACTGAAATGGTAATTCTAACACAAAGCCAAGTACAATGAGCTCGTGACGCTTTGAGGGGGGGGGACCATCACTAGCAGTTAGGTGGTTTCTTGAAATGTCCAACATTACAGTTGAATAAAATACATTGGTAGAGAACAAAATAATTCACTGCGTCCAAGAGGAAGTTCTAGCTCAAAAGGAACACGTAAGGGAGACTCTGTCGCCAAAATGGGATGAAAAGGATAGGGGGTGTAGCTGCCAGAAGGGTTGGAAGGTTTTGAGAACTCCATCCATAGATAATATGCAAAACAGCTTCCTAAATGAGTTGTGTGGTGAATGTGGAAATTTGAATCACAGCTGATTGTGTGTGTATTCTGATGTAAGCATTCTATCTCCTCCTATGCTCTTAATAGACTTTATGTAGAAACATGAACATAACGTTCCCTGACTACATATAGGATATAACACTTGAGCTAGATGTACAAAGCTAACCTTCATGGCTATATGAGCCTGTTGCTGATGGCCTCCGGGGAGAGGATGTGGTTCACAGGGTGAGGAGGATCCCATGCATTTGGTTCATGGCAAACAGAATATGGTGTATCCACTGTTAACAAGCTTATGTTCTCTCAACAAATGCCTGACCAGCCACAATATTTTCTGTATTTCTCATTTCCATGTATAAACAGTGAGATGTTTTTAACTGATTTTCCCCCACCCCTGGATCCAGTAGTTGCGGTGCTGCCTTTTCGTACAGCAAAAATTATATTTTTGTTTTAAACTTTTTATGCTTGCGACAATAGACATCATACCTGTTTTCTGGCAATTCGGCTGGCTTAATTTGGAAGCCTCCATTGACGACAATTTCATGGGCCAACACCATGTTGGTAACGCCTTTTGCCGTTTCCATCAGCTCCTCCACTGACACAAACTGAGGAGGGCTGGCTGTAAGGCAATGAAATATACTTCAGCAAAATGTCCCATTAATTTAAAAAATTGTAAATTAACAGAGATGACTGTTCCCATCTCACTGAGCATGGTCTGTATTATTTTAAAGTTTACAGTTCCTAAGAATTGATAAGGATGGACAATCAAAGATACCACTGGAAATAGTAGAAGTAAATGTCCACTATGTTTCAAGAATGTCCTCAAAAAAGATAAGTTATCTAATGGTACATCTCAGCCTTTCCCAATGTAGTGACTTCCAGATATAGTTGGCTTGCAATTCCCATCATCCCTGACTGCCTGGGGCTGATGGGAGTTGGTCCAACAAGAGGGCACCAGGGTAGGGAAGGCTGCCATGTTCAGTCTGTGACCATCCTGTGGAGTTTGTATGCTACCATCATGTTTGAAGCTGCACAAAGAAGTGGGCTGCTTACAGGTCATTCTGTGCAAATCCGTGCCTGTAAAATTCAAAGATGAAGAGAAGGAATATGCTTCTCCTCACCAAGCCTTCTGAGAAAGGAAGGTATGGTCACAAAAAGGAAAAAGTGAAAGCTGTCAGATGGGCAGAATTTGTGCTACAACAACATCAAAGAGGAAAATTGGAAAGGAGGGCTGTTAAAAGGAAACAAAAGATATAGCCCTTCATCAATAAGTGAGGTATGTTGAATTCACGACATTGGAAGCAACCAAAAACTCTGCCATTTAAGGAAGAAACAGAAAGGAAAAGCTGCAAGATTTCCAGCTTCAGGAAATAAAAACTGAGATTGGACTACAAATAAGCATGGGGCAGTACTCTATTAATGTGCCCCATTAATGCTAGGATTCTCACTTGTGCAATGAGATTCCTGCATTGCAGCCGGTTGAAATAGATGATTCTCGGGGTCCCTTCCAACACTACATGATTCCATGACTTTCACACCCTCTCCTTGCATGTGCCCTCCCCAAAACTGCTCAAGAGATTTGGGGAAACCATTAGAACAGATTTAGGGGGCATGTGAGAGTAGGATGGGATAAAACATTCAATTGCTCAAGTAGAAGTCCTTGCGTTCACAGAACATTCACGTAGCACTACTTTGGATACAACCCACAGTTCTAACATTGGGTGTCAATCCAATGTCTTATTTCCTCCCCATGCATTGGAGTATGTGGTGCAATATCACAAAGTGAGGTAGAAAGCCTGGTTCAGCGTTACTACTTGTTTAAGAAATACGTTTTATTGAATAAAAAAACATACTGTTCAGAAAATGCTCCATTTATAGTGAGAAAATTACCTTGATGTACAGAACACAGAGAGAGAACTCCTGGAGGGTATTTTGGTTCTGAAGAGGGAAATCAGGTTTGAAGTAGTAATTTTGCTTACCTTGAGGTGTATTGCCTCTGCTGGGACTTGGCGTATTCTGTCGAATCTTCTTTCTGGAAGACTGTTCGGAATTATCCAAGTTGTCCTGCTGATTATCTTCTGATTTACCTGATGTTCCTTCACTTGTATGTGGCCTGCCTGGGTCCTGGGACATTCTCAGCTTTTTGGATTAAGAAGAAAGAAATTAAACCAATACACGCACTCCCACTGAGGCCAAATTCTCTGCTAAATCCTGCATCTAATTCAGTTAGTCCAACTAGGATTCTACCTAAGAATTTTGAGGGGAAATTCTCTGAAATTGGGGGGGGGGTAGAGAAATATGTACTGTACAGAAGTTAGACCTATTTATTTAAAAACACTTGAACAAAATAACACTGTTTCAATATTGACAATGTTGCCTGGAGACGTTTGGGTAACAATCAACTAACAAGGATTATAGATAATCATCATCATCATCATAATGGCAGCAACTGTAATTTCAAATATGGAAAGATAGTAGCTCTGACATCATGCCATATTAAGAGCTGTGATATAGGCTGGAAAATAATCCCTTTCCCAAAGTACATGATATTATAACCTGAATTAGTAGCATAATTAATAGATATAATACCAGGCAAATAAGGCAGTTTTAAAGTTATAATTAACTTTTCTCAGGTGCCTATATTTGACAAAGCATAAATGTATATGCATATAAAATACATGCATGCGTGACAAAATTATATGGGTTTTGTCACCTTTTTAATTTTGTGAAATGTAACCATGTAAGGAAATGTATGCTACTGAACAATCACAACAAAAATACTATTCAAGTAATGCTTTTTAATTAATTTGCATGTAACATTTAAACCATATTTGAAGTACATTAAGTGTACTTAATTGATTCACCTTATTCCCAATAAAATATTTGACTTCAAATAGTTATGAGTATACTGGGGGTGGGGGGTGGACTTTGATGTGTTCATACAGTTTTGCTTACTAAATATAAGTCATACATGCTAAGGGAGTTCCCCATCAATTTAGGGCACCAGAAAACTCTCCCAGAAATGTTTCTAGAATATTTCTGGTTTTAACTTTTCGTTTCAGAAAATGTTCTGTTTTCAGACTTTAGCAGTGGTTTTGTAAAACAAACAAACAAACAAAAACAAACTGGCCCCTATGATTACTGCTAGAACATTAATTCACCTAAAAGGCAATAAGTGATGAAACAAGAGACCTTTGCCATCCAATGATGTGAAGATGTGCAATTGCCACCACAGATCACACACATCTACCAAACTAACATCATCTCAAACAGAACACAGACTATGGGAATCAGTTCACACTTTCAGCATCAAGTCACTGAGCAATGAGACAAGTGATGCTGATGGATATGAAGATCTGTCTTTCATCTCCCCAGGAAATGCTGATATGAATCAGATACTGCCTCTCATCACTTAAGACTACAAAACAAAATCCATCCCGGTAAAGACTATCTGGGATATGCAAAGCTGGCTGATTGCCTGGTTGGCTAGTCTAGAAGGGAAGCCTCTAAATCAGCAAAATGGACAAAGGAAAGGAAGAACAAAGAAGACATGCCTCACACAATTCTTACTATATTATTTTTTTTAAGAAGAATTGCTCAGAGGTAGCAAATGGGATTTGAGCAGTCTAGGTGGGGTGGGAAATATGACCTTTTGAGTCTATAATCCTATATAGGCATTCAGGATCATATTATAATTGCATGAGGCTGGAAAACACATGCCTGCCCCTTAGATGCCATTACCCCAGCCTCTCCACAATGCCATTCATGTTAGTGGAGTCACATCAGCATTCCAGATGCATGTAGGCTGCCCCATGAGATGGATCTCCAAGCGCTCAAGGTTCCAGTTCATGGGGCCACTTGGAAGGGTGTCACACACCCTCCAGGAGCACCCTGCAAAACAGGGCAGGCAGGGTGACTGATCATAGTCCCACTCCCCGGCCTCATGTGATCATAGGCACATGATCCTGAGGGCATGCACTAGATGATGGTAGCCTCTTTGCCATATAAATGAATTGTCACATAAATGAATTGTCACACTTACTTCTCACTTAATGTCCTTGGACCAAGCCTTCAGGGTGTAAGAAAAGGGCAGAGAGCCAGCGAAGCAGTGGGGCGAGACTACAGCTTCAAGTTCTGCAAAGTCAAACAGAAGCAAGAGGTCTGTAAGAAAGCCACCACAACAGAGTTAGGTTCCAAAGCGGCAAATACAAAACGCCAGTAACAAAGGGCAGATTTGCAAATAAGCACAGGAATCTGGCATCCCAAGCCTCCCAAATCTCTTACATGGAAGGAGGCCCTACTTGTTTAGATACAATTTATACATAAATAGGCTTGTGACTGATCACAGGAATTTAAAGGCAGACTGTCACAGCAGTATCCTTCCCATATGACATTTTCCTGCAGTCACACTGCTATTTTCATTATACTGTATGCTGTGTGTAGAAAAAAATCCTAGTTATTTTGTATTCACAATGCCTCTTTCGAACTCACTAGCATCATTTGAAAAGCATTTAGAATCCACTAGGCATTTTGTCAAGTTTTCTTCAACACAATTGACCCTGAGTTAATTAACATTCAGAAATATATCTCATAATAACACATAATAACACATCAAACATTAAAATGCTTCCCTATACAGGGCTGCCTTCAGATGTCTTCTAAAAGTTGAGTAGTTACTTATCTCTTTGGCATTCTGATGCAAAGGAAAGTTAGAATTTTATCAGGATTCATCTTCTTGAGTTTTGAGACAAACACAAAAGTTTCCCAAACCCAGAAGACCCAAAGTATGTATGACTGATATAATCCAGGATTGATACCTGTTTGTATATTTAATATATTATTCACATTCTAGATAAAATTTCTAAAATAAATAGAAACATTAGAGCAGACAGAGTTTATCCATATTTTTGATGAAGGCAGAATTGTGTCTGGACTTCTACCAGTGCTGCCTTCAGTTTTTCGAAGTAAGTGTTGGTTAACAGTTTATGGATTAAGCAAAGAGCTTCAACAAATAGAACAAAACAAGGCACTTTGCTAGATTATAGTGTACCATGTTGCTATTTTGTTTCTCACCCCAGCTTTGGAAACAGATGACTGTATAGGAAATGAGGGATTTAAATAACCGGTTTTCCACTCTAATAATTAAAATTAAACATCCCTAACTATACCCATGATTTACACATATTTACGGTTTGCAGTAAGCTCCCTGGTGTCATATGTAGTTTGAATGGCTCGGCTGTCCATAAATTGCCAAATTAAAAAGGAAGCAACCTACAATGCACTGGATTCTTCTGAGCGCATTCAACAACAGAACTATGCCTGCGCCAACTCCAGCCAAGTAGTTCTACAGCCTCTGACATCATGGAGTCTTTTAGCATGCTCGTGTAAGTGAAAAAGAATCCAAAATAGCAACATCCCCATCAAGAAGGCTGATTTCTCAGACACCGAGAGACAAACTAGATATGAAAATGGTAGATCCAACATGGATCCTGCCAACTCCATATGAAATGGTGGAGTGGCAACTGAATGGAAGCAGGGATATGTGGGTTGGGAAAACTAACTCCCCCTCCCAGTGAAACTGCTGTACATCTGCTGCTTTTCTCCAGCACGATTTATTTTGGTTCAGAGTCTCACTGAGAGGAAACCAATAATGGCAGTTCATTGGACAAAAAAAAGATGGGGAGAGTCATATTTACCATCCCTCTGACCACTTTTACATATGGGTTCTATGACAGTAAATATTTGGGTAACCGAGATGGTAAAACCTGTTTGGGTTCTACCACCTCAGACTACAGACTTTATGACTGAATCCGTTTCCTTACACACACAAAAAAGATTCCCTTCACTAAATGTCAGGGAGATGAGTTCTAGCCGAGGTTTCTTCCTAACATGCTTGCCTTTATCATGTGAAATATGCTACTTCTACTGACACGTCCATCATTTTCCTTTCCCATTCAGTTCTCATCTCAACACTTACTTCCTTTTAATCCTAATATCATTTCTGCATATGATTCTCCCCCCTTGTTATCATCACTTTCCCACATTGCCCTCTCTTTACTTTCTTCAGAAGTTCTTTGGTGGTCCCTTTCCCCAACAATCTTAGACCCACCTCATTTTTTTCACTCAATCTTTTCTTTTCTATTTTAGCATTTCCAACTTCACTTTGGTTTTGTGTGTTTTCCTCCTTTTAATGCAGTAGCCTTTGTGCTGTAATGCCCCTTAAAGGTTTGTGAACCGCTTGCCAGCACAGGTGAGAAGTATTTAATCAGCCAAGTGGTTGAGTCTGCCTCTAGAAGTACCTATGTGTTTGCACCTGCTTGTGTTGCACTAATGAATAAACCTGATGGATGTGTGGCGGGCTTGCACATCCTTGAGTTTATTTCACAGAACTTTTAAGATGCAACCACCATAGCCTTCCCTAGAAGCCACAGGGTTTAATTTGAGACAGGGCTTCACAGCTTCAGAACCTTGGGCAGTGTGATGCTCACACTAAAAATATGCTAGGTAATCATTATAATAACTTATTCCATAACAATGGGCCTATGCAACCAGCAGACATGCGTTGAGAAATGACATCCATGTCAAAAGGCTATAATTTCCAGCTAGGTCTGCAGCCTGCCACCTCCCAGTTAAGGGTGTCTGAAGAGAAGGCAGCAAAGGCAAATGAGAGAAACAGAGCAATACAGATCAACGAGACAGAATTCCTCTTTGATGTCTTCCAAACTTTGCAGCCAAGTTTCAACAGCACTGTTTACAGCAGGGGTGGAGAACATTGTTTCCCAAGAAAATGCCCCACCACCACCACCACACAGAAAAAAATGACACAGCACTGATTTAAATCAATGAAGTTCAAACTAGGTGGCTTTACAGGCATAAAAAGAAAAACTAAGGCTTCCTCCCCACTCACTTTTTCTACTGTCATGAACACATCACCATATGAATGTACACAAGTGCTTGGAAATAAAGCAGCAAAATTTTAAAGTTTTGTATAGTCCCCATTATCAAAAGGTTTCCTTAGCACATATCAAAACAGGTTATTATGGTGTCAGAGCATGACTTGTCCTAAAGCATATACATAAAATGCATATATATTATCTTGTTTGGATTTTATTTACACCTCAGCATGACTATGCAGTTTCCTAAAAGTCTGCATGAAACTCTAAAAAGATGACTACTCAGACAAGCATGTAATGTTGAGGTTAAGAACTAGAAAAACAGGGATGTGAGTGAAGTGCCAGCTATTTCAGTTAAACTATATATTTCCCAATGTGACACATAAAAAATTCTCAGTGGGCACAGACAAAGCTTTGAATAACTCAGAGAGAATAAAAATAAGTGATATCAGAGAACTGATGTATTTCTTTCTGGGGAGCTGCAGAGTTATGAAATAAAGTATATCCATTATATTCCAAAACAAGGAAAATCTTCAGATATAGGATTAGAACAATAATATCCATTTAGCAAATGAAAGACTGTTGCTGCAATCCTGTATGGGGGGGCACCTCGGTCCCAGGGGGCAAATGTCATCCTCCAAGCATCTCTATCTGGCCCTTGGGACACTCACCACACCACACCCCCTCCCCAGGGGACCCCCATCACTGGCCCTGTTCCATACCCTTCTTTCCTGGCTGGAACGCATCCTTGAATTCTCCACCCTGCCTGGCTGGGAGAATAGAGAGAGAGGTTTATGAATGTGTGTAGAAACCAGCCGACTATACAAAGGTAAAACTGAACAGTTGTTGCTTTTGCCACTTTGTCCTCTGGCCCTGCCCACCACTTACATGTGGCCCCTGGTAGGAAGTGGGGAGGAAGGGGTGTGTGGGTTGCAGCCGCCCAGGGTGTCATCACTGGGGGGGGTTGACAAACTGAGTTTGAGGGAAAGGCAGAGGAGAGGCTCGCCCCGCCCCCCGTCCCCGAGCAGCTAGTTATGCCGCTGCTGGGAGGCTGCCCAGAAGGGAAGGCAGGCCTTGATAATGCGTGCATGCCTACCTAGCAGTAAAGTCCCACTGTGCTAGTGGAGCTCATTTCCGGACAGGCGCGCATCGGGAACTGACTGGAAATCGGCTGGTTTTGACAGCCCTTCAAAACACAACTCCTGCTTTACGGATGTTAAACCTTGACGAATGCTTCAGGCAGGGCTGACACGGTGGAATTTCCCCGCTCTCTCCATGCATGCTGATAAGCAATGCGACCCCTTCCGATTTAATCTGGATTAATGGCCCACACAGGACGACAAGGGTTGTGCTCTCGCCCGCATGCCCCTCGCGACCCCGGCCTGGGACCCCGATGCAGCCGAATAACAAGCAGCGCCGGTTCTGCTACAGCGCCCGCAGACGAAGGGACAGGGGCAGAGTTTGCGGCTCTCTGGGGCACCAAAATCCGACCCCGCCACCCCCAGTCCTGGTGCAGACAGGGATGGCAAGGGGTGAGGAGGGGGCAACCGGGCTGCAGTGGGAAGAAGACGTCCCGCCCACCATTCCGCAGCCCCGCTTACCCGAGAGAGAGGCTTCGAGCGCTGGAAGACAGCAACTTTTTTGCACCCGGTCTCCGGAAAGCGAGTCCGGGCGGCGGGGGGCCGGAAAGGGCGCGGCCCCTCAACGCCAGCGCCACTAGCGGGAACTCCTCGCAATCCCCGTCGTCGTCGTCGTTCTCTTCTTCCTCCTCCTCCTCCTCACAGGGAGCCGGGAGCCTGCAGAGGGCAGGGGGAAGCTGGCGGCTCCTCACAGGGCGCCGCCATGTCTGAGCTCTCCCTAGCTAAAGCGCCTCAAAGCAAAGCGCGAGGAGTCCTGATGGGCAGCTGCGGGAGGAGGGAGGGAGGAGCGCGCGCGTGCCGGCGATAACAATACGCAAGATAGCTGTCAATCAAGGGACGAGGTTGTTGGCGGAAGGCGTGGGGGGCGAAAGGCTCTTCCCTCCCACCCCCGGGCCTTTTTTCTGTTCCAGAACTACCGCTGCTGCATCCAGGCTTTTCCCACTGTACGTGTGCATGGAGGGAGGGAGGGAGGGGAGCGCCGTGCGGCACAAAAGCCCCCCCACCACACGCACACATACAGAGGCAGGGCTGAGTACTATTATGACGGCTTTTATTTTAAACCGCCGATAAACCTCGAAACAATGAACTGACAGCCTAACGCCATGCGGACTGACTGGCACGGGGCGTGCTGGAAACGCCTCCCTGCAAACATGTTTTGAAGCATGCACGCTGTTCAAGAGGCAGCCTTTGTTTGGCTCTCCCGCACAGCCGTCCTGCAAAATAGGTTGCTGGTCAATGTCCGAAAGGGATCAGTCGGGCCAGCTCGTCAGGTGCATTGCAGCCCCGGGCATGTTTACTTGGGAATGCCGTCCTGCTGTGTTAAGTGAGGTTTGCTCCCCAAGCTCCCTAGGGTACATGGCTTGGGGGGGGGGGACGACGAAGAGAAAAGAATGGCGTATGCACCCCACTCACTGAATGGTGAGAGATTTCAAGCGTGCCCGCACCTATCTCGTGTTTGGTTTCTTTAAAATAAAATTAAGGTCACCTGAGATTCTGGCGTCTTTACGATAAACGGTTTTATTTACAGGCTGGCGCTGAGCATCATTTGGACTCTCAGCACCAGAGCGCCAAATAAAACTGCTCATTAGGTTTCAGGGGGGCGGTGGCTTCACAATGCCTTAGTACTGTACTGGATTCTCGCAGAGCGCAGAATCGGGCCTCTGGGTACTTTCAGCAGCAGGTGTATGGGGAGCTGAGCTCCGGTGTCTAAATGATGCCTCCTTAGTAAAAGAGGGTAGTTGATCGCCCTGCCAGTGCTATCAGTTACCTCAGGAAGTTATGCTGCTTCCATTAACCCTTTCCTGACCAAACTACTGTACAGTCTTACAATCAATAATTAAAGCTATGAAGGAGCCCTTTAGATTACATCATTCTAGACTAACCAATACAAATATGCAACAACAAAAGCAGATACAACAAAATGCTATATGAAAACAATAGAAGTCAACAAAAGCAACATACAATGCACTTGGTAAAAATAGGAAAACAGAAGAGGAGGCCTTCCTGAAAGACAGACTATAACTACCAATAATAATAATAAGTTATATAACGGCCATTAAATAGCTGGGCAAATAAATGATTTGGAGAGATATACATTGTGTCACCACAGAGAAAGTTTATTCCCTAGTCACCACCTACCTAACCTCTGATTGAAAACATCAGTGAATGCTGAGTGGGAAGCAAAACAGAACACATGTGAATAAGTTCACATTGTGAGAATAAATCTACATTGTTCTGCAGAGGCAACCGACAGGTATCATATCACCTTATGTTTATTCTTGGAATAATCTAACTGGGGGAGAGTGAGTAGGTAAATTATATTCTTCCCTCTATAAAATGCTTACTTCCAAGAGCACAGGTCTGTTGCTGTCATTTTGTTGGAAGGATCCTGAACATGTTTAGGAGACATGTGAAATGCATAGGAATCCTTAATTCTCAATATCATTTCTATTTTTCTAGGAAAAGAGGTGTTGGAACTCACCATGAACACCTCCCTTGTTCTCTTATAATGGCAATGGCTCCCACCTGAGAGATACCGGAACTGATTTCCGGCAATTTCTGGCTGAAAAAAGCCCTGCTCAATATGTATTTCATCTATGTAGGAGGGTTAACATCATAAACCTTCATCAGATTCAAGTGCCTTATTTCTGTTCCCTTATAATCCCTGCAGATCTGTGACTGATGGCTCACTTCTACTAGGACAATTCCCTACAGCTCAGAATTGGTTGCCATCCAGAACAGAACATTAGTCCAGGGGGAAACAATGAGAGCTTAGACAAAACAAATAAGATATCTTCAGAAAGTGATAGTACCTGTAAAATCAGTTTATTCTGTGCTTACCTCTGAAAAAAACTAAGGAACAGCAAATAAACCATTAAAAACATCGCCTGAAAAGGGACACATCCACAATTTTACTATTTATATAAAGAGAGATCAATTAAATCCCAGGAGGAAACAAGTCAGGAAACTGGGGGGCAGGGGGAGGAAGAGAGATAAATGTAGCTTCAGTACTACAGTACTCGCAAAGCATTATAATCAGCCATTTGAGCAAAAGGCAAAAATGCAAGCCAAAGCTGAAAATGATACCATCAGGCGAGAAAGCCAGCCATGGAAAAAAGCAGTCAGTGAAGCAGAAGACAGCACCTAGCAATAGAAACTGGATCCAGATTAGTCCAACCCAACACACCTAACTTCAGCCGCACTCTGCAGTCACTAGTCACATGAGTACCTAACCCTTGGACATATTGTCTTGTCAGGTTACTATGGGATGGTCCTATCTTGCAGCAGTGACTTGAAACCAGACAGCACTTTTATCCCTTTGATTTTTGCACCCAATAGGTTGTTTCCCAAGCCCTTATTTTAGCAATCAGAGGGCCAACCACATAATAATGCACCACCCTGGTGTGTGCTATACTGCATGGTTCTCCTGTGCCTTGACGTGGCTTTGTCTCTGATTGAGTCCAAGTACAAGATACAAGATGGGTGACACCTGGCTTGAGAGCAGTACATGTGAAAAGGATCTAGGAGTCTTGGTTGACCACAGACTTGACATGAGCCAACAGTGTGATGCGGCAGCTAAAAAAGCCAATGCAATTCTGGGCTGCATCAATAGGAGTATAGTATCTAGATCAAGGGAAGTAATAGTGCCACTGTATTCTGCTCTGGTCAGACCTCACCTGGAGTACTGTGTCCAGTTCTGGGCACCACAGTTCAAGAAGGACACTGACAAACTGGAACGTGTCCAGAGGAGGGCAACCAAAATGGTCAAAGGCCTGGAAACGATGCCTTATGAGGAACGGCTAAGAGAGCTGGGCATGTTTAGCCTGGAGAAGAGGAGGGGGTGATATGATAGCCATGTTCCAATATATAAAAGGATGTCACATAGAGGAGGGAGAAAGGTTGTTTTCTGCTGCTCCAGAGAAGCGGACACGGAGCAATGGATCCAAACTACAAGAAAGAAGATTCCACCTAAACATTAGGAAGAACTTCCTGACAGTAAGAGCTGTTCGACAGTGGAATTTGCTGCCAAGGAGTGTGGTGGAGTCTCCTTCTTTGGAGGTCTTTAAGCAGAGGCTTGACAACCATATGTCAGGAGTGCTCTGATGGTGTTTCCTGCTTGGCAGGGGGTTGGACTCGATGGCCCTTGTGGTCTCTTCCAACTCTATGATTCTATGATTCTACCATAAACCTGCTGTACCTTTCCACTCACCCTGCCCACACTTGGAGTGGGGCTTCCATCACAGATTGCCACTGCAATCTGTTATAAGGAATTGCTCTTTGAGAAACAAAACCAAAGCATAGTTGGCCATCTAGAAACTATACATATGAACTATACACATGAAGGCCAATGGTTAAGCATATGCCTTATTTGGAACCATTTCCAAACAGGAAAACTTTTTAAGATATAGGCAGCAGCATTTAATTTCTTATTATCAGCAGAAATGCATTAAAAGCAGTCTACCCCCATTTATTTTTGGTTCCTCTTTGCACTATTTATGTTCCCATGCGCAGAAATTTAGCAAGTAACTATTTAAGCCTAGAATGCCAAGTAGTATGGTAGGGCCTATACTTCAAAGCCTATCTACTGGAACAGATAACTCCAATATGCCACATTATGGTGGGAATAACCCAATAAAGGAGTGAGAAATATTAAAGCGGAGCTTTGCATTTTTTCTCTTTTTCTTTTTTTGGCTGCATATTATGGAGCCAATTGCAACAGTAAATAAAAATGGGTTCAGTGGTGGTAGTCTCCTGAGGAGTGAACCTTTATGTTGGAAAGTTTTGCTCACCCTTGGCCAGTTTATTAGCTTCAGGTCCCTATTGTTCAACAGAATGGAAAACATCCACCAACGAGCATTCTTTGCACTGATACAATTCTTGTCGTGTCCATGTAAGGGCAGAAGTGGTGGTATGGCAGTAATGATGATTTACAACTGCCCTCTAAATTCAAGAAGGTTCACAGAAACCTCCATTAGGTTTCTACTACAGATTTATGTAGATGTTCCAGGGACCAAGACAGTGTTTTGTTTTTTTAAAAAAAATACTGTAGATTCCAGATCACCATCAGCTGCACTTTTAGATCTATCAGCAGAGAAGGCAGTAACAGTGACTTCATGCATATCCCAAACTCTCTTGGCATCCAAGTACAAGGATGATTTACACAACCCTGGAGTATATGATTCAGTCCTTATTTTCCAAGCAGGCACTTAATCCCTCTGGATTGTGTTGTGCCTCTGACAAAGCAATCACGGGGACTCACTGCCCTGGGCATAAGCGACATTTCAGCATGCCACTATCAAATACAATTAAGCTGAGGTGTTCGCAAGGATCATATGAACTGGCCTGTACACAAGACATGTCCTACAAAAACAAGCATGCTTTTTCTAACAAGCCCTATTATTTTTTACGTTTACTCTGAACCCCACTGAATTCAATGGAGTTTATGCCCAAGTGGACCAACGGAAGATTGCTGCTGCTCACCTTTGTGGAGGATTATTTGTTCTTCAGAGTTCAATAAACATGAACATAAGGTTAGACACAATCACAGGTATTTACACAATTGGCAAGTGACTGCCATGCACTGTTAATTCAAGACCAACTTGGCCTAAAAATATCCTTTTGAATTATATACACAATACATGGAACCTAACAAAGGGACAATATGAATTGACTCTCCACACCCCTACTATAGCAAGATGACTGGTATTGATGAACTGGGAAAAAAAATGCAACTCCCTTCAACAAATGGATTGAAGGTATTTATAAACTCACAACACGTGAACAAGTCACATACAAACATAGACTTGTCATGGACAAATAACAATCTTGTAATAATTTATGGGCATATATATATATATATATATATATATATATCCAACAGCCTTGTGTTACATGGAGAAACCATGTGGTTGTTATAGTCCAGTGGCAGTGAGATCTGACAATCAGGAGCAAAAATTATATTCACCAAATAAAGTCTAGTTTTCAGGAGCTTCCAAAAGAGTTTGAACAAAGCTAAAAACTCATACACTGGCCTAAACTTCCCTCCCCAACCCCGGTTGTTTGTTTTTTTAAAATCAAGAATCTGAACAATTAAGATTTAAATAGAAGCTTTAATTATTTTTAAATAATGTTATTACATGGGGACTCCATATTACAAAACCACTTTTATTTAAGTACAATACAAAAAAATTAAAAAGATACAAAATAAGTGCTTCCAAAAGTTATTAGTATCCCAGTATCCTTCTAGAGCTAAAGTTCGACACCTCCATCGGTACCTCTGTCATGAAAATACTGCAAAAAGATAGCTGGATTACTAGCATAGAATTGATCAAGCAACCTCTTCCGCTCTTTGGCAGAGAGACTGGAGTCCTCATCAATAGATTTTAGCAAAGATACAAGTTCCCTTTTTGTAGTCTTCTTTGCACTGTGATGATACTCACTTTTGTCAAGTTGCTGGCAGAAAGTATATCCTAAAAAGCAAGCATGAAAAACCATTCATAAAAGTATAGTGGTAACTCTTGTCATTGATATACAGTATTCTCATAGAGCAGAGGCATGGGGAGCCTCTGGCCTGCCAGGGATCCTAATTTGGCTTGTGAAAGTGAAGTCGTTTCCCTCCACCCTTCCCCACATGGCCCCACACCTTCTGAGCTGAGCTGATCCCTGCCACAACAGGAACACATTCTCATGTTTCCCTCATACTGACGTTATCAGATGTAACACGACAACAGGCCACTGACAGGTGGGTAGCCCTACCTACCTAGCAAAGTGACATGTGGGGGGGGCCTCAGAATTTGCCCCCCTCCTAAGCTGGATCCTGTTCCCCACCCTTGCCCTATATCACTCTGGAAGGTAGTCCAGTATTACCCCCATTTTACAGATAAAGGACGTAGGCTGAATATCTTGCTTAAGACCACCTAGTAATCTCATGGCTAAAGAAATTGGGACCAGGGATTTCCCACTCATGCTCTTGACCATCTCACAACTGCTTTCATCTCAGTCTACTTAATTAGCTTGCATTTTCATAGAACCACATTGCTGAATGGGCCCCAATGCATCACTAACCCAAGCCAAGCCTTACCAAGTTTCATTCTCACTACGTTCAAATAAATGGTAGAGTCAATTAAGATAAGATTATTCCAGGTTTTGCCAGAGGTTTCTTTAGAAGTGATTCAAAAACAGGGATGTGGAAACTTGTGGCCCTCCAGATGTTGCTGTACTTCAGCTCCTATCAGTCCTAGCCAGCATGGCCAATGGTCAGGTCTGATGAGAGCTGTAGTCCAACAACAGGTAGAGGGCCACCGATTCCCCAGCCAAGGACTTAAATGTTATTAAATACATGGTTACCTGTATTCAGGTTGGAATCTTTCCCCTGCTGTATAGCCACAAGCTTGTCACTAACCATTTTATGCAACGTCCCTGGGATCTTGGAGAAAAACAACAGCTTCTTTTAGTCATTAAAATTTAGGAAGATAATTCAGTAACAAGCAACAGCAGGGGAACAAGGTTTAAGGCACTTACTTTTAATACATCTTTCTGGTAGTCCACCAAAAACAAAATTAGAAGGTCAGTTTTTCCTTTAGATAAACTTCTATTGTTGACTATGGCTTTGGAGAAAGTTCTTTTCACAACCATCCGGTTGTCGCTCTACAAAATAGGGGTGAAATGATTAAAGGAGTGTTTCCCTGCTTACTTACTCTGTTTTCAAACACAAGTTTCCTATAGTTTGCTTTGTAAGACCACAGAAAATTATGTGAATGCAAGTTACTTAATTTGTGAAGTAAGCTTAATAGAGTTCAGTACAGCTTATGCATAAGTCTGCTTAAAATCATCCCAATATTATTGTTCTTGGTCATTTAGGGGTTGTATCCAACACTGTGCACAGAGTTCCCATTGTGCAAGTGGACTTTTCCTTTCTCTCCTTTCCTTGCACACCTTCAGAATCTGCTCCAGGGGCTCCCTCCAACCCTCTGGAGCAGATTTTGAGGGTGCACAGGGGACGGGAAAGGGAAAATACTATGCTAGCAGAATAGTCACACTGGAAACGACCCATTATTTTTTATCATTGTTAACTATCATTATTGCTTACTATTGTTATTAACCACTATTTCTTACCTACTCTTTGTCATAAGGTCCCAGCTCAGATTTAAAATATATATAAAATATTACAGTAAATTAAAACAATGTTCTGTCTGGTGGTGTGGAAACTGCTGCAGTGTGACTCTTTGATCCATTGGTTAGCAGCAATGGAAACCCAAGGTCACGTGGGAGGAACCCATATTCTGGCTCCTTCCCACTTCAGAGCTTCAGTTTCTCTAAAGGACGGTGCCACCATGGGAAGGAATCATGGCATGGGCTCCCACCATAGCAATCTCATATTTCCAACATTAACCTAGTGGCACTGCTCTGCTCCAAAGACTGACATGTCATTGAAGGTTACATTAGAAGGGGCCCTAAGTGATCACACTTGCCTCTGCTTGGAGCTTAAGATCAGAATTCTGAGCGATAATAGCCATGAAGTAGAGTAGTCTCCTGAACTCCTCTCTTCTTGTACTATCCAATAACTTCAAGTAGAGCTGAATCGCTTCCAAAGCTTGATAAGTTTTCCCATTAACTGGAACAAAGAAGAATGATGGAGTTTATGACTAACACCCAACATTACTGTTCTGTTTAAAAACCGACAATTCCCCATCACCACAAACTTGTTAAGTTTGCCAATAAAAGCACAGTTACCATTGAGCTATACAGTACGGTATGCATTTTACAAGAGTTTTCACTCCACATGTCTGTATACATTGATAAAGAATGTAGGTAGTCATCTAGAAATTTGGAAGCCAATTGCACTTACCTAGCAGCTCTGCAATGCCCAGGTGGATTTCGGGTGCATGACTTAACAGTGGTTCCTTCTTTTGGCTATAGTATCTACCAATGGTATCAAACAGCAGCAGCTTCCCAAAATGTACTTTGTCAGGCTGCTCAGGCAAATTTCGGCTCACATCAACCACCATCGGATCTGGCAGATACTCCAGACAGTCTATTGCTGCCGACAGCCATTCATCCGTCCTAGAAAATGAAAATTCTTTTGTCTCTATATTTTCAAAGTCATGGGCCCTACTCCAGGTAAAGTCTGTCCATAACCAAGACCCACTGAAGTCATAGTAACAGCTTAGGGCCAAAGCTAGGTGTGACCTGAGAGATGAAGGAAAGATCTTCAGTGGTGGCATTTAAGAAAAAGATCAAAGCACCTTGCGGGTGGGATGGGAGGTGAATACAGTTAAAATGGGAACTGCAGCACAGAGGCAGGAAAAGTAACTGTTCCAGCACACTATTTTCTTGGTCCAAACCCTCCCCCTTCCCCCCAAAATAAACATGCCTCTAAAGATGCTATTTGCCCTGCAGGTAAAAGTAAACTTAGTCTGTAACTCAGCTTCTTGTGTTCCTGTTCATCAACATACATACTTACTGAGAGTCTCCGAATGCTTTCAGAATTTCTCGGTCCAGGTAGTTGCTTGTGATGTTACATTCAGACTCTTGCTTTGTTTGTGGAAATTTAGATCCTGCCTTCTGGTACTCAAGTAAAGAGTCAAGAAGTGGAAGATCTATAAGCTGCAGGAGGCGGGTAATTGTTTGCTCTCTCCAGACTTCGTTAATAACTAGAAGCACAATTCAAATGCCAAGATCCAGTTAGCTAAAGTTATTTAGGGGTCAAGGAGTAATTTGCTATTGCAGTATTTGTCTTTTAGCCTAAGAGACTTAATACTTCACTGAAAGAACACTTAAGCGACCTGCTTCCTTATTAATGCATTATCAACTTACAAGTGTACTTTATCAGGGTAAAAGGAAGGTGACCAACAGCAATTTATGCAGGGAACAGCAAGCATTTGGACATAGCCAACATGCTTTACATTTTTTCCTGTGGAACTTGCGAATGATCTTTGCTGCACAGGGAATCCAATCACATAAATCATGCTAATAAGGATGCGTAAAGAAAGGAGGCCTTGTTGAAGACTTTAGAGTTGGAACAATGGATTCCTTAGCTTCAAGAGCCTCTGCCACATTCAAGGATTCCAGAACTGAAAAGCAAGAACTTGTCTGCTTGCTGCATTTTCTAATCAGGACTAAATTTTCAACTACAGAAAAACAACCCTAATTTTGGGTTTTCCCATTAATGAAGATGAAATAGTGGCAGCAACACATCCAAGCCTTCTTAAACCCAGCTAAATTTTAAAGGTAATGAAAAGCTTTGAACACTTGCACTACTGGTGGCTAAGCTTTAAATCTGAGTTTTAAACTGAATTTCATTTTAAAAAATAATAATTTGAAATAGTGTTTATTGTTTTATGATGCACTTATTTTATTTGTTGCTTTGTAAGCCATCCAGGGAACTTCTATTCTGGGGTGGCTACATAATAAATGCAATACATAAAAGTTTTTTAGCCACTACGAGTAAAAAATGTGAGGCAATGCCATTTTCAAAACCACCACAGTCAGCCCTTCCCTTTATAGCTTGGGATAGTTTTGCTATCTGTAGTCTAAAGAGCTTGGGGAGAGACGGCAGCACATCACTGGATAAGCAAATGGCTGGGGTTGATGGAAGTTGTAGTCCAAAACATACCATAGTTTGGACTGAGCTGGTGAGGGCTTGTCTATACTGATCACCAGACCCTCCAGCTTAACTTCACAAACTTCTATTCCCTGTGACAGTTGTGGGTCAGTGTCAGAGGCTGGCCTTGCACGATTTATCAGGATGGGGAAACAATAGGCATGTGCTGTAAGTCAAGAAAATACACTACACAATGTATTCCTTTTATTCTAAGCACTGTATTTGGTAGTGGAAAGGAGCTAAATTTGCAAGTTCCCACCAGTTTAAAACAAGGCATCCATTCTTTCCCTTGGGTGCAAGCAATTATGATGTTTGCGCATCACTTACCTTGGTGAGAAAAGTTTGGAGAGGTATTTACTTGAGAGGAACTAACAGGCGTTAGACTCAAGTTTTCCAAGAGATCCTCCAAGCTTCCTGATTTCACTGGTGTTATGCTAAGTAATGCTCTTTTCTCCTGTCTGAAGAAAGAAAAATGGATTATTCAAGTTATCTGCTCATCAGCCAGAAAGGTCCTGGTAGCGATAGTCTCTGTAAGTGAGCTTTGAATTCATGACTACTCAGCTGAAGGGCAAAAAATACAAACATTCCGCTTCAAACATAAAAATGAACCAAAGAGATACATGCTCAAGATAACGGAATACACATTAGTGTCCCTTATGTTAATCACCTCCTGGCAAATAGAAGGGGAAGAAATGGAGGCAGTGAGAGATTTTACTTTCTTGGGCTCCATGATCACTGCAGATGGTGACAGCAGTCACGGAATTAAAAGACGCCTGCTTCTTGGGAGAAAAGCAATGACAAACCTAGACAGCATCTTAAAAAGCAGAGACATCACCTTGCCAACAAAGGTCCGTATAGTTAAAGCTACGGTTTTCCCAGTAGTGATGTATGGAAGCGAGAGTTGGACCATAAAGAAGGCTGATCACCGAAGAATTAATGCTTTTGAATTATGGTGCTGGAGGAGACTCTTGAGAGTCCCATGAACTGCAAGAAGATCAAACGCATCCATTCTGAAGGAAATCAGCCCTGAGTGCTCACTGGAAGGACAGATCCTGAAGCTGACACTCAAATACTTTGGCCACCTCAAGACTCCCTGGAAAAGACCCTGATGTTGGGAAAGATGGAGGGCACAAGGAGAAGGGGACGACGGAGAACAAGATGGTTGGACAGTGTTCTCGAAGCTACCAGCATGAGTTTGACCAAACTGTGGGAGGCAGTGAAAGACAGGAGTGCCTGGCGTGCTCTGGTCCATGGGGTCACGAAGAGTCAGACACGACTAAATGACTAAACAACAACAACATGTTAACTGACCTGTCATAAGAGTATCAAAAGCAATCTGTTACAATCCCAATCCCATTTGCCTAGTTCTATTTCAGTAGGATCTATTTCTGTGTAGAAATGGTTAAGATTGTGCTGTTAGGCCTCTTCTTCTAAGAAGTTTGATATAATGGACATATTTAACTGTGACTGCATTACTTGAAGCTGTGATGTAACATATTGAGCTAAGACACACAGCCCCAGCCCCGTATTGACTTATGGTTGGCAACTATTGCTGAGGCTGAGCCCCATTTATGTTTGCAGTGTCCAATTAAGAACTGCCATTAAAAATGTGATATTTACAATGTGTCACTGATGTGAATTGTGTATTAGTTCATGCGCTTCAAAAAACTAAATATAAAGTGCTACTGCATTGGGGGCGGGGAGGGAATGGCGACTAGCAATCCTGTTTTTGCACCTGTAATCCAGCTTCCAGGAGCCATTTGGCTCCTAGCTTTTCTATCTCAGTTTCCAACACTGCTTCTAAGGGGCCAAGCTATGTGTACTCAGAAGTAAGTCCTACTAAGTTCAATAGGATTTACTCCCCAGCAAAGGTGCTTAGGTGTGATGTCTAAGGCAACCCTACTTCCAGGTTAGTGGGAACAAGCACCACTGAATTCAAATGAACTTGTTTCTATCTGGCTATAGATTGCACTGTAAAGCACAACCAAGTAATATTCAGCATCTTTCACAAGGGTTGTGCACATTTGCACCCAAATAAAGCCTCTCAGTTCGCTTGTCAACAGGTTTAATTTTAATTAAGGGCAGATCCACACCACACATTTAAAGCATATGCCCTCCCCCAAATAATACTGGGAACTGTCATTTCCCTCTCACAAAAGATACATTTCCCAGCATTCTTAACAAACCAGTTCTCAGGATTCTTTGGGAGAAGGCATTGGATGTGGTTTAAATGCATCATACGCTTTTCTCCTAAGAGTTAGAAGCATGTTAGTCATCTTACATTACACACAAACTCACATCCTTACATTCTACTTTGGTGTCCACCCTTGGTTCCATTCTCAAAAGACACTAACACATTTCGAATGTCCACTTCACCCATATAATAATAGACCAAAAGAACAACTCTCCCTGTAATCATAATTAGTCCACGTGAGTGAGTCTTCAGCATGTGCCTTCAGATACATCACTCTCTCATCAGCTGGAAGGATACAAACAAAATCCTATCCAAGAATTGTACTTGATTCAATGGAAATTAGTCATACTTAAATTCATTTGACAATGACAGAGTTGAAGTGTAAATTGGGTTGTTTTTATTTTATGTATTTTGTGTATTTTATATTGTGATTTTCTCCTGTGAGCCACCTGAGACTTGTGGGTATAGGGCAGTATATAAATTTTAAGAGAAGGAGGAGGAGGAGGAGAATAAATTGACCCTTCTCTCTCTAGCTGGGACTATTATGCAGCAGCTACTTGCAACTTTCATGGTCACTTTTGGATTTAAAAAATAACACCATACTCTTCCCTCCTCTTCCCATTTGTAGTCATGCTTCACCACAGTTTTATAAACAGAAATATCCAAAGTTGTACAATCTTACTACTATTTAAAAGTAGCCGAGTTGAATGGAACTCACTCCCAGGAAAGGAGGTATAAGACTGCAGCCTCAAATCATATCCTTATTCTAATTCACATTCAATTGTTCGAATGTCGTCACTTATGTAGCTAAGAGGAGCAACAGTGACAAAAAAAGAGGGGCTATCGGCAGACTTGAGAAAATCCCAAGGTTTGGGAACGTACAAAATAAATGTTAGGAAAACCGCTCCGCCTCCATGAGTACTGAGTATGCTCAGTCTTCAAAAATGTATCGACTGAAAACTAGGTCAAGTGGGCCAGATGGGCAGGGGCAAAACTAGGCTTTATTTCACCTGGGTCAAAGACCCAGTTTGGCACCCCACCACTCGCTTTTGCGGACATGCATGCACACAAACACACACAGGCTGGGAGCCTCAATGGTGCCCGTCTGGAGGTTTCAGCCAGGGCAAAAAACCCAGCTAGCCCCGCTTCCCCGTAGCAACGGTTTTGTGCGGGGGGTGGGGGCAGGCAGAAGAAAGTAGCTTAAAAAGAGGAGGACAGAGGAAGATATATAAAAATGAAATTGTTCTTTCTGTTCCTATCCATTCCCTCTTACCCCAGCAGTCAGTCAACATTCTGTGTCCACTGAGCATGCTCAGTCCTCACTCAGCTGTTTTGGGTTGGGGCAGACATGCTGGTATTCAGTTCCTGCTACACTGAAATCTACAATTTCTCCATTGACTTCTACAGGCAGCTCTACCTTCTATCCCTGGGGACATTTTAAAACACAGATTTATAACCACGTGAACCTGCCTGCCTGGCAAGATCTTCACTGGAGGCTCTTGTCTGAATGCTCCCTGCAACAGGAGGTAAACAGGTGGCATCAGAGACAGAGCCCATTTGATGGTGGCATCCCCACAGTGGAACACTCCCAGAAACACTTGGCTAGTTCCTAGTGTGTTAGTTTCATTACCAGGTGCCTAAAGCTTTTAAATTGTCCAAATTTTTACACTAGGCAACTAATTTTGCTGCCATAGCCTTTTTGTTTCTGTTCAGCTTTTTGCTTTTACTGACTTTATTGTCCTTTTATTTATCTTTGTTTTAAAGGACAACTTTGTCCATCAAAGTGGTATCATCAGTCAATGTGGGAGCTTTACGCTGAAAGGCCAAAATATACATTTAAGAGAAACGGACATAGACATCCAGCAAGGATGGAAACTAGCTTCAACTCCAGCACCCCTTGGTTGGATGAGAACTCCTTAAAATTGGTGCTGTATGCATAATTCCCAGGGCATCCTGAATTCAGGGCTGTGCTCAGGCATACTTAGTCAGATGGCCAATAGCAGCACCAATCACCTTGTCTTTCTGACAAGTAGGGGGAGCCGACTGTCCCTTTCCACATCCACAGAGGCACCTGGCCAGATAGTGACAGTGACATGTATAGAGTTGGTGCACAAAGCTGCAGAGATAGATCAAAGCAAAGTCCACCATGAGTTCAGCTAAAGTAGATCTTCCTCAGTTGTTGACTGTGGAACAACTTATGCTTACCATTTTTCCTTCCATAGACAAGACATCCTCCCTCCTAACCTTTTAAGCTGCATACACAGTTCTTTGGATTGCAGCCCACATAGAGAATTAAGTTCTATTGACTTTAGGGCCATTCAAGAAGGATTTGCTTTTATTTATTTGTGTGTGTGTGTGTATAAAATATTACCTTGGATGTGCAGATACATCCACAGCAGCAACCAAGACTGACTTCTGAGCAAATGAGCACATAAGATAGGACTGCCAGGCTCCCCTCTTACAACTAGAAAGTCCCAATTAATACTGAAACACTCAAGTTCAAAGTAAGTCTGATTAGGGTTAGGCTGCTTTCAAGATAGAACAACAAGAAAACATGGCAAATATCTTCAGCACTTCATTTGGTACTAACCTTTGATGCACAGTCCGGCCATACTCTTTTCCAAATGGACTGTCCATTTGGTTACACGCATTTGGAAACCTGTAGAGGCTGCAGCTGCTATCTTCGAACACAGACCGTTTGTCTTTTCCAAAGACTCTGGTAGAAACTGCTTCAAACACTTTGTAGTCCATCAGTGCCTGACACACTCTCACAACTTTAGTCCGGGAAATATCTACATCGCCAAAGTATTTGTTCTGCAGAAGGTGGGAGTAGACGACATCTACTGCATCGGAGCCAATAAAACAGTCGTTAAAAGATTTCAGGTTCTGACGCCGCTTTTTCACTTCAACTTGGCTCTGAAGTGCATTGATAATGCTGCTCCAGACATATGTGGCTCCAAATGGTCTCTGTGCCAAGCTGAAACCTAAACACGCAATGCAAGAGATGTATTTCAGTGAGTGTTCTGGAAGCAGATTATGGACCTACCCAATATTTTTAGGAGTCACTTCCAAAAGCGTACATCATTTCCCATGGAAATATTGGTGGAGCCCTTTTACTGGCAACATTAGTTAACAAAGTCTCTAGTGCAGGGATGGGAAACCTTTTGCCTGCCAGGTGGAGTGGGACTCCATCTCCCATAAACTTCAGCCAGTATGGTCAATGGTCAGGGATGATGGACTCTGGGACTCCAACATCTGGGGAAGGACAGAGGCTCCCCAACCCTGCTCTAAGGTTTGACTCAAGGGAATATAACAGTTATGTTCCCGTAACTATAAATATGCTATCAGTTAGCAGGGCTGGGAAAGATTTCTCTCTGCCAGAGACAGAGACCCTATAAAGCAGCTGTCAGTCAATTACTGACAATATTGGGGATCTTCATTTTCTCACTGAGAAACTTTTGTGATATACTTTTTTGTGGGAGAGTCTTGCCCACACTTGCCCTAGATTCTTCTATGCAAGGCTGCCATTTCAAATTCCTGAGGTGGGGGAGGGAAAGAGAAAGAAGGTATTTTACAGGTGACCATGATTCTTCACAAGATTGTAAAAGCTCTTGTGTCCACTCAGGATTAAAGTTGCAGAGAGAGAGAGAGAGAGAAAGAGAGAGAGAGAGAGATGTATTTTGAAAGCATGTGTTATGGTTACTACTTGTACTTTATAATTACAGCAAAGCCATCAGCACAGAACGGTCTTTTTTATTATTAAAACAAATGCCCGAGACACAGACACCTGGTACATTCACCCATCAAATTTTTATGCCTATGACCATAATGTTTATAGTCAAGTACTTGAGGATGCAAAGGCTGCCCCCAGAACACCTAAATCTACTGGTACTGTCTGTATCAGACCAGTAAATTCAAATGCCTGAGTAGTTCTGCAGAGATTAAAAAAAAAAAGTTCCTTTTTTTAAAACAAAAAATCTACCATACCATACCATAGCCAACAGCACTACAGCTTTTCTAATTCTTGTTGCCAAACAGACCCCAGGGAAAGCTTTGTTTGCTAACAACATTGGAGTCAAGGCTGCCTCCCAGAAGAGTACCCAAACTGGGAGGAAAGTATTTCCTCTCCTGGAAGACAGTCCACAAGAGAGCAGCTCCTGCAGATTTACATATATGAACTTCCATAGGGATCACACAGCCAGCATGAAGCTGATCACACTTAAACAGCAATTTATCCACAGCTATATATTAAGAAGGAACCCAATATGCTGATGAATAGCGCCTCCGGCTTTTGGAGAGCAGTTCAGTTACGAGAGACAGAACAGACCTATTGCGGGAAGCGAGGGAATGAAAGCACTTTATGAAATTAACGTAGAAATGTGAGTAAGTAAAGCAAGCTAGAAGAGCTTCCTCTGTCGACGAAAGGCTTCTTGCATATTACCCAGCGACTCCAGCCAACCTGAAGAAACAGGCCACCAGCTCTAACCACACACACAGAGATAGCTTGCCCAGCGGCAGGTCCGGAAACAGCAAACCTACCAGAGCTGGGAGGAGGTAAGTCCACGCCATCCTAGCCCTTAGGCACAATAATTAACATTTTTAACCTCTTAAATGTGTTTGTGAGAGGGGGTGGAGGAATTATTGGTTTGTTTTGTTCTTGTTTTTATTATGCGTTCTTCTGCTGCGATCCGCCCTGAGATCAGTATACAAGGGCAGTATACAAATTTATAATAAAACAGGATTCTGCCCGAGCAACTGGACCCCTCCAGAATAAGAGCAAAACAACAACAACGCCGCTCTGTTGACCGCTCGGCTGACCTTCCAACAGGGCTAAGGCCAACCATCTCCCAGAAAAGAGGAGACAGCCATCGAAGGGAAAAGATACGGGGTTGCATCAGAGCAACCGCGGCGGGTCGGGCCAAAGGTCCATCCGTCGATCAGACCCGGGCGCTGCCTCCACCTGCGGCCGGTCAGAGAAAGCGCCTTCCGCCCGCCCCACGGGGCGAAATTGGGGAGGCGAGGACGCGGGATAGGCGGCTTTGCATATGACTTTATAGGAGCCGACCCTTAAGAGCGAGAAGAGGCGGGGAGCCCACCGCACCCACCTGCCTTAAGTGGAGCCGCTTTGCCCCGCAGTCTCCCTTCTCCCCCCGGAGAACAGAAGAAGCAGCCCTGAACCCGCCCCGCCGCCTACCTGGAGGCTTGTTGGCTGGACTGTACACCGCGCAGAGATTCAAAGCCGCCGCCTTCTCCTTCACGCTGGCCATAGCGCCGGCCGGTTTCTGCCTCGGCGTCCCGGGGAATGAGCGGAGCAGCCCGGCCGCCTCGCGGAGGGGAAATAGGCGGCGCTCGCACGCAGGCGCTGCTCCTATTGGCTCGCGTTGGCGGCGGGGGCGGAGCCCGCACTCTACTTTAACAAGCCGAAGGACAGTCGCTGGGCGTTTTGGCCGCCGCGGCGAAGACAACGGTGCGCTTACCAGGGCTTCCCTAAAGGGGGTTGCTGTGCTCATGGGGTTAGTTGCAGAGGACGCTCCCACCCACACAAAGGCTCCCGTTTCTCCCTCTAGCTCTAGGGAGAAACCAAGAGTGAGCCACCTTCTTTATCAGGCTTCCTCAACCTCCGCCCTCCAGATGTTTTGAGACTACAATTTCCATCATCCCTGACCACTGGTCCTGCTAGCTAGGGGTCATGGGAGTTGTAGTCCCAAAACATCTGGAGGGCCCAGGCTGAGGAAGCCTGTTCTATATGCTTGCATTGCACACACGGGTTTAGAGGGGAGTGGGGTCAGCTCACATCTGCTGGATGGCTTGCCTGTGAACAGGGAACACCCAAGACATTTTGGGCTTTTTGGCACAGAGGCAAACCCCATCCTCTCCCCACTAGGGAAGAAGGGTGAGTGAAGATCTGCATCAAGAACAAAGGGGCAGGGAATAATAATGATTTGCATTGGGATCTGTGGCCTGCCATCTGAGGCGATTGCCTCACCTCACCTAATGGGTGGGCTGGTCCTGATTGGTGGAAATGTATGAAAGGTATGAGCAGTAGTGGCCTTTGGGCTCTCAAATTTCAGCAGCACCCTGTGTGATGCTAAGATTTGGCACGCCTCGCCTCCCTTGTGACATTGTTGTGACACTCCCTGCAGCCTCCAGTGCCACTGCACTGGTCACGCTACATAAAACCTCCTCTGGAAGGAGGTTGGTCAGTGTACAGGTTTCCATGTGGATTTCAGGCTTTGTGCAAGTAAGGGGAAGGTGAGGGGCTATTACTTGGACTCCTGCTTATAAGGGTCCCAGTAGGCCTTTGCCTGTGGTGTAGGGTAGTCTCTGCATTGTAGCCATGCCTCCTCCCGGTTAGCCCCTCTTCTTTATAAAGGTCTCAGGTAGCGGGGCATGTGAGGGTGTGTTCCCTGCTCTTTGCAAGTTACGATCTTGGTGGTGGGAGCATTTTACCCCCATCAAATTCATATTAACCAAAAGTCTCCTATTGCTCGTGGTCTCAGATGTTCCATTTCACAAGCCTGTGCACCCTGAAACCTATATATCTTTACTCATAAGCAAATCCTGCTTTGTACTAAGTGTGGAAGGGGTTGCAGTTCTGCCACCCAGATCCTATGCAATGTTATACACACCTAACTGTGAAAAGAGCTCAGCTGGTAGCAGCCTATGCAAAAATGTGCAAGCTTTGATTGTTGAGAGAGAATTTATTTACCTTTATTATTATACTAATATCTCACTTTTCCTCCCCAAGTAGCTCAAAGTGGGATATAAGCCCTAGTCCCCCAGGTTGGTCCTAAATACACCACTCCTGGAAATTTTGAGCTGAAAAAGGCCTGAAAGTGCGGATACTAGCATTGGGGCAGATTCAATTCTACTTGGAATGTAGTCTACAAATTTACAGAGTTTATATCAATGTTGTTTTAATGTGTCCAGAGAACCCTGGAAACTGTCATGTTGGAATATTCACCTCAGAATATCACAGTCACTATGGATTCTGGAGAGAGGGAATGCCTTTTTAGTATGCCCACATAATCTAATCTAAGGCGAAGCTCAGCCATGGACCTTGTCTAGTTCCTTTTTCTATTTTAAATTGATTCGTTATCACCTGGTTAATAATTAATTTTTATTCTGTTCTGTATATACAGCTTGTATCCCTTTTATAAACTTTTTTCCATATTCCATTTCTTCCATCACTTTCTTAATAAAATCCCAATATATATTATCAAACGCTTTTTCCGCATCTATAAACATCATTGCTGCTTTTTTCTCATTTCTTACTTCTAGATATTCTATTACATTTAAAATATTTCTTATATTATCTTTCATCTGTCTACCTGAAAGGAATCCTTCTTGATCTGGATGTATATAAACATTTAAGACCTTTTTCAGTCTATTAGCTAAAATATTAGCAAATATCTTGTAGTCAAGAGGTAAAGTACCTTTGAGCAGATAATGAGACCGTTTCCTCTTTTAGTGTGTTGGTGTAGCTTAGTCCCCACAGTTGTTTGACCAGGGAACAGAACATTAACTTCAAGGTGACTTTTAGCCAAACTACAGTATTTCAAGCTATCAGAGTCAAGCACTGTCATACATGCTGCAGTCATAAGCAATGACTAGCTGTTCTGTGTCTTTCATTTCTAAAGGGCCCTCTCCCATCTGCTTTATAACAATCGCTAATGCACGTATACCGGAGTCAAACATTTTTACACCTGATCATATCCACAAACTCAGCTTCTTATAGGGCACAGAGTAGCAAAAAAGAAAGAAAAAGCCCTGTTCCATTTCCTGATAAAGTTGTTCATTATCATAACCAGGGGAATTTTTGTCCCAAATCAAAGTCTGATGTTTGTTGGCTATGGGTCTCAATGATTGAAAGTAGCAACATGCTTGTGGCTAATCAGTTGTGATAATGGGATATTTGGACATACTGTGCAATCTGGGCCTATTTCTAAACATTATTAAAAACTGGAATTCAAACAACTTGCAGAACAATGAGGTTTTGAGTTTTGACAATTTTACTGTTGGGGAGTTGCTGAAATAAAATTACACACCAGCAACTGAGCCTCTGTAAAATTTTGAATGGTTCAGGATGTTTATGCCTACCATACCAAATTTATAGACACAAGTAGCAGCATAGCAGCATAGCAACATGCACAATGTTAATCAAAGAACATACTGAAAAAAATTACGGTATCTGCTTGGTACCCCAGAACATTCAGATCTAGGCCAGCACACAATGAACCAAATGTGTTGAGGTCACACTAATCTTTGTTTTATTTTGTTAGATGAAAAACGGATGTCAGTGCAATTGTAGTACGTTGCTTCAGAAGAATGAACCACTATTTTCAGAAAGAATTAATTTTATCTTGTGATAATTCAGCCAGGTCCATTTATATGAATGAGTATATTTGTTTCGTTATGCTTATCAATGTCATTTAAACCAAAAGGGCAACAATTGTATTAACAAGGGGCTTTCCACAAGGCCTATTTTTTAAAAAAATGCCCCTTATTTCAGATTCAGGAAAGATATTCATTTATTGTAATCCAGGAGAAGGTTTTTCTATATAAGCATAAAATAATTAATATGTAAGTGCCTTATGAGCTTCAGGCACCAACTTAAGACTTGGTGATTTCAGCACACTTCTTTATGAAACTGATTTGTTTTTTAAACCTTTGTCAGATGACCCATTTTTGTATTGATTATCCTTAATGCATTTTTGCTTGATTTTATATTGTTTTGATTTTAATGGAGATCCTGTAAACTACATATTGTATTGGCCTGAAAATAAGCTGCACTTTCCCCCCCAAATCCGATCGTGAAAAGTTAAAAGTGCAGCTTATATTCGCAACCTTATGCCATCGGTAAAGTGGTGCGGCTCCACCCCCCAGGAAGCAGCCCAGGAGTGTGGGGCAATGGTGCCCTTCCCATCCACGGCTCCCAAGCCGCCAAATTTTAAAGGTGCCGCCTATTTGCAGGTTTGGCTTATATTTCTGCCAATACTCTGCAATTTCTAAAATCCATTGATAACTTTGGGCTTTTCAGAAGTTTGATGGGGTGAGCTGAGCTCTTCTAAATGTAACTAGGGTAAGAAACAGTGACATGACAAACTGCACAGCAGAGGCTGTGCACAAACTATACCTTTTAGAGCACATTCCAAGCATATTCATTCCTTTGAAGAATTCTGGGCACTGTGGTTTGTTAAGGGCTGCTGGGAATTGCTACTCTGTGGGGTAAACTACAATGCCCAGAATTCACAGAGGGAAAGAATGTGATTGCTTTAATGGTATAATGGGTTCTAATGGGTACTACATACCCAAAGAGAGCTAGGTCTTAGGGAAGGCAGCTCCTGAAGTAAGGAGTGGGGAGCAAAGCAACCTTGGTATCTGATTCCTATGAAGTCCCCTGCAAGCGAAACTAGGCAATTAAAATAGATTTGCATAAGTTTAATATACTAACGCTGCAGTGCTATACACTCTGCATTGGGATTACACTAGAACTCAAGAGGGCACACTTTTGAGCAGACATACAGTATATATGTGCTGCAAAAGGTTTGGGCTGGCCATGCTTGTGGAAAGGGTGAGGGTGAAATAGCAAAGGTCAGGTTGCAATCTGGCCAAGATGCACAACCATGTGTCAATTGTGCCTTGCCAGTGGTGTAACAGACAGGGAATTACCTTGTGAATTGCCCTGAGACCTATGATTAAGGGCAGTATGTAAGTCTAAAAAAGAAAAGAAAAGAAAAAAAGCAAGCAGGATTTTCTTTCACAGCGGGAATAAATTTTGGAGTGACATGGCAACTGATGGGATCTTCCTTGCTTTGGCAAGTGATTGAGAAGATGTTTGTGTCAGATTAGCACAAACTGAAAAATAAAATAATCAAGCAGAGGTTGAACACTACTTTTCTTTTCTTAGATAGGCTTCATATTTCATGCTAACATTAATAAATAGTTTAGAAAATGGCTCAATTCAGGTAGTAAGTCTAGATTTTGTTCATGCAGAATAGTTCAGCACATCACAAGTTACTTTTTTAATTTAGTGTTTGGAACAGCACTGATGTTTCACTTTATATTAGTATGAGTTGCTTCTTTGAATCCTGTGTGTTGATCTTGGATTATACCGAATGGTTATTTACCATAAATATTTCATAAACATTCCAGTTATTTTTTAATGACTCCTCATCTGCATCTTTCTCCAACCTATGAACAATGGCTTCATTCAGTCAAAATGAAGCCATTCTGAAGAGACCAGCACATGGAATACATAAACAATTGCTTATGAAAATGTGCTCTGTGCCCATTATCCTTGAAGACACAAGTAGA